ATCCTGCAAGCTGAGGAAGTCATAAATGTCACCTTGTCTCTCCAGGTGCCCGTCTGGCTTCTGAAAGACAGTAGACACCTCTCTCTGAACTCTTTGTGCCACAGAACTGAGTGAGGGTCCCAGATAGCTTTTCTCTGGCTCTGTTCTAAGGAGACAGTAGCTGTACAGTGAGTCGTCTTCTAGGGATACTGCTCAGGTCATCCATGTTGGACACAGCTCAGAAAGGTGTTCTGCAGTGGTGGAAAAGCAGAATGTACCTCAGGAAATTCCTGTATTTCCTGTTGCTTTGTTTGCATCAAGTGGCTTCGTCATGGTGGCTTTGGATCTCAGTGGAGAGTTGGTTCTTGTTCCTTTCAGTGCAGCAGACATCCCAGGAAAGACGATGTTCAGGTGTGTCCTACACAGCCCTCTCACCAGCCCGCTTCATTCACCACCGGCAGGACACTTCAGCACTGCAGCATCTGCCTGCAGCTTTCCAGGGGTGTGATACCAAGCAGCGGTGTCTCACAGACTGTCCGCAACCCACTGACCTTGGCTGGAGGGCAGTGCTGTCACTTCGTTGTCATAGAGACCTTGCTCTGAAAGCAGCATCACAACCTCGTAGAGATGACAGCTCAACCCATTGCAGCAGGCTTAGCTGTAAGAAATCCAGCTGCCTCCCCTGGCAGGGATGTTGTTGGGCTTTATGAAGCGCTTGGGCAGCCTGGGTGTTCCTGGGGAATCCTGAGGGATTCCTGAGGATTAGTGCTTCCCTCATCATTCCCAAACCTCCTGCTGGAAAGGAGGAGCAGGGCAGGTAATGCTGTGGTGCTGTGCAGATTGCCCTCTTATACACTGCTGGTTTTCTACACACGGGGAGCTTGCAGCGCTGCTGGGTTTCAGCAGCAGTTCAGCAGGCTGTTGTAACTTCTGTTCACTGGTTTTCCATTTCCACATTTGGAGGCTGTCCCAAACGCACAGCTGTCTGTGCTGTGCTCTCTGAGGGTGGAATCACTTAACTTTGAGAAGTATCTGCAAAGTGCCTGGTTTGCTGTGAGAGCTCCTGTGGCAGGTCGCTTCTGTGGCTTCTTCCATGCCAAAAGTAGCTGTGATTCTGGGGCAGGCAAAGCTTACTGCTCAGTGTGGGGAAGTCCTTGGGCATCCCACAGCCTGCTGTGCCAAGATCCGTTTGTGCCGCTCAGCGGGCGGTGTGATCTCATCCTTGCAAGGCTGTCATCTGGATCATCTGTGTAACTGTTTCCAGTTTGGATTTCTGTGATGTTGTGCAGAGCTCACAGCCCAGTGGAAATTTGAGTTTGTGTGCTTTGTGTGGTCTCAGACTCCTGCACTGAGGGCAATTTAATTGATCAGTATTTTTAGCTTGCGATACAGAAGTCCTGACCTTTCAACAAGTCTGATTGCTATTGTTCCCTTCTGGGTTTCTACAGCAGCAGAATCCGGAGGTCCTGGGCCAAGTGCCCTGAAGAACAAAGTCTCTTTTGCCTGCCTCTGCTAGGCACGTGCTCTCTGCCCATGCTCTTTCCTGTCAAAATGAAATATGTGTTTTTTTCTCTGCTGGATTTCTGAAGTAAAACAGCTAAAAGATCTCAAACTGTTCAACTGCGTCTGGGAAGAAAGATGGCCTGGCTGCTACTCCCTGGGGCGGTGTTTCAGGAGCCACGAGTCACTGCTGAGCACAGACCACACGACAGCACTGCCAGCAGCAGCCCTGCAGGCAGGCGGAGAGCAGCGCGCTCCCTGGCTTGTACTGCAAGCAAAGTGGTTGAAAGTGCCTTCTGATCCCAGAGCTGGGGTGCTTGCAAAGCCTGTTTGCTGTGTTTGTATGCCAGCCCTTCACATCCAAAGAGCTGCTTTGTTACATGCCCTTTCTGTGGAGGTGATGCTGTCCTTCGGTGCGTGCATTCCATCTGACTGCGGGTATAGGGCTGTCATGCTGCAGCTCCTCCTGAATCGTGCTCCCTTCTGAAAGACTTATGAGCATGAAGGAGGAATTGTATTTTGGAGTTTGTTGTGGTTTTTTTGTGTTTTTTGTTTTGACTGTTAAATGTTTTGAAACTAGGTTTGTGGCAGTGTAATGTGGTGCTTGCTCAGCTTGCAGCAGGGATGCTGGACTGTCACCTAAACAGTAATCAACAAAATCAGCCATAAGCAAAGGCAGTGGACCTGCAAGAGTCCCCAGTAGCTCTTCCCACTGCCAGCTGTGCTGCTGTGTATAGCAGGTGTGGTGCCCAGGCTGGATCCTACCCTGCCCGGTGCAAGGTACATGGTATCATTAGAAGCTGTCCAGCAGCACATGCAGGCTGGTTGTGCTCACTGAGCTCCTTGCTAAGGAAGCTGTTGTGCCTGCAAGGAGCACAGGAGGTGTCTTTGAGCTGCCAGCAATCACAGCTCTGTTGGGTACAGCTTGGAACTGTGGAGCAGCCCTGCAAGAGTAACTGCTGCTCAGAGAGGGGAAAGCTTCACTCCACACCAGCAGCCTGCTGCTGTGCTCTCCGCACTGCTCCTCACATCTGCGACTTGGCGCTGCTTGCTGAGTGCTATCACAGAGAGAAACAGCTTCATACCAACACCAGCTGGAACAAACTCTCACTTCCCATGATGAAGGTTGTTCTTCCTTAGGGAAAGCAAGTCCCCTAACAGAGCAAATCAAACCCTGTTCTCCTGGTCTGTACCTGGTCTGTGCTTTCATTTCCCCATGCTGCCCAGGGAAGGAGGTGGTCACCCAGTCAGGCTCAGCCCTGGCACTGCCACCCCGAGTTACAGGAGCTGTGCTTTGCTTTGCTTGTTGGACCTGTGAGCTGCTACCCCAGTGCTGTGGTGTGCCCAGCCTTTCCTTTTATTTCGTTCCATTGAGTGTGATTATTGAGCACTTTGCTTCCAAGCTAAGGCTGTAGCAGTTTTCTTCCTCCAAACAGAGATATTGAAAGTGCTCGACATCAGGTACTCCTCTGAAGAATTAGAGTTCAGTTATCTGCTGCATGGCTCATTAGTCTTCAAGAAGGAGGTTGGCTTCTTGTCTTCGGGAACCCAGTGATGTGGGACTGATTACTGATGACTCGTTATGAATTTTCTCTGCTCATAATTGACTGTATATTTTCACAGCGGGTACACAGGTAGTCACTAGGAATCATTAGATTCCCTTTGTTGTCACGTAGGGCCCTGGGTAGATTAAGACCTTCTGCACCATTGTATGGCCACAGAAGGGGCTTGTGTGAGATTGCTGATGAGCTGTAATTAGATGTATCTTTGCAGTGACTCCCTGTGCTTCTGTCACTTGGACGCTGTTGTTTTGCTTCTCTCCATCCTCCTGAAGCAGGGGATCCTTTGCATCTTGCTCTGTTCATCTGAGCTCTGTCTGACTTTTTCATCTGGACTTTAAAAACATCTGTCTGTCTGGCTTACATTGCGCTGCCCTAATTAAGATAAAAAGATTTTCTGGTAGCAGAAGCAAAGTTCCAGTGCCTGCCTGTTGAACACCTGGTGTTTGGTGTTGTCCTCCCATGCATTGCTGTAGCTCTACTTCCATTCTGCCAAGTGAAGAGTGGGAAGTGAAAGTTCATGTAGTGCTGCAACCCCAAGTTGGACCATGAAAACAAGTCCATGGTTAGACTGTATCAATGCATGTGAGCTTTAAATTTGTATCTCTGATGTAGATAAATGATGGACAAGTAAAACAAAAGATGACAGTGTGCATACTCTGCTGCGTTAGAATGCAGTGTGGAGCAGATAAGAGCAAACAATGCTTTGATTCTCTGATGAGTGCAGACATTGGGGCTGAGGAGCTGCAGCAGTGAGTGTGCACAGCCCTGGCTCACTCCTGCTTTCAGGTGTAACCCTTTAGTTTTAGAATGCTTTGTAGCTGCCCAGGCTGATGTGCTCTGCTCGTAACAGGCCAGCTGTCAGGGCTGCCAGCTGCTGTGGCCACAGTGGAGACAGCACTGCAGATGGCACAGAGTGGCTGCCTGGGGGTGAGGGCATGAGGCTGATACCAGGAGGTGGAAGAACCTCGCCAAACTGACCATCAATGATGTTCTCAGGGTATGGCACCGCTGCTCTGATTTTCTTCTTCCATAGGCACAGTATCTGGACCAGAGACTTTGACCAGGGACTTTCACTGTCCCAGTCAGAGCAGAACAGATCCATAAGCATCCTGAGATCTTTGTGTGTCTGGCTTCCCCTCCCCAGCCTGACGTGGCTAGGCCCAAGGGCTCTGACAGAGAGCTGAGCATATGTTAGGGTTGGTACAGCTCTGCTCAGTGTTTTGTTTCCTGTGGAGTCGGAGCCATGCCGGCAGCACCTCCCCAGTGTTTCCAGGGGTCCTGCAGAAGGTCACTGTCCCAACTCAGAGGCACCACAGCCTGCTGCAAATCTTGCTGTAGTGCTCCTCAGAGCAGTGGCAAGGAGAACAAAACTCGCTTTTTGAAGATGTCTTAATCTAATCCATCACAGGGATGGGGTTTGTGCAGGGATGGAACCAGCCCACCTGTGTGAGTGCACACAGGGACACAGGGCAGCACAGGACTGCAGCAGGGTGGGGATGTGGGAAGGGAGTGACGTGAGGGAGCAGACACCAAATAGCAGTGGGGTAACTGTGATGAAGGGGAACGGAGCTGTTGTTGGGGTGGGGTGAACAAAGAGGATGTAGGTACAGACACAGAACCAGGCTCACTGGGCTTTGAGTTCAGTTCTGCCGGTTCATCTCATCTTGTCTGTGCTGTGACCCAGTTCTTCTAAAGGAGATTTCAGCAGGACCTGCTGTGAGGTCCTGTGGGGCTTCACTGGAGAGCAGAGCTGCCTGACTGTGAAAGAGAAATGCAGAAATGTGAGTGTGGTGCTCACCAGGGTCAGTGTGAAGCAGCGGCTGTCTGCATGCCTGAGGAATTCCACAGGGCACGTGGGATGGATGTAACAGCGTGGGGTGTGTGACTGAGCAGTGTTGTCTGGAGCACTTGCTTTTAAATTGAAGGTTTCTGAAGTGGCCTTTTTTCTTCTTCCTGCAGACAACTTTAGGTACACGTGTGACATCTGTGGGAAAAAATATAAATATTATAGCTGCTTCCAAGAGCACAGAGACCTGCACGCTGTGGATGGTGAGTACTGTTTTAATGCTTAGATACCTAAGCTAGAATGAGACATTGGTGCCATGTGATGAAGGCCAGATGTGGTCCTGCAGGACCTTGCAGCCCTGCCGTGTGATGTGTCGCAGCATCCCTCCCTTGCCTTTGTCAGGGGAGGCACAATCCTCATGCTCTGCAGGGAGAAGGCTGCTGGGCTCCTTTCTCTGCATGCATCAAAACAACACCCTCTGCTGGGACCTGTGGTCCTTGCAATCCCCCGTCTGCATTCCTGTTTGTGATTAAGATGGAAATCTTATTGCTGAGTGCTCCAAGGTAAATGGTCAGTTTGACTGCTGGCTGTGCAAGGGTTGGTTGTCTTTTGTTTTCTTACTTCACAGGTTTGTTCCTAACATGCTCCTCTGTGACAACCAGTGTTTCAGAGTTGAGAAGTATTGTTTCATTCTTGTTAATTACTGTGGTAGTGACCTGATGCTGTTCAGCCCAGTTCTTCCTGTGCAAATTTAGATGTGGTCAAGGCAGTGACACTCCAACAGAAGCAGACGCCCTCCTCCAGAAGCACTTTGTTTCGTTTTTCTATACATGATGGAGTAGAAGCAGCAACATACTGTCTTTCATTTGCCTGCCTGTGCTTGCAGGGCATTTAAAACCCCTTGACATGGAGCCCACAGCTACTGCAAACTGTCATTGCACATGCTGGCAGCCTGCTGATGCTGCTCCTCACCTGGCAGAGGAGGGAGGGAGGCTTGGCAGGAGGTTTCAGTTAGCTGGAGCATCCCAAAAAAAGCAAGTGGGTTTTTTTTTTTACAAATAAGTGCTATCCAAAAAGTTTGCTGCCTAAATGTGCTCAAAGAGCAGCACCTGCTCTCTGCCACATACTTACTAGAATTAAATGCATTGAGCTAAAAGTTGCTGTGAGACAGATGTGTCTGCTCCTGTCAGAGGTACCTGCAGAGCTGTGGCTCAGGGAGCTCTTGCTAGGCTTAGGAGAGGGCTTTGGACATAGTTTCTGCTTGTTTCTTTCAAAGCCAGTGTCCATCATGGCTCCACCAAGGGACCAGATGTGTGTCAGCAAACACAAGTGTGAAGCTGGAGTGCATCTGAACTTCCCATCGGGCTGTGCCCATGTCAGAACAAAGGCCATGAGAATCTTTGTATTTTAGGGCTGGGCATGCTCAAATAGTTCCTGTGTGGATGCTGATGGGAAGAAGAGGGACTGGGGCACAGAGCCTGGTGTATTCAGTGGGGCTGAAACGTGCTGAAGCGGTGCGTGAGGTAGAGGAGGAAAACACGGCCATTTCAGAGGATTTAATTTCTCTTTTGTTTCTTCCCCTCCTTTTTCTATTCTGTGTTAGTTTTTAGTGTGGAAGGGGCCCCAGAAAACCGGGCAGGTAAGCTGAGATCCTTCGTGTGCTTTATTTCACAAACCTTTTCAAGCATTCAGTAGCTCAAGCACAGCAGGTCTGCCTCTACGCTTGTAAGAGTCCAGGGAGTTTTGTCACTGATTGCAGTGGGAGAAAAGCATCCTCTGTTCCTCCCTGACGTGTTCACCCCATAGGTTAATGCCCAGCCCTAGTAGATCCCAGGCTTTTGTTATAAATACAATTGATCAGGCTTCTGAAAAATCAAAGAAACGGGTATTCCATGTCTCAGGTGATTTAGTGACTCGTTCAAGGCATAAATTAAGTTATTTTATAAAGTGGGTTGGGTACTGATTTGCTTTGAACTGTGCTGTGATATGTTAGAAAGTCACTGGTGATATGTTAGAAAGTCACTGATCAGCATCTGGTAGCTGACTTGCTGGCATTCTGTATTACTGTGCCCACTTTCAGACATTAAAACATCATTAGGTGGGAGATGCACTGGAAAAAAATCAGAAAAGGTAACTCAGCCTCTGTTTGTTCAGTGTTTCTTCAAGCAAAATCCAATGCATTATTGATCTGTAAGTCAGGATAGGAAGGGCTGGAAGGGGTTTGTTGTCTGCTTGGGGCACCCGAGGTGGAGGAAGGACAAGTCGGACAGAGGGATTGTTGGGTTTGTAATTCATGTTTTGAAATCTTGTTACAGATCAAAATATCATTACAGATGCAGGAGCATTGAGTGCCTGTGCAGCTGTAGAAGGAAAACCTGAGGGTGTTGTCAGCTCTCTTTCTGGTTCTGTTCTCTTGCAGACCCCTATGACCAGGCCGTCATAGCAGCAGAAGAAGTGAAGGAGGAGGAGCCAGAACCGTTCCAGAAGATTGGTCCAAGTATGAGTTATTTTAGAGCTTCACATCTGAAAGAGGAAGCACAAGGGTTTCAAATCTGGCATTAGCAAAGGTGTTGGGACCTCATGGATGGTGAAAGATACCTTTAGGTTCAAGTGAACACCAGCCATCACCAGTCCTGGCCCTGAGAAGTGCAGCTTTGTGATGTTTTGTGTTCAAGAGCTCTGTTAAGAGAAGAGGGAGGAAGTTTAAAAGAAAAGCAAAGTGGTGGTGATTAAAGGTGTTTTGGCAGAGCTGGCAGTGTTAATATGCACACTGCCTCTGTGGTGGGTTCACCAAACACATTCAAGAGAAACAAAAAAGGGACCAAATTATGTCCTCCTGATTCATCTCCATTTTGGATACAGTTGATGAACCCTGGGTTTTGCTTCAGCTTGCAGCTCACTATCAATTCTGTACTTCCCAGCACTGGCAGGAACAGAAGGTATCTGTGTGTGGTTACCCTGCTCCATTTTGTCAAGTACCCCCAAAACACAGATTGGCACAGAAAAACTCATTGCAAGAGAAATCTATTCCAATATAAACATTCTGTAATTAAGACTTGAACTTGACAGCTCTATTTCCTGATCTGAGTGTCCCTGTTGTCCATGCAGCACATACCATCTGTAAATAGAAGACAAAATTGTCTGTAGTGTAGACTTTAAAAACGGATTCTCTCTTTTGCTTTACACACTTACCTGCTGAAATTTCAGACAATCTCTTGTACCTTGTTCAGTTCTGCTGGAGTTGGTCCATCACTGGATACTTGCTTCAACTGCTGCCTTTTCTGGGAAAAGAGTTTTAAGGCAATTATAGGGCAGTTAAGTTCCCAGTGCAAGAGGAAAAAGCTCTAGTGTTCTTTTTGTCACCTGGCCTAGTTTCTATGTAAAGAGACAAGAAGTCAGTGATTTTGTGAGAGGTTGCTGCACTCCTTTCTGATTTTTTTTAATGTATTTCATCTTCACAGAAACTGGCAATTATACCTGTGAATTCTGTGGCAAGCAGTACAAATACTACACTCCATACCAAGAGCACGTGGCACTGCATGCACCTATTAGTGAGTATCCTGCTGGAAATCTTTCATTACAGACTGTGATATACAGTGGTTGCTGATAAAGATGAGGGCTGCCAGGAGGGTGTATTAATTTTGTGGATCCTTCCACTGGACCTTGTGGGGTTGCAGCTGGCAGACTGCAGATCATGTGCTGACCAGGGCACTGCAAGGCTGGGCTGGAATCTCCTACAGGAGCCCTGTTACTGTTAGGTGTCTGATGTCACTGAGCTTTTACCAAAGCCCATGCCATTCTTCACGTGTTCCTTAGGGCTTGATACTTCATTTTGTTGCTTAACTGAAAGCTCCAGTGCCCACAGTCTTCATTACGAAGAGACGCACGAACTTTTCTGGCCTCCCCTAAGTAATCAACACACATCCTTGTGGGGAAGCATCTTTCTTAGGAGCTTCTGCGAAACTATTGCAGACAGCAAGTTCAAACTGGTTTTCAAAATCATGTGAATTACCTTGGCAGCTTGCTACTAAATCACAGGCAATAAAATATTTATTTCAGGGAGCTCGGGAAAAGGCAGTTCTCAGCATACTGCACGACACTACAGTCTGCACTCCCCAGACAAAGGGCAGTTTGTAATGAGCAATTCAGTGTAATTCAGTGCATAAGTCTAGTAAAAATAGTTGAGAAGCTCTTCCTACGTGCTGGTTTAGGATGCTTTAATAGTATGCAGAGAAGTTCTTTGCCCCTAAACTTTATGCTTTTTTCATAGCATGGTGCTGCGTGGTGTTGCAGTTCATGTGCTGTGAGCCAGCATAGTTGCTCTTTTGCCCATGTTTGCCAGGCTGCCAGCTGTTTGGCTGATGATGGGGATGGATGAACTTGAGCTCGTTAGATTAAGTCGATTTTGTTAGCTGCTTATCTGCAGCCAGCAGAGGGAGTGCACACTCCTTCCTCGCCAAAATGAGTTTCAGTTGAGGTCTAAATTGTAATAAGGCAGGTTTAGTTTTAGACTTCTGTAGAAATAAATAGGGAACATAATCCACCAGACCATTACTTTGATGGTAGGTCTAGGCCTGGTGGCTCTTGGCAGCACCCATGTAGGTTCTCTGAAGAATGGAGATAGACCAGCTCAATGGTGGAAGATGTGGGGCACAGAAAACCTCTGCCAGCAGTTGACCTGCTTACCTCCATGAGAGTTAACTCAGTGCTTATGTTTGTACATCCCTGCACCTTCCACTTCCCAGGGTAGACAGTAGTCTTAACCTGGGTGTCATCAGGTGCTCAGAAAAGCTGCTGGGGGTGAAGAGCAGTAGCTCAATCTCATAGAATAGATGGACCCACTGACACCAACGTTTGGTGTCAGTGCACATGCAGACCACTCACATGCAGACAATGAAAGAAATATGGTGGTTGTATAGCTAAGGAGCTGTGTGCTGTGAGTAGTGTATGTTGAATCTCTGTTCCACAAGAACAGATCACTATCTTCCCAGTACATCCCATTTCAAGGGAATTTATCACTGAGGATCTCTCTCCCTCCTCCCAGCCATCTGTAATAATAGGCTGCAGCTGCTGGTTCCAGTCCAGGCTATCCTATAAAAGGAAAACACAGCCATTCCTCTTTGAGAGGAATTTGCCTGAGGCAGGCTGTGCAGATCTGACTGCAGATACAAATGGTCCATGGAGGTACTTCTTCCTGTGCAGAGTGCAGTCATGGGGTCACCTGCCCAACATAAGGCTGAGGGCTTGTGCTGTGAGCTCAGTGTGTGTTATTTGGCTGCTGTAAGTCAGGTCAGTCTGAAACTGTAATTTGGGTGAAGTCAGAAAATCAGGTGTTAGGAGAGCTGCTGAGTGAAAACCTGAGCTCTGAAGTATCAGGATCTCAACTGTCTAGGGGAGGGATTTGTCAAGCAGGAAGGTGTGGCTTTCCCAGTTGTCATGAGTATTGGAGGAGGTGGCACACTGTTTTGAATGCTGAGGTTGGAGCCATTCTTGGACTGTGGTTTGTGTAGTAGCCTTTGCAAAGAAGAAAAAGCCTGTCCCTACTTCAGATTAGACAGTAGTCACAGAGAGAACATGTCCAGTCCTTACAGCAAGTAACTTTTACTAATTGGTCACTTAAGAACAGATCAGGATAATACTACCACAAGGTTTAAAACCTCCTTATAAACTTTTTCCCTTTTTTTTTTACGTTTTTTTTTTTCCTCTCTTAGTTGCCATGACCAGTAAGATTTATGATTTACAGTGACAAACCACTAACCCTGATGAGCATACACAAGAGGGTGTGATTAGCTCCCAGGCAGGCTGGCCTATACATCCTCCCACCTTGCTCTTCCTGTCAACCAAAGTCCTGTGATGTAGCTGTGAACACCTGGTTTCTGATGCAGTGCATAACTGGCTTTTCTCAGTCCCCAGCAGTCACCGGAAGTAAAGCTGAGACTCTGTCTTTACCATGGCTGTGGTATTATATGACAAATGCTGCAAAATTAGCCTGATAGAATAAAGAATGCAATTCAGTATCACCAATCCAGCTTCTTAGGTCTCTCTGCTGGAGTACAAACTTCCCTTCCGGAGCCTGTCTTTCTGTGATGATGGATTTAAAGTTATTGCAAAGAGGCTAAAACAAAGACTTATATCCTGCAGAGTCTATGGAGCCTTCCAGGATAATTTTTGTCATTGCTGCTCGATATCTGCTGTCTGGCAAAGCACTCTGCTGTAGGGGTCACTGGAATTGTTAATGCCAAATGTCTCCTTCAGAAGTCCTCTTTTGGTAGTCAGGAGATAGTTCTAGCTTTAGGAAAAAGCCCTGAGTTGTTACTCTTTTGGAATATTGATACTCACAGTGTTTTTATTGGCCAACAGATCTGTTCAGTTTGGGAAGGGGGTCAGATGCTGTTTCCAAAGAAAATGAATTGTAGGATTGGAGGCATGTTTGTTGTCCCACATTTGAAGGTAACTGTGCTACTTCAGATGTTCTTAGATGTTGTGCTTACAGAGAAAACCTGGTGTGTTAGGGATGTGGACAGGCTGGAAAAGCCTCTGAGTTAGGTTTTATCTTTTTAAGTCCAGGATTTCCTGGTAACTGCTGTATGGCACCAGACTCCACAGAATGAGAGCGTGTGGTGAGAGCTGTGGTGTCTGCACAGCTATCCACAGCCATTGGGATGAAAATCTGATGTGATGGCAGGTCCTCAGAGTGCTAATAAGTCTTGACGGCGCTGAGCAGCCTCACGTGAGGCCTCCGCTCACACACCAAACCCCAGCGACAGCTCAGCTGTGTCAGTCTCTCTGCCTGTGCTACCCTATGGGATATCAGTCTCTTGGTTGCAGACGTGCCTCTGCCTGTCAGTGGGTCTTGTTGATCAGACCCCGACTTCCTCGCTTCACCGCACTCGCGTCACAGAATCACAGAATGGCCAGGGTTGAAAGGGACCTCAAGGATCATGAATCTCCAACCCCCCTGCCACCTGCAGGGCCACCAACCTCCACGTTTAATGCTAAACCAGCCCCATTGCCCTGGACCTCCTTAAGGATTGCTGAGCTGTGTCTGACCTTGCTGGTCCTCGTGAGACCAGATCTTGCCTCTGACCTGTGAATTGACCTGTCAGCTTGACCACAGGTGTGCTTCATCACCGAGAACCTTCCTGATGACCCAGGTTCCTGGCTGACCTGGCTGCCATCTCTGTGCCTGCCGGAGGCTGTGGGATGGAATCTGTCTCATGAGACCACTGCCCTGCCAGCCCTGTGGTCAGACTGAGCTTCTGAGGAGACGGTCAGACCTCCTGCATGCTGATGCCTGAGGTGCTCATGGAAATTCATCAAGCCTGACCACTCAGTTACTTTTCTTATTGTAAAGAGCACTGGATACAATTTGTTCGTCAAGAGATGTTCAAATACTTGCAGTGTTTCTTAAAGATAGGTGACATCAGGGCTTTTTCTCTTAAGGAAAGCAGTTCTTTGTGGTAGTATGTCTGGTATCCCCTCAGGTCCTGCCTGACCAAGAAAATAAAAAGTAGATTCCAGTTGTTTGTCTTTCCTTCCTCCATGTCATTGAGTGAAACTTGAGAGTTCAGATTTTTTTCCCTCTCCAAACCTGAAGTGCCTTAATTTCTTATACAACAGAAGTGTTTGTAAAAAGAAGCACATGAAGTGTCTGATAGATTTCAGGACTGTTTTTTTCCCTTGGAAAGTTCCAATATCAGAGGTTTCCACCTAACGTATGGAATTTCAGGCCATTGCTAAGGAATCCCTTTCCATCATGTCCGTTAAAGAGAGATCTTTCTCCAGCAGCAGTGGTATAATACCATCCAAACCATCTGAATGACATTTTTAGCCATATTTCCCATCTATCCTGGCAAGATCTTTCTGAAGAAATATGGTGCACAAATCAGTGAAAACTTCTACCTGCAGTATGGTAAGCTGCTCAGAGACTCTGATAACCTGTTCTGTTATGGTGATGCATTGTGGCAGCGTGGATTTGTCTGTCTTCCAGGGAGACATGTTGAAATGCCTGCTAGACTTTCTCCTTCACTGTTGCAGCATCCTCCAGACTGCTAGAGTACTAATATTCTTTTCTCTATCTTGCCTCACCGATTCAAACTCTGTCTGTGCCGTGTGTCAGATGGAGTAGCCTTATGTAGGGTGTGAATTTGAAATGTACAGCTGGAGAGTGAAGGGACTAAAGCTGGGTCTCCTGCTGCATCACGGATTGCTGATGGATGCTACCAGGCAGTCAGTCTGTTCATTCCTGATGCAGGCCACCACATCCTATTCGACGAAGATGGGAAGAGAAGGAAGTCATTTTGGAGGCTTTCATATCGCTCAGACTTCTTCCTTCAGATCTCACAAAGGGAGCAGAATCTGGGCTGCTGAGGATCTGTGAGGACTGTTTGTTCTGATGCTGGATACGTGGCTGATTGCTTCTTCTGTCAGTTGGTATAAATTGGGAGATAAATCAACAATTTGTGAGGCTGGGCCTCACTGGAAACTAGACGACACATAAGCAGGACATTTTCATACCTGACTACATACTTGCTGGCAGTTTGTCAGTAAATGGAAAAGAAATTAAGTCCAGAAAGCAAAAGCAAGCGTCCTGCCTATACAGCTGGCAAGAGAACAAGCAGAGAAGAAGTGTTTTGACCCAAACTGTGGGAGAACCTAGTGCAGACTCTCCTGCTGAAGTACGCTAAAACACACATAGGGAATGTCATCTTGGAGCTCTGTAACATATAAAATGAAGCAAAAAAATGTTTCCTTTGAGTATCTGTTTGCAAGTTGCTTTGACATCATCACTCTGCCATGCTGCTGACCACTGGCAGGGACAGGTGAGATTTGTAATGTCTCATGTGATCTTGGAAATGTGTGCGGTCCCAGGCTGTGACTTCTCTCCTTACCCATGCTGTTGTGCTGCTGTGGCAGCGCATGGCTTACAGCTGCTCAATTACTGAGTTACAGTAGAGGATTAGCAGGTGCTGGTGTTATCCATTCTAGCTGTAGGCACCCCAAATTATCACGTGTAGAAATTGCTGCTAATGAATTTTGGCTGTGGGTAATGTGAACCCTGTTCCTTAGAGCTTCTTGGCAGATGGTTGCAGTGGCACTTGGTTTCAGGAGTCGTATTCAGAGTTGAGTGGAAAAAATCCCTGAGGAATGAAGGCAGTTGTTAGGTTGTTTCCCCATTTTTGTAATTTTTTTATTAACCCTTGGAGCCTAGAGAGAGGGCCGTCCTCCCAAAGGTTTTTTGTGTCACTTCTGGCATTAAAAATTCCCGGTGATCCTCACTGTGCATTGCAGAGACTAAAATGTAGGTCAGAGCAATTCAAAGAGCATATCCCAGTAATACTTGGGATTTCTCCGTATGCCACCAGCATTTGTGTGGAGATGGGGACCAAAAGGCCTTTTCTGACTTGCAAGATGAGAACTCTGCCTCGTAATTCATTTCTTTGTATTATGTTAGACAGACAAGGAGTGTAGCTGTGAATCTGTGCTGTGAAGGATATGTGTAAGGCTCAAGGAGCAAAGGTGTAAGCTTCTCCCTGTGCAGAGCTCTGACTGGCACATGAAAAACCTGCACTTGGGGTTCAGTCTCTTCCTGATAAAGAAATGGAGCACAAAGATGCAGGTACACCCAGCCAGGCCATGGAAGTCAAGTAGGACTCCGAGGTGGATGGGGTGATTCCTACTGCAGGAAGAAGGGGTTGGTCACATAGCAGTTAAAGGTGTGGAAGGAAACTAACTCAACTTCAAGAATTGTCCCCTCCGGTGAGTAGGGAAAACAGTTTTGTTACACGGGATCAGTGAATCCACAGATGCTGCAGGTCCCCATGCAAGGGATTCATGAGCATGGCTGTTAGAAAGAACCCTCCCAGCAGGCACACAAGCTGGGAGCTGACTGACTGTCCACGCACTAGTTCTGAGTGTTCATATCCAGAGTTCTCTCGATCTCCACTCTTCGTGGCAGTGAAGACGCAGGGGAGCCAATCCAGCAAAAAAACACCGACTTCAATAAACCGATGTTCCACCCTCCTGCACCGCACCCCTCCCGGCGTCCCACCGACGTCCCAATCCCAGATGTTCCGCGCTCCAAATTCCGGATCCCCAGGAAGCAAGGCCATCACAGGTACCAATTGCCTTTCTACCGTCCACTTTCTTAACTGCTTAGATCCAGCCCTGTCCTGGGTTGGCTTTGGACTCTTGCTGGGCTCAGTCTGCTCCATCCGTGACTGTCCCTGAAAAGTTACTCCAAGAAGCAGCTGAGGGGTTTAGATCCTTTAGCACAATATAAGTAAAAATTAGATCATCAAGGTCTTTATAACCCAGTGACAAGTTTTTGTTCTTTAAAGCATCGCACTAACCACAAGATGCAGAGAACCCTGTTTCAAATCCTGGTGTCACAAACAGGAGAGCTTTCTGACAAGGATTGGCTTTATTAGCTTGTCAGGTACAGGGATTTGGGTTGGGTCGTTTGGGATTTTTTTCGGCTTTGTTTGGCTTTTAGTTTTCCTTTCTCTCAAGCTGATATTTGCAGGGTTAGGCCTGTGCCTCAGCAAGTGAGATGGAGTACAGGTGTTTTCTCAGTGCTCCGCTCCCCACAGGAACCACTGGGAGATAGGCTGGGCACCAGCAGAGATGGAACCACCGTAGAAGTGTCAGGAAACTCAAGGTAGATTCTCCTGTAGTCCCTGTTCCATCCTTCCAAACAAGATCAAATGTAAAAAAGAAAATAAATAGGATACGAGACATAGCATTCACGTGTCCAGGCAGCAGGGAATTGCTCGGGTACATCTGTGGGGTCAGTTGATGAACACTCTGTCTTAGTGCAGAAGAAGGGATGATTAATTAGCTCCTTAAAAACCCCTGAAATGTTTGGCATGGACAGATGCAGGGAGGCAGAGATGGGAGAGGCCACAAGATGCTGTGCAAGGTAGTTTTTGTTTGATTACACACATCCACAGCTGCCAGCTGTTGTAGTGAGCAACCTATCTTACAGCTTCTGGGTCCCAAATTTCCATACTGTTGCTGCACCTCTTAAGAATGTATTTCATTCGAGCCCTGATTTGGGGTCTGCCTGGTTCAACCAATTTAGGTGTTCAAGCTGAGGAACCGCTTTCATTTTTATGTAAACCTGCGATGACTTCTTCCAGTCTTGTGTCTCTTTCAGAAGCAGAAAGAGCCTAACTGGGTGTTACCATGGGTCCAGATTTATCTAAGTAATAACTAAAAGGTGATTTATACACGCAGACATCTTTTTCCCCCGCTTCTCTAACCAAGAGGTATATCAGTACATTGGGTAAAAAACAAGCTGTTCTCTTCCTGTACGTGGGAAGGAATCTCACAACGCTTGAGTCTGGTACATTGACCTTCAAGAAACAAATAACTGCCTGGGGGTCCGACCATATCTGTCTGGTAGTGTGTTTTCCAAGATGTGTTTCAGGGCAGCTTCTTGTACACATGCAATCTGAGCGGCAGACTGGATTTCTGGTACAAATGCATTGACCACTTATCGGGAAGACAGCCTCCAGAAGGGATGCCTTCCAAGTGCAGCAGTTAAAGGCACTCCATGTGGGCCTGGGTAGTGCCAGGGATGGAGGACTGCCATTCCACTGACGGTATATCTGCAGCCCCTTGGTGGACTGGCACTCTGCCTTTACAGAGAGTTTTGCTTCACATGCAGACAGTTCAGGTGCAGAGAGGAGAGAGAACTGGTGTCCGCTGCCCTCTTCTGTGCAGGGGGGGATACACTAAGATGCATTAAACCCGTTTTTTTTCTTACACCAGACATGGTTGGGGATGAGGACAAAATCACCGTGCAAGTTTTTTACAGTTTTGGAAACCTCCACCTCAATTTCACTTGTGACATAAGCCAGGATTTGAATCTAGGTCTCTTTAGGGGTAGGTTGGCCAAGTCCCATCTTGTCATGGTTTTGTGCTCCCTCTGTGCCATCTGGTTTGCTGGTTACGTATGGCCTCTCCTTTCTGTTACTTATCTGTCAAAGGGGACAGACTGGATAATGTCTCTGGTTCCTTCTCAGCCCTGTTTAATGTGACTGTTTAATTGATTTGATTACCAAGTTGCCCTATTCTGCATTTTAGAAAGAATCAGTGCCCGCTAGCACTGGAAAAGTCCATTGAAGATTCAGGAGACAAAATTCATGGGCAGATATTTTGCAGCCACATCAGGCAGAAAGACTCTGTGTGAGAACCTCGCTACAGCCCAGAGCTGCCTGGGGTCTCAGTGTGAGGGAGGCACCACAGGGCTGATGGCTCCAGCTGTCTGCAGAAATACCAAATGACACGGTTACCCCAAATCAATTGGCAGCAGCCCCCGTCAGTCTTGAATTAAATATTTCTTTTCCCACATGACCTCCCTGTGCAGTTTGCCCAGCAGGGCTTTGCTCAGCCACATTCAGCTGAACCTGCTGGGTGACATATGAGAAGAGTCTATGCAGCACGGGCCACACACATTAGTTTGGCAGATTCGCCATTCATGTCGCTGATTTCCCATTGATCCTTCGAGTCACCTTCCCAGATACTGCAAACCCAGTTGAAGTGAGGCAATAATGCACACTACTTGTACTGAAGTTGTGCTAAGGCACACTGGGCTGAGAGGAATGGCTGGCAACTCTAACCCTAAATGTCACCGTGCAGTGACATTTCAGGACACTGCACCCCTGCCCACTCGAGGAATCCTTATATTGCAGTTACTGGGAGCAGCCCAGCCTTGTGTGTCAGCAGGGTGCCACAACAGGTCCTGCCTGCATGGCCTTAGCAGGGCAAGGCAGTGATGTTACTGTTGGCCGGCACAGCAGGGCAGAGGATCCACAAAAGCTTTTCCAGACTCAGGGGCAGCCCGTGGGTCCTCGCAATTTAAACATTTCAGGATGTTTAGCAAAGCTGATGACTAGGAAGTATGGGGAGAGCTGGCATGGGGATTCAGTAGGTGACACTCTCAACATCGTGGTGAGGACCAGAGTACCATCTGCAGATCTGGACACTTATGCCAGAAGCTTTGAGGGCTGCATGTTGTCTTCAGGAAGGGTGAGATAACAATTGCTTTTTTCTGCAGGCAGGAAAGCCATGACGCTCTTGGTTCAGCTAGGACTGGTTTTATAGGCTCCTTAACAGCCACTGCAGGCCACCTCAGCCACAAGGCAATGAAAGAAACCATCTTATCTGTTATCTCTTCAGTGAATCTAGCCCATTTTCATCCAAAATGAGATGATACTGGACTTTTTGGCTATATTCAGGGAATGCAGTTATGTGGCACAGAGGGAATGTTGTGTCCCTCCTTTCTGTGTAGTCCTATGTCCAGTGTTGGTCAGTCACCATCCCTGCTTTGTTCTCCACCCAGCAGAAAGTGCTTTCAGCAGGAGAGTGGAAGGCAAAGCGCAGAACAACTTTGAAGAAACAAACAGCAACTCGCAGAACTCCAGCGGTAAGTGTGCTCACTGCCTCCTGCCATAGCTTCCCACATCCCTCTCCAGAACAGGAATCAGCTGCAATCGGTGATCATATATGTGGGGAAACTACTTTAAGCTTGCAAACAGCTGTCCTTCCTGGGGTATCGTCCTCTTGTCGCTCCTCTCCAGATTCATGATGATATGGAGATTCTGCTCCCAGGTAGAGTACTAAAGTACCTGGGTGGTTTTTTCAGTGGGGATCAAAGAGGTAGAAAAGGGGAATGTGGATGAAGATAAAGGAGTATTCATTCTTTGTGCATCGGAGAAGTATTTGTGAAGTAAATCTGTTTGCAACAAACAAGAGAGCTCTGAGGACCATCAATAGAACAGTGGTTTGCATATTACAGTGATGCTAACTGTGACACTATATTTACACATCAGTGTAATTTGTGTCCAGCTGTTTGTGAGTTTGCTATACGGACGTCACAAGAGATGTGGAGATGTGGGAGCAGAATTTACCCCATTTCTACAACTCTTTTTGAATTTTAAGACCAAGTAGTGGTAACTAAACATAACCACTGGCCTGGACAATCTCTAAGACAACACCATTTCTAGTCTTTACAAGATTTTCATACTGTCTGTGTATTCCTTTGACCTCAAGTGGAACACTGCCTCTCCCACACGCTCCCTAAATGGAGCTTAACAGACAGACCAGAAGTAATATAATTTCAGCATCTTGATGCAGAGATAAATAAATTGCCATTAGAAAAGTCTGGCCTCCTTTCATTCCCCATGCAAGGGCACCAAAACACGTGGTGTACACAGTGCTGCTGCCTGCAATGGACAGGTAAGGGATTTCTCCTTGGGGTGTGTTGCACCGTGTCTGCCGTGGGGGTTTATGTCTGCTCTGAACCAAATGAGGGGGCTCTACAACTGCATAAAAAGGGAGCGGAGGGGTGTTGGATAACCTGCTTACAGTAGCAGAGTGGGTGATACTGAACGGGCAAAAAAATTGTTTCTGAAATATTGAGTGTTGTTTTGGGAACCATCCTGTACTAACCCAAGCCTTCACCACAATTACAGCTGTTCATTCGGGGACAGAAAAACCTAAAGAAAAGAGATGTAAGCAGAACCCATCAGGTGAGCTCGTCTCTGTGTTTCAGGTACTTGTACTTTCCAGCCCTATCCCACTTGGGAAGCAGCAGTCAGGAGAGCTTGGCTTGCCAGGTCTGTGTGCAGTCAGCCAGGGCAGGCTGTTAGATGTGACAGAAGGCAGATGTAGTTCAATGACTGTCAGGAGTTGTTAGCCTGACTTGCTGCTCTGAAAGTGGCCGCTTGCTTCAGCAAGCCTGCTCCCCCATGCCGTGTCTTCTGTAGGCAATATGAGTGCTTTGTTTGGAGGGTTTCAAAGCCTTTACATGCACATCTTTAAAAGCCAGTGTGCTTTTTGGGCTTCTCACTTCTGTGGAGCCCTCTGAAAACAGCAGCCTTTGTTTTTTTCCTGTCAAGTAGAGTCTATGTCATTATGGAAGAAGGAAAGAGTTACCTTCCTTCCTATCAAATAACTTGTACCTGAATTCAAGAAGGGTGTATTGTAAAACCTCCTGTCTGCAGACGAGCTCATGATAAGATGTTCAGGAGGAGAAAAGAACTTATAGCATGGGAAGAGGTCCAGGAACTGCTGACAAGAAGTACGCACAAAACTACTGAATGGCTGCACTGAATTGCTGAAGAATTCAGTTCTGCCTGAACTGGTATCAAATACTGACCCACTGTTGCTATGACATCTCACAGACTCTCCTCGCCATCTCCTTGTACCACCATGCTCATCCTTCTGAATCTGTTTACTGCAACTCTTAGTGGGAAAAAAAAACAACAAAGGCTTGAAATTCTTAAAAGTTGTGCGGTTGATTTAATACGATTTGCTCATCTTCTTTCATTGTAAGAATTGTTTCTGCCTGCACCACAGGTATGGTCAGTTTATTTTGGTGGCTCAGTGAGAGAGCTGCTTAGGACTGGTTTGAGGAGATTGGAGCTCTGGTTGGAAGCACTTCTTTTCTGATTTAGATAGCTGACATGCTTCCTACAAGCAGACTGGTGCATGGCGATGTATAAACTTCCCTTTCCCTCCTTCCTACGTCTTTCTCACATCTTCTTCCCTAGCCCTGCTTTTCCCTGTGATTCCATCTTTGTGCTCTGTCCTTTGTGTCTCATTCTCTTTTCCAGCTCTTCCACCAAACCGTCTCCTCTCTTTTATTTCTTGTGTTCTCAGGAGTTAATCTGAATGTTCTCACTGCTGCTACGCACTGGTGAATGGAGGCTGTGGAAAGCTCTGTGGACATATATGTGCTTGGGTGTCCAAGCAGAGCTCTCCATAACTTTGTTTTTGAAGAGCTGTCATTATATCCCCATTTGCTTCTTTCCATGGCTGTGTTTCGGTGGCTGGAACAAATCCCATGTGGCTCAGTGTTCACGTGTATGATGGGAACTGTTGGAATAGCTCTGGCAAGGTTGACTTGTCTTCTCTTATGCTCCAGCCAGCAGATTTCACACAGGCAGGATAGCAGCTGGAGATAATGTGCGGAGAATGACAGGATGGACCCTCCCCTCTCCTTCCATCTGCTGCTTATCACTAGCTCTGCTGCTGCAAAGAACAATCCCCAGGTTTGGGAGGTGAATCCATGTCCCAGTTGAGCAGCCCAAGAGCTGCATGGTTTGGCCTGTTAAACGCTTGATTCTCTGTAACATTTGCTTGTTGTGGATGTTAATTTTGTGGTGTGTTACCAGAGAAGGTGAGCAGGGTCTTCTGTGGTCACTGAGCCAAATTATGCTGTGTCACCATCCCAGCTGCAGTACCACACGTCTAGGAGAGAAAGACAGTGATGGGGAGGACGAGCAGAGCAGAGTCAGCAGCTAACACTACTTAACATAGACTTGGAAGCAATGCTTTGGAGAGCAGTAAGTGGGAGTAAGGCAGCTAAAATGGAAAGTGTTGAAATCAAGATGTCTCTTCCCTGGACACAGCCCCACTCCTTGTCATAGGGAATTCAGGTACTGGTGTCCTTATCTGAGAAACCTGGCATCTTACTGCCCATAAAAAAGCAGCAGGACCAGATCTGCTTGGCAAAGCCAAACTTTGAGGCTGCATGTGAGCCTGTTAACATAGAAGGGGACCTTTTCCTATCAGGGCATGGTGATGCCACAGGGTGAATAGAGGACTGTTCATCTGCTGCCCACCTCCTGCAAGGGAGGGTTGGAAAGAGGCTGTACAGCTTCTGGATTTTTGGTGAAATCTGGGAGTTCTGAAGTGCTTTGAAAGTGCTGTCTGCTGAAATGTGTTTCCTTGGGCTGCCTCCGCAGTGGTCTCCAGTCACACTGAGCTTGTTGTTACTGCTGAACTAGGCAAGGTCCAGAAGCAATGGCGTGGCCTAATTGTGAAAGATGAAACTGGCTTGTTGCAGTGTTGTTAATCATCCAAGGCAGTGCAGGGTCACTTTAAAGAAAACACTCCTTGGTGGAGTGTCATTTTGCTGAGTCTTGACATACGCAGGGCTTTTCTGTACTAAATTCTCAAGAGGCAAAAAAAATATTTGAAGGCCATCTTCTGTGAAATATTCCAGTGATTGTCATCCTGAGTCTGGTATGGAAAAAGCCCCAGAAAAGGATGAACGTACGTGTCGTGCTCAGTAAGCAAGGCTGCTGCCTTCCTCTCTGCCCTCTCCCAGCAGAGCAGCAGAGCATTTGGCTGCAGCTGTGCAGCCTGCTTCAGCAGAGGCACGGAGTAACCATGGGTGTGTTATGGCCCAGACTTCTGGGTCCCTGTGTCTCACTTCTTGTCTGGCTTCAGAAAGCCTCAAGGGCAATGATTTGAGGTTTACAGCACAATCCAGCTTTAAACCACTGACTTGGACTTTATAGACAGTTGTATGGTAAAATAAGAATTTGCATGGTAAAACAAGAATTTGTGGTAGCACCACCTTTAAGCTAAGAAGGCTGAATGAAACTGCAAGGCATCAAGAAGAAACGAAAAAAAAATGAGGCAAAAAAGAGAAAGTTCTTTAGTTCAGATAGCTTAAAATACAGCCTTTGGAAGAAATAAAAATCTACTGGAAAATGACAGCATTTGTTGATATCTAAACCTGCTAAATAAGATTTTTAGGGTATGTTCAATGAGGAAATCGAACAGAAATAGTGTGGTAGAGAGGAAGGGTGTCTCTCCAGCTTAGCAGCTTTAGTTTAATGGAAAGTAGCAAAAATGCTCAGTGTAAATGAGCTTTAAACTCACAATCCGAATCTCTTCTGAAGGTTTGTTTGGTGGTGATGGGATCCCACGTGATGTCGGCTCGGTTTCTCTTGTTGGCCATACATCCTTTTCTGTTCTTGATAGCGCTGCCATCACATCACCATCTAGTTGTGTTTCCTTTGGTTGTGTCTGTGCTGAGGAGTCCATGCCAGCCCCGCAGCCCTGGGTTTCTGTCCCGTGCTGTGGGACAGCCCTGAGTGTGGTGGCAGGGCCACAGTTGCACTGGACACTTCTTTCTCCATTTGCAAATCTGAGAAAGAAATGGGAGTTTTATTGAGAACATGGGAGTTCATATTGGAAGAGAAATCAAAGTAATACCAATACAGGGATTCCCTTCTTAGAGCATATTTGGTAGCACCTCTTCATGTAGCTCTTCTTTCGCTGTCAGAAGTGGGTGGTGGTGACAGAAGTTGCTTTGGAGAAATTCCCATTTGTTGTTGTGTGTGATGGCATTTCCCTAGGAGATTACTGCCTTTTGCATCGGTCTGTGGCCAGTGTGTGCAAAGATGTGGCTCTGCTCTTCTCTCTGGCTTAGAAGTGGCATTGAGAGTTAGCATGGGAAACAGTGCTTTGTTTTAACTGAGCACAAATGGTGCTGTTGCTTTCTCTTGGCCTGCAGGGCCTACTGTCTTGCTCCAGACCCCTGTTCACTGGAGATACATAGTTAAAGCAGTAATAAACACACCTAATGATAGCCCTGGGGAGAGATGTTTGAAGCTGAACAGCCAGCACTGACCGTTCCATGTAGCTAAAGAGGCTGAGGAGATTTCAGCAGCTGCTGGTGCTTTGGGGTTTCTGCAAAAGTATTTGCAGGCAGCACCAGCTGTGCCACGTGATGTACCAGTGTGATGGAGCTCCTCATCCGGAGGTGGGCTGCATCACTTCTCCTCGGCCCTCTGGAGATGTGTGAGAGTGCTGTGCTGCATACCATGAGTCGTGGGTTGCGTGATACTTTTGGTTCATTGGTCAGTGCAAAGTCTTTTGCAGGATGCGCTGGTGGCAGTCAGTAGCTTGGAGACCTGCGAGTACTCCAGCACATCAGGGTGTGGGGTGGTATGCTCTGGCATAGCAGTACGTGTCCCCAAGCTCTCCTTACATTCAGCAGCACTTTTTTGCCTGTACCCAGCTCCTGTAACCCCAGGGGGCTCTGGGAGCTGTGATAGAGGTGTGAGCTGGAGCTGCAGGCATCAGGACCAGCAGGCAGTGTGTGTGCCAGCAGCTGCTCAGCAGTGCCAGCAGAGGAGGCTGGAGGGAGAAGAGCCCATGCCAAGGGATGTCCCTGCCTGGATGTCCCTCCAAAAGCCACCTGGATGAGGTCCTGCACAGCCTTCTGTCATTGGCCCTTCCTGAGCAGAGAGTTTGAACCAGATGGACTCCAGAGGTCTCCTTTCCAACCTCAGCTGTGCTGTGGTTCTCATCAGAAGGGGCTCCTGTTGCTCCTACCATGACTCCTGGGCCCCTCAGCTACAGAATAGCAGGATTTGGTTCCTGAGAAGCAACAAAGGGCTCAGGGAGACCAGAGATGTTTCCAGCAGTGTGGTTTGGGCTTCCTGGGCTGTCCTGCTGTGGATTGGAGGTCTCCGAGCCCTTTCTCAGCTAACTGCATGGCTATTCCTTGTTTATACACAAGGCTGTTTTGGCCACCCAGCATGATCTGGGCTGCTGGGGAGCATAGATGTTCCCTGGGCCTTAAAGCAACAGCACTGAGGGGTCAGAGCTTTCACTGTAGCACCACTGACCAAGCTGAGAGAGAAGGGATTCACTTGTGCGAGCAGACTGGGCATGGACTGCTCCCATAGGGGGACCTGTGGGTCCCCTGTTCAGCTTAGAGCACCAGTGGGGGACAGATCCCAGCCAGGTGCTGGAAACCTCAGTGTGAGCAGGGATGGTTTCTGCCTGCTTTCAGACACAGACTGTCCCTTTCTACTCCCCACCTTCCAGCACCAAGGCAGCCCACTGCCAGCTCTGATTGCTCCCTGTGCTGTGAGCAGGCGTTTGCAAGCTGACATCTCAAAAGGGCAGGGATCAGGAAAGCCCTGGGTTCATTACCGTGTGAATGCTGAGCATCCCTCCCTCCATCCTGGGAAGAACTTCTGATTTGTGTGATGAATTTATATTTTATCTCCTGTTCTAACATCACATTTCTTTGTCTGTGGCAAACTGTGGACTCCAATGAATCTTTGTCGTAGAAAATGTTTCAGCATTTTGAGAACAGTGAATGAGTTTTCAAAAGCAGGCAATGGCTTTGTTACCAGAGCTGGCTGTTTCTGTAGGAGGAGGCTTTTGGAAATAAGATCAAAAGCATGATTCCAGGAATCAAAATGAGAGACCTTTTGGAGTGCACTAAGGGTACAGTGTGTTGCAGTCCTCTAGTCCACTCAGCTGCCACGTTTCTCCCTTTTCTTCAAAAGCAGTTTCTGAAGGAGGAAGGTATGGCTCACTGCAGCAAAACCCAGCAGCAGCAGCACTGGAAAATGCAGGAAGTTAAATAAAGCATTGAGCACAACTCGACAGCTGGGGCTGTTCCTTCATTTCAGGGGCTGTGTGTTCTGGGGGGAAGGCATGGCAGTGTGTAACATTACAGCATATAAGTGCAGCTTGTATTGTGCTTCCTTTTGTGTTTTCCCTCTCAGCCCTCTGTTGCCATCTGATAAATTCAGTGTTCTGCTACCTGAGATAGACATCTCACAGACAGAGCCCAGGCAGGCTTGTGCTTTCCAGTATTCTGGCTCTTCCACTCGGGATGCCAGTGCTTGTACTTACATGCAGTAGATTTTGTTTCACTGATACAAACATGTTTTTCCTTTCGGAAGTTGATACAGGCTTATGGTATATTGTCATAGACTCTGTATGCGAAGATGCTCATGTGCTGAACTCTGCTTTGTCCACTCACCTGTTCCGAAATAGATTGGTGGCAGCGTGCTGATTTATCCAGAGGTTTCTAACAGGCTTCAGTGCTAACATAGCTCAGCTCCATGGTTTGGTGTTACATTTGTCAACTAACGCACTCAGCTAATTACTATTTAAATCAAGCAACTGCGAACATGTGCTGCTAGGTTAATTCAGCTGAAGAAATGCCTTTTCCCCACACTTGTTAGAACAGAACTAACCGTATCTTTCGGCACATGATGGAGCTCTGCCCCCAGCTCTCCCCTGGCTCCAGCTCCTGCCCACAGCTCTGGAACGCGGCTCTGCTCTGCTCTGCACAGCTCTGGGTTCTGCTCTTCCTGCCCCCGGCTCCGCTCACCCCACCTTTGTGCAGCCTGCCAGCACTCGCTGTGCCCCAATCTCACTGCACTTCTCAGCAGCCACCAAAAAGAAAATAAGCCACATCCTAGGTGGCAATTCTCTGTTCCAACTTCCTGAGCTACAAGATTCTTACATCCCAGTGCTCCTTGCCTTACTTAGGGAAGACAGCAGAGCCTGGTATTGCACATAAACAGATGTAGAATGCACTCACTGTGCTCTGAGGCTTAAAAAGAGCAAGGATGATCCTGCAGATGTGAGCTAGCGAGGCCCAGTTGGAGCACAGCTTCTCAGGGCTTTGTGCATCCTGACACTTACGTGCCCAGCCCTGGAGAGCCCTGTGGCCATGCCCCAGCCCTCTGGAGCTGCTGTGACAAACACACAGCTGCAGTGATACTCATCTCAGGCTGTCCCACTGCTGCACAGACTGAAGTACACACGGGTGCTGCTTCCCCACATACTCTGTGTAATTCTTCTGAACTGATTTTTCCCAAACAGAGCCTTACACCTGTGGAGCTTGTGGAATCCAGTTCCAGTTTTATAACAATCTCCTGGAGCACATGCAGTCCCATGCAGGTAAGCTGGGCACCTCAACTCGCTTAAAGCAGAGAATGACATTCTGCTCTGATGCCTGGTGTTGGCCCTGCTGTATGTCAGTGGAGCTTCATAGCATCATAGAATGTGAGCTTCCCATGCTCACAGTTTCCAAAGCCCCAGGAGCGTCACCTTCAGCAAAAAGATCCTGACAGGCTGAAACAGCAGTTGCAGCAGTGTGAGGTGTGTGTGCTCCCTTCCCTAGGAAGAGAGGAATTCTGCCATTCCAGCACATCCCACAGCTCTTCCCTTTGCTCAGAGACACCGGGGGAATGCTGCTTTATAAGCACTGCTCCCACAGCAGAGGAAGCCTCTCCTCCCACAAGCAGGGTAGTTCTCATTCAGGCAAAGCAGAATGCTCTCAGGGCAGCAGAGCCTTGGCCCACGCGAGTCCCTTTCTCTGCTTATGCCTCCTGCAGTTCTGCAAAGGGCTGAGATGTGCTCTCAGAAGTGTTTGTCATTTCAGCAGTTGTGTTTATTTCCTTCTCTACAAAAGAGAATTCTGAGGAGTAGTAATTCTCCTACTTTATTTCTAAGCCACCTTTTTTGTTTCTATCTCAGTACATAAAAGAAGATTTTAGCATTTCAAAGCCAAAGCTGTATCAGACAGCATTCAGAATATTCAAAAACATAGAAAAAAGGATATTTTTGATATACACAGACTTTTTTCTCTATCTTGATTGAAAATTGAAGTGAATTATGGAGGTTTACAAAGAAATTCACCTCTGGCAGACCTGTGCTCTCCAACAGAGCTGCTCTGTTGCAGTGCACATTCAGTGCTTCATTCGTGCTCACATTGCAGGTAAGCCCTGAGCAATGGCAGGATAGGATAGGTTGCTCGAGGAAAAGTGTGTATTCCATTCTGTACCAGCAATCTTAATCAAAGCTCTTATTTTGTTGTATTTTAGTTTTAGTCTTCATTTTAATGGCACTGTTCCCGGGGTTCTCCCTATGTGCAGTTCCTCAGGTTCTGCTCCTTTGGCAAATCATAGTGCAGGCTCTGTGTGTTATTCAGCAGCTACTTTATTTACTGTCTTTGCAATGCTACGGGTAGGCTTTCAGGGTGGTTTGTTGTAAGACAGCAGAAGCTGAGCTTTTTGGATGTTGCTTTCTATTAGAGGATGAACTGATTGGTGTGCAGTGCCTAGGCATTGTGCTGCTGAGCAGCAGTGCTGTGCTCAGGGCTGGTGCTGCTCTGTGGTGCTGGGGTCTGTTCTTGCCCTTCATCAGTGGTGATTCCTGCTTGCCTCATGTGCCCTGGCTGTCCTCCTTGTTCTGGTCCCTGCTGAATTATGTGTTAAGTGACACCGAGGAGCTGCAAAGCACGGGCTGAGCTTGGTTATGAGGGTGAGAAGGGCAATCTACTGGCAAGTGGGGAGCTTCCAGAATGTTGAGCTAAGCTCTCTGCAGCTTCTTCCTCCTCGCTTCCTTACAGATGATCAGTGGCTCACCTGGGTTGCAAAGGGATCAGGTGTCTGTGATCTGAGTCCCACACAGTGTTACCTATACCAGTGGGTAACCCCCTCTCTCAAGCTCAGTGTTACTGCCATTAAACTTCATTTTCCTCCCTTTTCTCTGTCTTTTTGTAAGACATTGTTCTGCTTGTTTGCTTCCCCCCAAACATTCCTCACTTACTGAAGCACTTTCTCCATACTGTGCCCTGGGAAGGAGCCATCCCCGTGCAGTGCAGTGTGTGCTTGTGCCTCGTCCTCGTGGGGAAGCAGCAGCCTTTCCTGCAGCTCTGTGTGTCTGTACTATTGGGTGTTTGCTACTGTGGGAGAGGGCAAAATAAAGTGAACAAAGTGAGAGCTACAACCAGCTTTGGTGGCTGTCTGGTTCTGGAAACTGAATTCAAGCAGAGCAGCAGTGAAGGCGACACAGTGGAGTTATTGGTCGCAGTTTTGTTGCCTTGTGGTCTGTTAGAACTTGGAGATTGGCAAATCCAAGAAGCACATCAGCACAACATCTCTGCAACCTGGGGAGGCAGAAACCTTACTGGTTAGCAGAACTGGTGGCAAAGGATCCCCTTACTGGGAACACTGGCATAGTAACCATTTGTATGCCTGTGTTCATGATATATTTCGTGATGGGTTTGGAGATCCAGTGAGCCCATAGGTGTCAAATGCTCCATTAACTGAAGTGTTTGGGTCCTGCTTGTCTTCCTGTGTCTGATCTGAAGGGCTCATCTCCTCCAGCTGAATGCAGCATGTCCACTGAGCCCCTATTGCAACTGGTCAAAGGACAGGGAATGTGTTGCTGGCTGTGAGGAGCCAGTGCAGGGACCTGTTGGCTCCTGAGTCATTCAGAGAGCTGAGCCTGGAGGCTAAAAGGTAATAAGGAGAGATTATAGCTCCATAAAGCAGCTACACAATGAAAAGAGGTAATTAGAATGCAAATTGGAGGCTGAAAGGCAGAAGTAGAACAGTAGAACATCAGGAGAAGGAATTTGTTCTGTAATTACTGTACAATATACAGTTTTAACTCCCTTTAGGGTACTTTGTTCAGGTTGAGTGCTACGGTATAATGCCCCTCCTACTGTCTAGAGCTAAAAGAATAAAAAGACAACTAGGCAGAATCTGGATTAAAGGATTGGAGGCGTGAAGAAACATTAAAGACCCATGATCTGTGTAGTTCACTGACTGCCCGATAAGGAAGACGAGACCAAAATGTACACAAATCTCATTAATGCCACACTGAATGCCAGTGGATATTTACACACCATAAACCCGTTATTACTGCAAAATAGATAAAGAGTTGGGGAGAATAAATTCAGAGGTTTTCTCCCCCCCGCCAAGCCCAAGATAAGGAAACCTTCATGTTGGTACCTGAACAGTGAACAAAGTTAATAGCCAGCATTCCTCATTTTCCTTTGTCTACCCCTCAATGCGTGGAGTTGCAGCCACTTGTGATATTGGGCCAGAAGCCATCAGGGTCAGCAAACACTGCAGGAAGAGCAGTGTGTTGTACCTGATTGCTGGCATTCACCTCCTGCTCACTGTGTCTCTACCACACATGCAAAGACCACCTGTGGCTGCAGTGCTGAGCTCAGTGATGCTCCCCAGCAGCATCCCCAGCAGCTGCCACAGCACCCTGAGTGTCCTGGGCACGTGCATTCCTTGGGACAGCCCTGCGTTCTGCCCTGGTTGGGCTCTGGTTCTGCCGTGCTCTGGATTGCTGTTAGGTCTGTTCAGGGCTCGTAATAACTGACCATCAGCAAGGTTTGTGCATGCCTCAGTGACTGTCTTGCAGAGCTGTTCAGATTTGACAGGACTTGCTTGCAAAGAAGAGGGCAGTGAAGTTTCACTGTCTGATTGCTGGTCTCAAGATTCTTGCCAGACTCCCTTCTCTGCTGGCCCATTGCCACACATAAGGAGAGCACCTTGGCTCTCTCCTGCTCGTTCTGGTGGACAGCAGGTGAACCTGGTGGCAGAGCAAAGCCCACATCCCTGTGCGTGCTGTAATAAAGCATCTTTCTAATTCATATGCTGCTGTCTGGAGCACTGGGGCAGGCTTCAGTTCAGTGCATTCTGGTTTATGTAGATGGCAGGTGTTGCCATCTGAGCTGGTCTTCTTGAGTTTGCTTTAAAATCAGTGGAGAAGTCATTGACTCCAGGTGAGTTCAGAGCTGTTGGATCTCCTCCTGCAGGAGGAACCTTGTTCTGAGGGAATGAATCACGCTATTAGCCTGTGTCACACTATTGAGAGTAAAAAAAAGCCTCAAAGGGGTCACCTTGAGTAGAAGCATTGTAACAGAGATGTGCAAAATTAGACAAGGTGCATCAGCTGTGATAAATAAAGCATCGGTTTTGGCTTCTTTGTTCTTTTAATTCCATCTTTCTGTTCAGCTTGGTCATCAGTGTCTCCACCTTCCTCCTTCCTTTTCCACCTCTTTTCATTATGCACTTCAGTGTAGCATCAGAGGCTGTTTCAGAGCACAACTTCATAGTGAAGCATACTAACAACAGGACGACTCCTTGGGGAGGGCAGTTCTTGGTGCACGGGAAAGGACATGGATATGATGTGGAACTTAATGATCTTGTCTGCATTTCCTGGAAGAATCTCTTCAAACTGGCAGTCAAATTGTTTAGCCAGCCATATAAGAAAATGGGAATGTAACACACAGACCCCCAGGAGATCGTCTCTGCAGCCATGGGAAGGCATGATCACACTCCACAAACTTTTTATTCCTTTTTGTTTCCAGTCTCAGGCAGCAGCGAGCAGCCCAAGAGAGTTTGGCATCTCTCTACAGTGGGAAAACAAGCATCTATGACTATTATAGTAAGATCATTAGATACAAAGGGATTGAACATAGCTTAAGAAACAAAGTAGTTCAGTAGAGAAAGGGGAAGCTCTGGATCTGCAGAAAGACAGACAGTAGGATGGAAAGGTAAATGTCTGCTAATCCTGCTTTCATTTGAAAGAAGCATATTGCACAGGTCGGGCTGCACAAGGAACATCTATTCTTTCTGATGTGCAGCTTGATTGAGAGACAGTTCTAAAGTTGTGCTGGTGCACGGGAAAAACTATTGTCATTACAGCCACAGATGGGAGCTGATGGAGTTCAAGTCCAAAGTTTTCAAGGTTACTGACAGTACTGTGCCATCTCTGAGAAACACTTACTGGCTACAGACAAATAGTAGATTGGTGTCACCTTAGTGAGGGACCCAGCAGATGGGTATTGTTTCCCCTTTGTGTTTTAAGCATCAGTACCTTGTACTTCTAATACCTCCCTGTTTCTCATTCCACAGCTGACAACGAGAACAATATTGCCTCTAGCCAGCCCAGATCACCTCTACCTGTTGTTGAAGAGAAGTGGAAACCGCAGCTCCAAAGAAATAACGCTAACAACAGTACGTAGCAATGTTTGCTCTTCCATCCTGGGCTTACCTGTCAGCTTTAAGAGTGGCTGTCAGGTGTGCAGCAGTGACTTGGACACGCACAAGGCTCTTGTTTTCCCTGCCTGCACTTGATTTCATCTGCAATTCATGTACCACCCTGCAGAGCAGAGACTGTTCCCATTAGAAGAGCAGTAGTATGCAGAAAGTATTGGGAACTCCAGGGGGGCTGTTTGTAGGAGAGGTGCACTTGAGAAAAAAATGTCTGATCCTTGGTCAGACTTCCCATTCCGGTGTTAAGAGATTGCTTCATTTCACCTGGTATGCCATAGGCATAGCCTGCCTCTCCCTGCCAGTGTCTGTCTTTGTCCCCAGCTTGTCCTGCAAGGTTGCACTTCTTGGGAAATGGTAAAAGACAGTTTTGTGGGAAAGCATCCTCAGCACTTGAGCTGAGCATCCTAGGGGAAGGGTGATGGGAAAACACCGATCCTTTGTGTTCTGCTGTGGCCAGAAATGACACTAATGTTGTCCAAAATGAGCCACAGAAGATGGGAGTTGCTGGAGACGAGAGGAAAAAACTTCAGCGCTTTATGAGTTAGTGAAGGAGGTTGTATGCCTCGGTCCTAAAACAAGTGGCTCAAAGAAAAGATTTAAATCACAAAAATGGTAAGAAAGCCATCTTTCCAGCTGGACCAAGGCAAATTATCAGAGCTGTTAACAGAAATGTGTAGCACATTGCATGCAGGATTGTGATAGCTAAATGAACGTCACAGAGGTGGAATTCAGGCATTCAGGATTTGGTTGTGAATAGCTGTTGTGGAAGGTGTGCAGATAAGCTCTTAGCTGCTCTAAGCAAGCTGCTGCATGTTCTCTGCAGGTCCAGAAGACCTTTGGGGAACAAGTCCAGGGTTGAAAATGTCTCTGCTACCATCTGTGCATGTTCTGTTTCCTTATGTCAGTCTCAGGATTGTTTATTGACCCCCGCACTGTTGCAGAGGAGCAGCTCTCACCCGGTGCTTTCTTTCTCTCCTTGCATTTCACTGCAGCCTCTGCGAGCGGCTCCGTAGGGAACAGCGCGATCCCGGAGAAGGAGCGGCAGAACATTGCCGAGAGGCTCCTGAGGGTGATGTGCACTGACCTCGGGGCGCTGAGCGTGGTGAGCGGGAAGGAGTTCATCAAGCTAGCGCAGACCCTGGTGGATAGCGGGGCTCGCTACGGTGCCTTCTCTGTCACCGAAATCCTTGGTAATTTCAACACACTGGCTCTGAAGCATTTGCCTCGGATGTACAACCAAGTGAAGGTGAAAGTCACCTGCGCCCTGGGCAGCAACGCCTGTCTGGGCATCGGGGTCACTTGTCACTCGCAGAGCATTGGCCCCGATTCTTGCTACATCCTCACAGCTTATCAGGTGGAAGGCAACCACATCAAGAGTTATGTCCTGGGAATTAAGGGTGTAGATATTCGAGATAATGGTGATTTTATCCACCACTGGGTACAGAACGTGCTCTCAGAGTTTGTGATGTCAGAGATCAGGACGGTGTATGTCACAGACTGCAAAGTCAATTCCTCTGCGTTCTCCAAGGCAGGCATGTGCTTGCGTTGTTCGGCCTGTGCCTTGAACTCAGTAGTGCAGAGCGTGCTGAATAAGCGAACTCTACAGGCTCGCAATATGCACGAAGTGATCGAGCTCCTGAATGTCTGTGAAGATCTGGCGGGATCCACAGGCCTCTCAAAGGAGACCTTTGGCTCCCTGGAGGAGACTTCTCCCCCGCCCTGCTGGAACTCGGTCACCGACTCCCTCCTACTCGTGCACGAGCGCTATGAGCAGATCTGCGAGTTCTACAGCAGGGCCAAGAAGATGAACCTCATCCAAAACCTGAACAAGCACCTGCTCAGCAACCTGGCGGCTATTTTGGCACCGGTGAAGCAGGCTGTGATTGAGTTGAGCAACGAGAGCCGGCCCACCTTGCAGCTGGTACTGCCCACCTACGTCAAACTGGAGAAACTGTTCACTTCCAAAGCTAACGATGCTGGCGTGGTCAGCAAACTCTGCCACCTCTTCTTGGAGGCGCTGAAGGAGAACTTCAAGGTTCATTCGGCGCACAAGGTAGCCATGATCTTAGACCCCCAGCAGAAGCTGCGGCCTGTCCCGCCGTACCAGCACGAAGAGATCATTGGCAAGGTCTGTGAGTTGATTAACGAGGTGAAAGAGTCCTGGGCAGAAGAAACAGAATTTGAACCTTCGACCAAGAAGGCCCGGGCAGCAGGGGAAGCCGCAGCAGCTCAGGAAGAAGATTGGTTCGGGAAAAATGAAGTCTATGATTATTTGCAAGAACCTCTCTTCCAGGCCACTCCTGACCTCTTTCAGTACTGGTCGTGTGTTACCCAAAAGCATACAAAACTAGCCAAGCTAGCCTTTTGGCTCTTAGCAGTGCCTGCTGTTGGTGCCAGAAGCGAATGTGTAAATATGTGTGAGCAGGCACTCTTAATCAAAAGGAGGCGGCTGCTCAGTCCAGAAGACATGAACAAACTCATGTTTTTGAAGTCCAACATGCTTTAAGACTGTCTTTTAATTAAAACAAAACTTTAAAACACTGTTCCAAACAAAGAAAAAGAATTTAAGTTCTAAACACTGTGGACCTCATTATGAATGCCCCTGAAAACCAAGTGCTTTTTTATATATATATAAAAATATAAATATATATAAAATTAAGTTTGAGAGGAAAGCTGAGCACGTGAGAGAGACAGCCCTCTGCCAGGAACGTGCTCCTTTCCATAGATAGTGTGTGGACTTGACAGACTTTCTAATGTTTTCAAGTGGGCAGACCAATGGGAGGCTGATGTTCTAAAGTCTTCAGGCAGCTGAGATCTAAAGTGACTTGAAGTTTCTTTTGTTTCTCCTCCACCCCACCTTTCCTCTTGTCCCCTGGGCCATCTTGCCATGGATAATCAGACTACATTGAACAGAGCAGTTCTGCACTGGACTTTGCTCCTTTGAATAACTGTACACCTTGAGGGCATTTGTCTACAGCCTTCTTGACATACGGTGCACGTTATCAGGGCAGCTGTGTTTTATGAACACCAGTATCTTTAGAAATCAGGAAGGGAGACTTTAATTTTTTTATTATTATTTCACTTCTTCATGTAGGGTTTTTCAAAAAAAACAAAAACAAAAAACACACAAAACCAAAAGTTAGTCTTTTGTCTCCCAGTTTTAACGTGTTAGCTAGCGCTTATAAGTTTGATTTAAAATTAAGAGAAGTAATTCAAGGCAGAAAATGTCTGTAATCTTTACGTTTCTTGGATTTGCTTTTTCTCACAGCACACCATCTTTTCTGAATTCCCAGTGTAAATTAGCTTCTCGGTGAATTCTGTGCATCAGGGGTTCTCAAGCTTGTTGGTAGAGCAGCCCATTTGTGATTGTATAACGCCCTTATGGGAGCCACAGCAGTTGCTTATATGGAAGAGCTGGAGACCAGGACAGGCGAGCGGTGCCCACACAGCGTCTGTGGGCTCTGCCATCTGCCATTGAGAACCCTTGTACCTAAAATCTTTGCAAACCTTCCCAGTCCTCACACTCAAAATAGCCTTCACAAGGCCAAGGACAAACCAAGGTGTATGATTTTTCAGGGGAACAAAGATTATCAGTGTTGTCAAAGTAGGGTTTGAAGGAAGCTTAGAGAAGCGCATGGGCTCAAAGATCCTTCTGAATGTAAGTGCTCCTGATTGAGTGCAAAGAATATCTTTCCCTTTTATTTGGAATGGTTTCCTCTAGTAGCACGAATGTCTTTTTTAATACCTACAGTGCATTACACTACTTGTTACGTTGTTTAATTGTTCTGGCTAGGAAGGCTGCGGGCCCTTAAACGTTCACACTCACTGGCTCACCCCGTATGCAATTAGAGATCATTGTTGCACAAAAACATCTCCACTCTGCGTTCACTAAGGCCAGTGCTCTGCTGTGTCCGGTGCCGTGGGTGCAGCACTGCGTGCTGCTGGATGGGATCTCTGCAGGCTGTCGCATTTGGTGCCTCTTGGACAATTCCTGACTTCTGGTGCCAAATTGTAGATGTCCCATCGCTTGGACTTGCATCCCCAGAGGCCAGTTGAAACCAATTCTGATTTTTGAAGCAGGGCCTCCAGCTTCCAGCAGCGTGCTCCAAAGCTGCTGTTGGAGGTGTGGGAGCACAGCTGGGGCTCCCAGTGGGAGGCTGGGGCCCTCGGACAGTGCAGGGCTATCTCTGGTGGCTGAGTGTGGTGGTAGGGCCCATCAAAGGTGGTGGGGCCCTCTGAAGTGCATGCTTGAGACCTTCCCTAGATCAAGGGTGGTGTTTGTACCCGAGTGTCTTGCCCCAGAACGACTTGCTCCTTTTGGCTTGCATCATGCAATACTTACTGTAGCCTGAGCACAGACCTCAGGCTGGCAGCACCTCTCAGCCTTGCAAATAGCCTCAGGGCAAAACCAGTTGTCACCTAAATTGAGTTTTGCATATGGGTAACTTCAAAGGTAGAGTCCACAACCCCACGGGTAACTGCAGGGTGAGCGGTGCATGAAGGTGAGCAGCCGAGGCAAAGCTACTGGAGGTCCAATCTCTGGCAGTGGTTTTTGCAGGTGGCAGTGCAGGTTGCAGGCCAGCTCAGCTCTTTGCTGGTTGTACTTATTTTCTCCCATACAGCTCCTGCTCGCCCAGCAGCACATCACAAAGGAAGCCTGTAGCAAGCAAAACCCAAGCCTCAGACTGAAACAAACAAAAAATCAGCAGGTAGAGGTGGGAGGTGTGCTAATTATCCAGCATTTGTGCTGCAGGGCCTGCTGAAAAGCAGGAGGAGAATGGGGCTGAAGGACATGTCAAAAACGGGATGGGCTGCTGAGCCTACAGAGCTCAGCAGAAGGCAGACCTGAGGCAGGATTTGCAGCTCTTTCTCCAGATGGCATCTTTCACCTTTGCACTTGGTTTGCCTTTGGCTCCAAGAGCCACTTGCAGTCTCTGTGACATCCAGGGCAATGCCTGACATCTCTGTGTTCCTTTGAGACAGAGTTCCAAGCACTTCTTTCCTAAGGGTGAGGGCACCCAGAGCTCCCCTTCCCCTTCCTCTTCTCTTCTTGAGGGTTGGACACAATGATCTCCAGAGGTCGCTTCCAACTCCTACAGTTCTCTGATTCTCATACTCTGAGGCAGAGATCTGAAGCTTTCTTGCTGCAGTGACCAAATGCTGCGATCTCCTGGCCCTCCATCCCACTGCCTTCTCCAGGGCACCGTTGGTTATCATTGCACTAATGCGAACATGGATCTGGGCAAGCATGGAGTGATGTCTGGCAGATGAGGTACTCCCAAAGACTTAAAAACTCAACTAGCAGCTAAAAGAGCAAAGCAAAACCAAAAGGCTGTGAAACGGAGCAGTCTGGAGGGTCTTGGTAAGAAAACAAGCTGGCCAGAACCTTTTTCCAGTGTGTCAGCCACAGCTCTTTGTGAGACTTAAGGGATGGGCTCTGCTCAGTGGGGCTGTTGGTTCTGTGCCTGCTCATTGCTTGTGTCTGAAGTACCTCATTGAGAGCATAGAAGCATATCTGGAGCACACCTATGTACTCTGAATGCCAAGTGCTTCTCTTGCTTCTCCTTCCCTCCTTTAGGACTCAGATTTGTATTCTAGGGAGTGTAGATAACTTTACCAAGGTCTGAATTTTGGAAACTCTTCATTCAGCAGGTTACTGGGGTCAGCTCATTGGGAGCTCTGCTTGGAGCAACGCTTGTTTTGTACGGAGTGCTGCCTGTCCTGCAGTGGGTGGCAGCAGGGGAGAGGCTCTCCTGGGATTGGCCATTAAATGTTATGTCAGTGCCATGAAGTTCTGCTTCCTTTGAGCTAGGAAATGTCCTCAGAGTTGGTGCATCAATCTATGGTAGATCATGCTGGGAGTTTTGTCTTCTGCTGGTTTGGTTCTGTTCACTTGCACTTAAGAAGGGTGTTTGGAGGAAAGAACTGGAGTGTGCATCCTCCAGGCATTCTCTTGTTTGTGCTTCTTGCTCTGTGCCTGCAGCTTTCCAACTTAGGGTTTGCTGTGGGAATGGCTGTGATCTGCAGGAGGAGCAGGCACCAATAGGAGAGGAACGGGGGGGGGAAGGGGGGGGTTGAATGAAGGGTTCCAAAGTTCTCTGCAGAACTGAGGAGCTCAGAAGTGTGTTGTGTGAGGATGGCAGTCAGGTGACGTTGGTCTCCATGTTCATCTCTCCTCATGTCTCAGGCAATAGGCAGCAGTTTTTCTGGCTTGCAGGATGGGCTGCTGTGCTGTATTGCTTCTGGGTCCTTTCAGATGGAAGGAAATGTTTCTTTTACCAAAGTTTTGTCTGTTGTGAGAAAACTGATTTGGTTGGATTTGAACTGGTGCATTCTGCAAGAGATTTTCAGGCTCAGGTTTTGCCCAGCGTGGAGGTCTGTTGGTTGCTGGCTGAAGCAGTCTCACTGAGGTGAAGCATCAGTTTTAGCATCGCTGTGACCTGGTAGCATTGTTTGGCTGTGCGTGGTGCTGCTCTCCCCTACAGACAGAATGTGCCCAGAGGCAGCTCAGGGAGCCACGACCCTGCAGTGAAGTTGGGGCAGACACACTCATAGGAGTTGTGAGTCACTGAAATCAGAGGGGAAACACTTCTGGAGACTGCTGAGCTCAGCATTGAGGTTCCTGTGTTGTTACAGCTTGCAGCAAGACATCTCTGATCAGTTGGTATTCCTCCAAATGCTTGCAGAAACACAAGAGGCATAGTGTGAGAAGAAATTCCTGCATGTGCTGCTGTGGGTGGACCCACTCAGCCGCACGCAGAGTGCTGCATGGAAGCAGAATCCCAGACACTTCCTGCTAGGACTTATCAGCACTGCATCTGCAGGTACTGCACTGCATCACTGCGGAGCTGGGAGGTGGCATAAGAGCAGCCACAAAGCTCCCCAGCAGCTGGGAGCACTGCCTTGTGCTGAGCAGGGCTCAGCATTTCTGCTTATGGGAGGGGAGGGACTCCGAGCTGTCAGAGGAGGTGAGTCATTCCTTGCGGAGTCATTAGGAGTAGTGAGGTGAGAGTGAACAACCAGCAAAGACACTAAAAGCAGTTTCTGGGAATCATTTGTTTGTTTGTTTAATGGAGGAGAAATCTGCTACCTGGGAGGAAACTGGCACAGGGGTGGGTTTTTATGGATCATGGCCCTGCTGGAAAGGACCTGAGTGTAGTGGTGGATGGCAGCTGGACACGGGCCAACACTGTGCCCTCACAGCCCAGAGAGCCAGCTGTACCCTGGGCTACATCCAAAGCCACGTGCCAGCAGGGCAGGGAGGGGATCTGCCCCTCTGCTCTGTGCTGTGACACCTCACCTGGAGCACTGCGTCCCGGTGGGGAGTGCTCAGTGCAGGAGAGACACAGAGCTGTTGGAGGGCCACAAAAATGATGGCAGGGATGGAACACCTCCCTGTGAGGACAAGCTGAGAGTTGGGGCTGCGCAGCCTGGAGAAGAGAAAGCTGTGGGGAGAGCTGAGGGCAGCCTATCAGTACCTACAGGGCTGTGAGAAGGGAGGGGACAGACTCTTCAGCAGGGGCTGTTATGATAGGACAAGGGGAAATGGCTTAAAACTAAAGGAGGAGAAATGTAGATTAGATATAAGGGAGAAATTCTTGACAGTAAGGGCAGTGAGGCACTGCACCGGTTGCACAGAGAGGTAGTGGTGCCCCATCCCTGCAAACATCCAAGGTCAGGCTGTCGGAGCTCTGAGCACTGCTGGAGCTGTGGGTGTCCCTGTGCACTGCAGGGAGTGGGACCTGATGGTCTTTGAAAGTCCCTTCCAACTCAGAATTTTCTGTGGTTGTATGCTTTTGAACCTAACAAGAACAGAGCCTAGACCAGACGGTTTGGAAACAGAATGCTCCGCATGAAGAGACACATGGATAGAATTGGGGCTGGGCAAGCATTAGGTGGTGTTCTGCTGTGCGTTTTCTGTGATCTTGAGTCCATGGGGTCCTTTGGGAATGCCCACAACACCTGGGCTGGGACATGGGGTGCTGTCAGATCCCTCTGGAGAAGTGTCTGCCAGCAGTCCACATGGTCCAGCGCGTGGTGTGTGTGACCCTGCGCGCAGTGTCCCCTTCCTGGGCCTTTTGGGAGGCGCTACTGGGCAAAGCCACAGCGTGGGGAGGTAAAGCCAAGCACAGCCCCAGGCTGCAGACCTCTCTGGTGCTGGGGCAGTTTGCATCCGCTAGGCCAGAAATGGTAAACCAATGAGAGTGTATGGCCCTGGGGTTTAATTTTCTGTATGGAATGTGTGGGGGGTGTCTGTTTGGCTGTTAGTTGGGTTGTTTTGCTGCTCCTGGTAGAGCCTTTTGTTTTATGACCTGGCAGAAGAGTTTGGCTCACGTTGGACAGCAGTGTGTCCAGAAGCCCCCATAGGGTTTAACGATCTGTAGGCAGCCGAGCTGGAGTGTTTGAGGATAGCTGGGAGGTGAGGCACACCAACATCCTGCCCAGCACCCACTGCTGGTTGAAAGACTCCCTTCCTTCCCATCATCTCAGTGTCACCAACAGTGTACGCGTGTCCCAGTGCCGCGAGCACCACAGCCTTAAGGACTGAGCATTTGGCAGTGCAGATGAGTGCAGGCATGCCCAACCCTTGCATTTTACAACCAAAGTTCCTCAGTAAGACCCTTCTGTTCTCACCAGCCCCGAATGCTCGCGGTCCATCTTCTGGGGCTCTCGTGGCACTCCGGTGGGTGGGTGGGGGCTCCGCCAGGCTGGGCTGGGAGGAGGGATGTTCTTTTTTTCTACGTGTCCCAGCAGGAGAGCTGCTTTCCATGGTCCCTTTACTCTTCCAGGGACCTTTTTTTCTTTATTTTTTATTTGTTAACTAAATTATTTAAAAGGAAAACTGATAGGGAAGAAGCAGGCTGCGGGCCCAGAGGGTTCTGCTCTGCGCCGTGGCTGGAGCGTCACGCCGACAGCGCTGCCTTGTGCGGCCTGCTGGGCAGAGCAGCTGCCCTCCTGCCCGCCTCGGGTTCTGCAAACTGCTGGGAGCTGCGGTCGTGTGTCACCAAGAAAAAGATTGGTTTTCTCCTTCCCCTCCTCACCCCCTCCCTCGGTAACTCGTGTGCGTTTCCTTTCTGTAGATGCAGATGTTCTAGGCAATACCACAGATGCACCTGCGTGTGTCTCTACCTGCGAGTGCAAGAATCTCATGTCATCTTAAAAAAAAAATACAAAAAAAAAAAAAATACAAAAAATATACAAAAAAAAAATATCTTTTTTAGGCCAGAGTTTTCTACAGGTATTAATGAATATTTTTCTTAATCCTTATAAGTTTTATGTGTTTAATATTTCTTAATACCGGTAGCATTAATTTATACTTTTGTAGCAACACAATATTTTTATAAACCGCCACCGCTGGCTTTGTCTTCATAACGGGGAAACGTGCGGGCAGCCGGCCCTGCACTGTACCATGTACTGTATTTAAAAGGTTATCTAATGTCACACTTGCTGTGTTAATAAACAAAACAAAACCTGTTTGAAGTCTCATGTATTGTTGGTGTGGATCGAATGACTCAATAGAGAGCAATATTGCACGGGGTTGAGTTGCTGATTTTCATTGTGAAATATGAACGCTTGAGGCCAACTCAAGTTCTTCTGATTTTGTTTTTTTTTTTCTTTTTAGGATTTTGTTTTCTTTCGTTTTGTTTTTTTTTTTCTTTTTTTTTTTTACAGCTGAATTAATCAGTGCTGTTTGAAACTTAGACTGACGTCAAATGAAAAGGATTATTAAAGAAAAAAAAAATCAAGGTGTTTAAATGTTGCTGTTTTTACAAGTCTGTTGCTGTCTGAATGGAAATATTCCCCAAGAGAGGAGTAGTTCCACTTCGCTTCCAAAGGAGCCGAGCGCTCCGGGCAGAGCTCGGTTATTTGGAGACCTCTTAGAGACATGTTCTGCAACATTCTTTTCAGAGTTGATGCCAAGGCAGAAGACAAACTGTAACTGTAAGAAAGCATCCGTTGCTTGAGGATTTTCATGTCAGTGTTGTATTTATGGTTTTACAATAAAACAACCTTTAGGAAAAAAAAGAAGTGTCTGGGATTTTCTATTTCTTCAAGCACGTGTGGGACCTCATTCCGTGCTGAGCGCCTCTGCGAAGAGGAAAAGGAAAACCTGCACTGAGGAGACCAACGTCTCAGCAGCGTCTCTTTGGTGCTCCTCTCTGGGGCTCCTTGCTGCTGGACAGGGTGCGCAGTGCTGTGTGTATGGAGGGTCAGAATGCCACAGGGCACAGAAGTCTGCGTGGAGGCGATGTCAGTCGTGATGTGATTCAGGGTTCTCAGATGAGGAAAATGGGGATCAGGCAGTTCTGGATGGAGCCCTAAGGCGCAGCACAAACAGCACAGAATGCAGGGAATTGTCCCGTATGGAAGTAGTGCATGGGCCGGGGTCAGAGGAGGAAGAGCCCAACCTACAAAAATTAAAGAGCTGCTTGATAGAAAGGTTGTAATTAATCTGTTAATTCAGAACCCAAAGTTGCAGTATGGCAACAGGCCTAACAGCAGGACTGTTCCAGTTAGCATTTGAATGTGAAGATAATAGCAGCAATCAGAATGGAGACTCAGAGAATAGAATCGTTTCAGTTGGAAGGGACCACTTAAGGCCATCTGATCCAACTCCCTGCAACAAACAGGGGCACCCACAGCTCCACTGGGTGCTCAGAGCCCCTCCAGCATGACGCTGAGTGTAACAGTAAGAAGGGCTGTAGCTTTGCAGTACATTAGGTATAAATGAACAATTTTAGGAAACAATAAGCTTAGATGCTCTTGCACCTTGTGAGTTTGGATTTGTTTGGAAATCGGCATGACAGAGCGCTGGAACTGGCTGCCCAGAGAGGTGTGGAGTCTCCTTCCATGGAGTCTTCTCTGATCTGCCTGACGTCCACCTGTGTGACCTGCTGGCAGGGGGTTGGGCAGGGGGTTGGTTGATAGTCTCTGGAGGTCCCTTCCAATCCCTTCAGTTCTGTGATTTTTGAAGAGGTAAATGTAAAGCCAGAAGGCAGAGCAGGCTGGAGAGCAGTGCTCCTCGGCTTGCTGGTGGCTTCCAGCACTGAGTTGTCCTTTTTCGTTGGACCCTTTGGAAAGGATAAATAAAAGTGCAAATGGAAACGTAAGAGGCTTTAGCTGATCTGCCTTATTTCCCTATTCTCTAGTTTCTGCTGTAACAGGAAAGAACTATTTTAGTCACTGTAAAGAAAGAACTCAGAGTTCAGGTTCTGTTGGTGGGATCCCATCATTTTCTTCAATGTCAGAGCTGACAAATCCAACAAAGCTGATTGAACTCACCCTCTCCACTCCCATCTTCAACACCTTGCTTTCTTTGGAGTTTTGCTCATCCCGAGATCCTCTGTGTGGGAGCAACGTGAGGAATGGAGACCAACAGCCTGGGTGTGTGGCACAAGCAACCCAGCCATGTGCTGTGCACGTGTCCACATGAAGGTGAGCAGAGACCCTCCAGCCCTGTAATGTCCCTTAGACCTCTCAGCGTCCCCATCTCCCACCCCCCCATCCATGCCAGAGGCCAAGGGGTTCCCACAGCCCCCATGCAAGGACACACAAACAGGGAAGTGGCTGCATGTGTGAACCCCAGCTGAGAACCAGCGTGTCCTTGGTGTGTGCCGTGGGTGAGAAATGACACACAGTGAACACGGGGTCAGATTTTTAAAGAATTTAATAGCAAAATCAGTCAGTGCAATAGCGTGGTACGAAGGGCAAAGGCACCGCCTGCACAGTGTTAGCTGCTAGCCAAGTGGGCAGTGGGCTGCTCCTGGTCTGTGGGCTACTGGTAAAGGAGGAACCAGAAACCTCAGTACAGTGCAGAGTTCTGAAGGCACAAAGAATTGCATAGCATACGAGCAAAACAGCCACCAACTTGGAAAGGCGCTCACACTGGGCAATGGCTCTTGCTGGATTGTGGCACTGAGTAGCTGCCAGAATCCAGCAGGCTCTTTCTATAGAGAATACATCTATCTCTATGCTGTGCAGCAAGGCAGAATTTAACCCTTTAATATAAAACACATAGGCATAAAGCAAAAGGGAGTGTAGATCGGTTTCAGCCAGATTTGCAGCCTGGTTTCCATGTATCAGCTTCATTTCTGATCACTGTGACAGTGACATCTGTGATCTTGCCATGAATAACAGATTTTTACAGCCAACTGTGCATCCATGCCATTGCTGGCATGCAGGGGTTTCCAAAGCACATCCTTGACCTGCAGAGGTGTTCACAACGTGAATCACTCATTGGGACAGTCCCCCTGCTGCCTGAATGGGGAGATCCCTCCTGCAGAGCTCAGTGGGACCAAGGAAGCCCACCCAAGGAGCATGGTGGGCTGCTGAAACCCTGCTGCTCTGCTCTGCCTCTGTCAGAGGAAGGGAGGATGGCAGATGCCTGCCGGCTTTGCAGTCACACCTCTGGGGCCACACAAACGTTGGCCAAGGCTTCCCCAGGGTGCTGGAACCTGCCCAAGGTGAGGAGATGGGTACAGAAGCAGCAGCAAGCACAGCTGGGAAACGCGGTGCAAGAAGGGGGTCACACGGAAAGCATTTTCCCTACCCAGAGAGAGGCACAAAGAGGCAGTTTTGTCAGTCTTAATTTTGTGCTCCGCTCACAGATGACAGCAGAGGTACAACAGCAAGCATGGAACGCCATCAGGGCTTCGGTGCCTTGAGCGCAGCGGGTGCACAGAGGAGTGCCAGGGCTCCTTGTGCCTACACGACACTCTGTTCTGCTCAGAGCTCTGCAGGGCACTGCAGCCCTCACCAGTCCAGGTCCCCTTTGGGCACTGACGGCCTCGTGCTCCTCTCGCTGTAGAACTGTGCAAACCAGCGCCGGTGCTTCTGGATGCCAGCATCCTCGCAGACCAGCAGTGGCTTGGACAGGTACTGCTTGTTGTTCCAGATGGTCACATCTCGCTCAAACTGCAGGGAGAAAGCAGAACCTGCAGCCTCATGCATGCTGCCCACACAGCAGGATTAGTGGTTGTGTTCCTCCTGAATGGCTGTGGGAGTGCTCTGACTCTTTTAAATGGCAAGAATTAAGAAATCACGGTTGTTCAGCGCATTGCAGCTCCCAAGCAGGAAATCACTTCCAGCTCAGAGTGCCTCTGCCACTGGAACAGAAGTGGACATTGTGAAGGCAGGAGCTGATCCACCTGAGGCTGTTGATTTGTTGGGATGCCTCCAGCAATCAGGCGTCATAGAATCATAGAGTTGCTCAGGTTGGAAAAGACCTTAAAGATCATCAAATCCAAGCACGACTTAACCATACTGCCCTAACAACCCTGCACTAAATCGTGTCCCTGAGCACCACATCTAAACAGTTTTTAAATGCATCCAGGGATGGTGACTCAACCACCTCCCTAGGGAGCCTATTCCACTGCTTGGAATCATCGTACATTAAGCACCCCTGTCTTAAATTCCACTCAGGCACACGTGCAGTGAGACTTATGGAGTTTGGTGTTGTTTATATTTTTTGCAAAGAAGTCTGCAGAAATAAGTGCTGCTCATCTGTATTTGTAAGATATATTAAGCCAACATTTAAACAATATGAGCTAGCACAGCTAAGTTTGGTTTGGGATAGGGTCTTGGCATTGTAAAGCCATCTTTTGACATTGAGAAGGTCAAAATGGACATTAAAAACAAAAATCAACAGTGTGAGTGGAGCAATAATGGAAGGGGTCACCTACAGAGCTGGATGGGAGCAGCCTTCCAAGGAGCTTCCAAGGCTCACCCAGACAAGTCATGAACTGGGCCGTAGTCTGGCCCCAGCTGGAGCAGAGACCTCCAGAAGGGTCTTTCCTCCACTGCTGTGAGTCCCGTCTGAAGGGATCAGGAGGAGCAAGAGTTACCAAACCTCATGGTAGTTTAACAGTGGGAGTATTTCATGGCAAGGTCCTAAAGCACCATCCTGGGATGCTGGAGATCTGGATGCAGCCATTAGTCCTCCTAAAAACTCCTTGCAATCTGGGAGAGGTCACCTAACCCTTATGCCCCAGTTTCCCATCTGCAGGACAGGGACAGCATCTCACTGCCACCCTCAGCAGATGAAGGAATCCTTATGACTAAACCTTGGGCTTCCTTCTTTGGGCTCCTAGATCTGAAAGATTGTGTCCAAGAGTGCTCCCAAATATGTGAGCCCACAGGGGCAGCTGCTCCACACAGCATCCCACACTGCAGGACACCACCTCCTCAGAGCCCCACCTGAATGCATTCTGCCCTCAGGATGAACTTGGGGATGATGGCTGGCACGTTCTTCTGGTAATAGATTTTGTGGACCACATTCTGCAGGAGTGGCTCCAGGGGCGTCACTGTCTGCAGGATGATCCCATGGCCCAGGAACGCATGTTTGAAGATGAGGAAGACCAGCCCTGGCCCAACCTGCAGAGAACAGAGCACCCTGAGGGATGGAGCCCCGTGGTCCTGCCTGGAACCTCATCCTCTGGGCCAAACAAAGCCGTCTGTCAGCTCAGGGGGTGATGGCCCTCCCCACACGAGGCTCTGTGGGGCACAGGACGTACCTGCCTGGCTGACACTGACAGGTCCAGCAAGGGGAAGCGCTTCCCAAAGATGGTGGCTGTGTGCTGGAGCTGCATGCGGGAGCAGTGCCTGTGGGGCTCCGGCTCTGGCTGCCACTCAGCCTGAAGGAGAGGTAGCAGTGAGATGGGTCTGAGAAGGGCAGAGCACGAGGAGAGGGAAGGCTCAGAGATACAGAAGAGACGCGACCTGAAGAGAGGGGACGTGGCAGGAATCAGGAAGAGAGGCAGAAAAGGGATCTGGCCTGAGGGGCTTTGAACAATGCCACAAGGGAGCCGGGGCGCTACCTTCCAGACGTGCTTCATGAAGTCCCACAGCCTGGACTTGGTGTATCTCAGGTCAGATCCGCTCAGAATGGCTGGGCCGTGCAGGAAGGCCAGGTGAGCTGTGTCAGCTGCGTTCTCAGGGATTTCCTGCATGGGGGACAATTTATGTCAAGGGCTGAATTCTTAGGATCACAGAATCAGAGCTCACCAAGTCCAACCATCTTCCCACCTCCACCAGCACCTCCCACTGACCGTGTCCCCCAGCACCATACCCTGGAGCACCCCCAGGGATGGTGAACCCACCACTCCCTGGGCAGCCCATGCCAATACACTGCCACTCTTTCTGACAAGAAATGTTTTCTAATGCCCATCCCAAACGTTTTGAGGTTTAACTGCTTTACTGCTTAAGTCCACCAGCGTCCCACCAAGATGGCACACAGCATGGACTGACCCCAGCACAGCTCTGCTCATGCCACTCCCTCCTCCAGCCTCCACAGTTCCACCAGGGATGACAGAAGCAGCATTTCGTTCCGCTTGCCAGCAAATGAACATGGTTATGAAGATTAACAGCAAAATAACCGCACATTTTCCCATTCTGTGATCAATGAGTTGGGGAGCCCGCTGACACTGAGTGCTGCAATTCTTGGATAATCTTTTTTTAAATTACATCGGTTATAAGTCAAAGCAAATGAACAGATTCCCTTTAAGCACCCAGCACATCTGCTCCCTCTCAAGCAGCCTGTGGTTCACGTCTGGGGAACATCTGCTACGCTTGGCACATGGCACAGTGATGCATTTCCAGGGCCACGCGCCGTGTGGCCCCACTGGGTTCAGTGGAGGAGGTGTCTGGGGATGGGTGAGCACTGAAGGAAGGGGCCCCAGCCCTGCCATGCTCCCACCTGGATGTGTGCGTCCACGAAATGCTCTGTCTGCCCCCGGAACACCCAGTCCCCTGTGATGATCTCAGGCTGCTCAGGCACATCCCAAGTGGGGCCGGTCCCATCGCAGTGGTACCAGAGCAGCAGCATCCCATTCACCTCACAGCACGGCCAGCTCCGCACCTTGGCAAAATCTGGCACTGAGGAAAAGAAAAGGATTGGATAAAAGTGGCGTTTCCAGCATGCTCAGTGTCACTTCACCCCGGGCGACAGCTCAGAGCTTGGGCAGCATTAGCTTGGCACAAGCTCTCCCTGCTGCCATTTGCCACCCCTCCAGCTGCTGAAGGAGAAAAGCAGCTCCTCAAGTTTGCTTTGTTTGCTTTAATGTCATTTCAGTGTGCATGAGTCCCTCCAGGAGTGGCAAGCCCTGCAGCCTGCTCTCACTGCTCAGAACCATGCACAATGCACACGTCCAACGAACCCACTTCCAGTTCCATTGGGCTACAAGCAATGGCTTCAGCTGTAGATGGGCAGGAAGCAAAGCCAGCTGTAACTCCTGAGCTCGAGTCATCCTGCTTTGGTACAGCAGTGCCATGGGTTGCATTTGGAATAGGCCTCCACTCTTTCCAGCCTTCCCAGTGAAATTGATTTGGGTGTTTATGTGTAACTGACTGTCAGAAAACTTTTCTTCTACTCAATGGGCAGCTTTCACTTTCATTACATTTTTTTTTTCTAGCTGGCAAACAAGCCCAGAGGACATACTTTCCTTATTACTTAGGTTTGCACATCCACCCGGGAGGCTGAAGGATGCAAGAAATTAGGTTTTGATTTCCTAGAACCATGGAATGGTTTTGGTTGGAAGGGACCTAAAAAGATCATGTTCCAAACCAATGACTGACAGAGGGGGCTGGACAAGATCACAGGTGCAACATAGGGTTGCAAAACCCATCTTTTTGGTGGGATCCATTGCATTGGAGGAGATTCCTCACCCCATGCACATACTGGGTGCACTGTGAGCCCAGTGCCAAAGGGGCTGTGCACCAAAATCCCCCACCATGCCCTCCATGCACACAGATGGCTCCTTAATCTGTTTATATCAACCTGACCCACTTGGGATCAGCGCAGCTGTGTGCAGTTCTGTTCCACCAGTAACCATGGCTGTGAATAGAGCAATCTCACAGGAACAATGCATTTTGGCAAGAGTTTGTCCATGGCCAGAATACTCGTTCTCATTTTGCAACGAGGCACATCTTTCTTCATTACTTGGAATCAAATTTTCATTCAAATGCAGCTCCTGAGTGCGTGCATATGCAAAAACGAATGCCGTATTAACCTGTGTGGTGCAATCCATAAACTGCTCATCTCATCTCATATGGATGGAACGATTTCTCCACTTTGGGAAAAAAAAAAAGTCTGTTTAGTAGAGTTTTGCTGTTAATTAATGCTATCATCACTATCTGAATCATCTCCAAATTGAGCTTCTCTGGAAAATCATTAGGAAGAACAATCCAGAGGAGAGCTCAAGGTAAATTCTCTCCATGTTTTCAGCCATGTTTAGAATCAGTGCAAGCCCACAAGTAATTATTACAGGGGAAGTTAAGGATTTCTCTCGGCATGGTTGCCACAAACCGTATCGAAGGATGGGAGTGAAAGCCTTAGAAAAAAAAAAAAGGGTCACATAGAGATTATTTTATCTGTTATTTAAGCATTGAATTGGTATAAACCATCACTGTGGAGTGCAGAGTAATTTCTGAAACCCAGTGGGTGAAAGTCCCGGGGGTGATTTAGCACGTGACAGGCCATCAGACTGCTGTGTCCCAGGGAAGTTGGTGAGTCGGTGTGCTGCAGGAAATGAGGGAGCAGCGTGGGGGTGAGCTCTGACTGCTTTTCCTTTCCTAATCAGATTTTTAGGCACTGCCATCGCTCCGGCTGCTCTCTGGGGGAGGTTCACCTTTTCCAGAATATGGGATGTGGGTGCATTTCCCATCTTCTCCTCTGAAACGCCAGCCGTGGAAGGGGCACTCGATGCAGCTGCCCACAACGCGCCCGCCAGCAGCCAGGTCAGCCCCCAGGTGTGGGCAGTACGAATCCACCACATGCGCCTGGCCGTCCTGCGTGCGGAACGCGGCCAGCCGTTCTCCTGTGGGAACAGGAGGTCATGAAAGCATCTGCAAAAATGGAGTGAGGGGTGGGGATGGAGGGGTGGCTCAGCCCCATCTGAGTGGGCAGCAGGAAGAATCGCGGGATCATTAAGGTTGGAAAGGGCCACTAAGATGATGAAGTCCAACCGCCAACCCGCCCCCTCCATGCCACTGACAGTGTCCACAAGTGCCACATCTCCGTGGTCCTTGAACACCTCCAGAGGTGGTGACTCCACCGCTCTCCGGGGAGCCTGTGCCAACGCATTACCACTCTTTATGAGAATGTTTCCTAATACTCAAGCTGAACCTCCCATGGCACAACATGAGGGCATCATCTCGTCCCATCGCTGTTACCTGGGAGCAGACACCAACTCCACCTCACACAGCCTCCTCTCAGCAGTAGCAGAGCACTGCCATCTCCCCTGAGCTCCCCTTCCCCACGCTGACCCATCCCAGCTCCCTCAGCCGCTCCCCATCACACCTGTGCTCCAGACCCCTCACAGCTCCATCCCATCTCTGGACACGCTGCAGGGCCGCCGTGTCTGCAGTGCAGTGAGGGCCCAGCACCGAGCACAGCACTGAGCTGCGCCCCACCACTGCCGTACAGAGGGACGATGCCCTCCTGCCCCCGCTGGCTGCACTGCTGCTGACACAAGGCAGGCTGCCGTGGGCCTTCTTGGCCACCTGGGCACACTGCTGGCTCGTGTTCATTAACAGATTAATTACAACACCGCCAGGTCCGTTTCCTCTATACAGTCTTCCAACCACTCTGCCCCAGTCCTGTAGCGCTGCACGGGGTTGTGGTGCCCAAAGCGCAGCACCCGGTACTCTCTCTCGAAGCTCAGCCCATGGATCAGCCTGCCCACATCTCACCGCCAGGTGGCAGCCCGCACCCTGCTCCCGCATCCCCCGCTTCGTCCCTACGCCCGCACGGCCCCGCGCCGCTCCCCAGCATCCCTCGGCCGTACCCTGGTTATCGGGTGCTGCTCATCCAGGTGCAGACAGCGAGCTGAAGCCCAGGGAGCTCCGCGGTCCCTGTCGTGTTATGCGTGTTAACCCATCACTTGTGAAAGCTTTGTTACAGATGCTGTGACTTGGAGCTCACACAGAAGGAAATGAGACAAAACTGGAGATCAAAACCCAACTGAGCTGCAGGATCCAAGTTCTGTCTGCGTTTACCCAGAAAGCTGTGTTTGATGACAGGTGACAGGCAGTGAGCTATTATCACAAAGCTGCTTCTCTTTGTCTCGTGGTCTGGGCAAAGAAAACTCCCAACCTTCAAAGCTGGGAAGGATTCTCTGCTATCTGTCAGAACAATGTGGTGCCTCCCATCCCAGCACTGCTGGGCACTGGAAGGCAATGGTGGCTGTGCTGGCAGCAGGCACAGGGAGGGGAGGTGCTCGGGGTGTGGGTCCTTCCCCTGCCCCGGGTCACAGGCAGCCCTTTTCCTAGCACCAGCTCTCCTCTTTGCCTGACTGAGTCTCAGAGCAAATGGGGCAAGCAGGGAGAGGTTTCAGCCCATGCAGCCGTGTTTTGGGACGTGCTCGGTCCCCAAGGCTGGCTCTTAAAAGGACCAAGTCAAAAGATTCTCTTTCTTCCTGCTCTCTTGCTCACTTGTTTTGGAGTAGGGCCACATTTCCAGGCTGTGCTCAGAGACGCTCTCCAAAGCAATTAAACATTCACAGACCTGGAAGCTATGGGCTGTTTAACTCCCTTAATTACTGGTAGCCCTCTTGGCAGCACTATCCTGCCATCATGCTGCAACGTGAAGTGATGTTACCTGTAATTTATCCAGACCAGGTGGAAAGGGTGCCAGGGGCAGGGATTTGGTTGGGCAATGCAAGGAGCCTCAGTGTAACAGCAAGTTGGTAGGGGATCACCAGGGTGTGTATATGAATTGAATAATTCCCATCATAAAACAAAGAAACAAACAAAAAAAAAAAAAAAAAAAAAAAAAAAACCACAAAAAAACCAGCAAAACATGACAGGAGAAGATGGCTCTCTAAAACAGATCTGGGAAAGAAAAAAAAAATGCACCTTCACCACTGAATCTGAGGGATTTCAATGCAGAAACTTCCCTTCTGATGAGGAAGGCACCTGGACAAGTCCCAAATCATCTTCAAGACAGAAGGACCATGGACAACCCAGCACCCCTCTGGATGTGGCTGTGAGATCTGATCTGCCCTGGGAAAGGCAGAGCTGTGGGCAGCAGTGCTGGGAGGGCAGCAAAACGACCTGGAGTCCCAGGAAGAAGCCCAGGGGTGCCCTGCATGCTCACAGAGACACTGTGCCATAACGTCTCCAGTACCCCAGCTGGGATACCTGATATCTGAGTTGTGCCACCCCTCCTGCCCACATGCACACGTTGGCTGGGCTGCCCCAGGAGAGGGGCATGCAGAGATGTCCCAGTGTCACAGCAGAGACCTCATGCAGGGGCTTGGGGTGCCCCAGCAGGGATGCTCAGGGAGGGATGTCCTGCACACTGATAAGGAGCCCAGGCAGACACCCGGCATGGGTGCAGGATGCCCAGTGCCATAGTGAGGATGTCCCACACGGAGATACTGGGGCAGGGATAACGCTGCGCCTGGGCAGGAATGTCCTCATTCCCCCAATGGAGTTCCCATCTGGGATCTCCCACGTCCCGGTGAGGATGCCCAGGCCGTGGAACCAGCGTGATGGGGCTGTTCCAGGGGAGGTGCCCGGGGAAGGGGTGACCCGGATGGCCGGCAGGGCTCCCTATTCCCGGGCGGGGATGCCCTCGCAGCAACACCCCCGGGGATCCGTCGGGGCCGCTCCGCACCCCACCAGGCAGCCCGGACCTCTCCTCCCTCGAGTCTCGGCGGGGATCCCGCACTCACCGAGCAGAGCGACGCTGCGGACGGCACCGCGGGGCAGCTGCTCGGAGTCGAGGACGCGGTACCAGCCGTTGGGGTAGGGCGGCGGCAGCGCTCCGGACCGACGGGAGCGGCGGGCTGAGATCCCACGGCTCGGACCCACAACCGGCAGGTAGCCCACACGGCCCGGGCCGCGCCGCAGCTCCAGCGGCCGCCAGCTGCCGGGCAGCAGGACGAAGAGGAGGAAGAGGATGAGGAGGAGGAAGAATGGCGTCCCGTCTCCCAGCCCTGCGGCCAGCAGCTCTGTGCCGCACCACCCCATAGCGCGCACGGCCCCAGCGCAGCCGCCTCTTGTTATAGAGCGGGCGGCCCCGGGCGGGGTGATGCTGGGCGGGCAGGGCTGGGTCCAGCTCACACCCCTCGAGCCCAACCGGCATCCCCGGGACGAGCGAGGAGCCGGGAGACGGTGGAAACGCCCGACCGAGGAGCAGTGAGCGCAAGCTGCGACCGCTTGAATGTAAGGAATAACGTGTTTCCAGGCTGTGGCCCCCGCATCAGGTCGATGCGTTAATTAGATCATCGCGTACCACATCGCCTCCTGAGCCACTGTCTCAGTCTTAGAAAGCGGTGTTGGGGCCGGTGGGTCACTGGCTGTGTGACAGCACTCTGAGGTGTTCAGGAGCAGAAAACAGAGATGCTCTCTGTGCAGGGAGGATAAATGGGCGCCAAGGAAAGGCTGGGCAGCTTGAGGATGTTGTAGAGTGGGGCCGAGAAGTAAAGTTAGATTTGGTCCTAAGAATTGCACAGCTCAAGAGGTAACTGTCAAAAGTCCACTTGTTGCCCGTAATACAGATAGACTCAGAGATTTGCAAGTGTCAAAAAGACCCAAAGTACCCACCATGGTACTGAATAACAGAAATGGGAGAAGCACACAGAGATGGATCCTCTGGCTGAAGGAACATCAGCAAAAAGGTGGATTCAGAAAGGCTGAATATCTTAAGGAACTCGTATTAGAGGCTCAGGCAAAGATGGATGACCTATTGGAAATGCTTTCTAGAAGTCAGTGCCTCTGTTGCTCTGCAGGTGATTGAACACAGCAGCTGGAAGTAAACAGGCAGTCCTAAAGAGAGGGGCAGTGTGAGCCCTGCCTGGGTGAGGAAGAGGAATAACGATGATTTCTGGGTGAAAAACCAAGCTGAAGGAGGGCTGATCAAAAAGAGATTCTCAGTAGCAGCTTTCCAAGGGCAGAAAAGCACATAACAAATATACAGACTGCGCTGAAACAGACCTGGGTGGTTTGGGGAGTGGAAGATCAATGAGGCTTTGCACTGCGCTGAGCAAATCCATCAGACACTGCAGCAAAGGCTTCTCCGACTCAGGACTGAGTGTGACTCAGTGAGGAAGAGTCAGCAGCATGTTTGTGAGAATTTATGCCTCACCACCAGAAATGGGAACTCAACAAACAGCTGAATAAGTTCATGCTTTGTTCTCTTGGACTTTCAAGGCACTTCCTCTCAGGCCGAAACAAAAAGCTCCTAAATAAGGCTGAAATAACAGCAGGGGAATCCTCTTTGCTTATGTAATTGGTGAGAAGATAGGAAGCCAGGAAAGGGAATAAATGCTCAGCTGGAGAAGGAGGACTGGCGTTTGTATCTGCCTGTTCACGAGGAAACTGGGAAAGGGGATAAACAGACATCTAAATCTCCTGATGAAAATGGTTCTAAATTATTCACTACAGTAAAGTTGACTGTGAAGTACGGCAGAAGAAGCCTTGCAAATTTCTCAGTGACTGACAGGCAAGCAGCAGTGCCTGCTAGTGAAATGCAATGCACATGGCCAAGGCCCACAGAGGGGGTTAGCTGCTAATTGGCACTTAGCAAGAGTGCTGAGCATTGCTTGACGTGGTCTCTGTATCTGTTCACTGCTCCAAACCGCTCAAAAAGACAAATGTGATGTTAGGAATAATGAGTATTAATGCTTTTGTAGACAGGATGATCTAAGCATATAAGAGAGACAAGGTCCGTAGAGGACAATAATATTTTCTATTAGATGAGCTGATAGAGATGGAAAAATAGTTGACAAGCTTCCAGGCATAATAGCCCTCCTTCCAGAACTGTTAGGAATGTAACTGGGAGCAGAGCAAAAAATATCTGCATGTCTGGTGAACTGTGTAATGGTGGGCACCTCACCTGGTGTGGGGGGAACCCAGAGGAAATACAGAGAATGTGAGCAGAAGCAGGGAATGGCAGCCAAGGGAGGCATGGGGAGAAGCTACAGACCTGAAGTCTTGAAAATCAGTAGAACTGCAGGAGGAGGATAAAGCCTTGGAGGGCTGGGCTGTTGGCCACAAAGTCTCTCAATGACATTTTCCACCAGATAATCCTACCTGCGTGTCCATCTTTCCAGGAAGCCCCCCCGACCACGTGTGCCTGCTCTATGTGAGTGCACCTCAGTGGGAAAAGATGAGGAAAAAAGAATTTTCTTCAAAGCCAGTGTTCTTCATCCTTGTCTCATCATGTTTTTATTTTTAGGCTGGTTTCATAACCAAACAAAATGTGCAATCAATCTTTCTGTTCTCAACAACAAGGTTTTGATCTCCTTGCATATATCAATCACAGATGACAGGAGGGCACAGCTCCCAAGAGGGGCATGTCTGCTGTCATGTTCTTGTGCTCTGAGCCCTACACACTTACTATCTGTTCTGGCCTGAAGAGGAGTACACCCAGGCTCCATGCTCCAGCCTGCCAGCTGGCTCTGGGGTGAGGTACATCCAGTGCAGCATCAAGCCTGGTGCCATCAGCTTCTGCCCCCACATGCCGTATTGACACAACTGGGCCAACTCTGGCTTCGTCTGGTTTGCTCAGCATCTTCCAAAGCTATTCCTGAGGCTGGGTGCCTCACATTTATGATGTCTGATGTATTAAATGTCATATATAGCAGATTGGAAAGCAACCCCCTAATTTTTCTGTTCCCCCTAGGTAAGGATCACATGGGAATTGCACGAGTGGGGAAGTCCCTGGAACTACTTCACACAGACGTGAAAATATCCCAGCAGTAGTATGAAGCCAGGAGTGATGAGATGTGCTGGGCAGATCCGTGTCATAGGATCACAGAATCATAGAAAGGTTTGGGACCTTTGAAAGTGACCTGGCCCAAGCTCCCTGCCACAGCCAGGGGCATCTTTCTCTAAATTGAATGCTCAAAGCCCTGTCTGTCCTGACTTTGAACACTTCCAATGGCACGGCTTCCACCGTCTCTGAGCAAACTGTTCCAGTGTCACTGCTCTCATTAAACTATTTCTTCTTTGTGTCTATCTAAGCCTCCCTTCTTTCAGTTTATAACAATTGCCCTTGTCCTGTCACTACAGACCCTGGTAAAAAGTCTCTCCACCTTTCTTACAAGCTGTCCTTATGCCTTAAATATTGCAGTGATGCCTTCTCAGAACCTTCCATTCCCCAGGCCAAATGAGCCCAGCCTTTCTCCATAGCAGAGCTGTAGGGGCACTGCAGAACGGAGGGAGCGGGAGGTCAACTGGTCAGACTGGGAGGGTCTTGGGGGCCAACTAGAGAACACTGGGAGGGATTGGGAAGTCAACTGATGGCACTGGAGGTCAACTAGGGATCATTGAGAGGTCAACAAATGTCAACAGGTCATTGAAAGGAACTTGGAGGATGTTGGGAGCCAACCGGAGGTCAATGGAAGGAAAGTCAACTGGTGGGACTGGAAAGTCAACTGCAGAGCTGGGCCCCATGATGTGAGGAGAGCTCTGAGCGCTGGCACAAGCTACTTGGAGCGGGTCTGAAGGGTCAGGAGTGCAGCTAAAGAGGCTCTGAGGAGATGGGTGTTGCTTTCTCTCCAGGGAGTGGCACGAAGATGTGCAGGAAGTCCCCAGCACTGACCATTTGGCTTAACTCCTTCCAGGCCTCTTATACAGCAGCCTTGGGGGGCTGGAAGTCACCAAGCATACTTGTTGTGTCTCCTGGGACTTGGTGTGCAGTCATCTCTTTTTTCATTTTGAAGAAGGAAATCAGTATTTTGTCAAAAATAATATTTCCCTACAGAATATTTCAAACGTATCTATGTTGTTTTCCTTTAGAAAATTATTCCAGTGAAAGTTCCCACTTGCTATGGGAACTTTCATATTAATATTAAGCTATGCATACCTGTGCATGTAAGTCCCTTCTTATTCCAAACTGTTGTTATTTTTCACACCGTCTTTTCCTCTGGCCACTGGTGTTTTGGGTCCCACTCTCCCCCAGCCACACTGTACTCACAAGGGTGGCAAAAGTCTATGAATCTCCTGCAGGGAGAGTTGAGAAGAGCCAACAAGGAGGTGAGATGTGCCAAGAGCTGTGCTGCCTGGTGGCTCCACTGGCCACATCTGAGAAGGACCTGGATGTCCTGATGGCCATCAAGTTGACCATGAGACACCAATGTGCCCTCATGGCCAAGAAGGCCAATAGTGCACTGGGGTGCATTACAAAGAGCATGGCCAGCAGGGTGAGGGGGGTTCTCCTCATCCTCTACTCTGCCCTGGGGAGGGAACATCTTGATTATTTATTATTGTGTCCAGTTCTGGGCTCCCCATCTGAAGGCAAACAGAATTATGTGGGAGAGACCAACAGGGTTCCTCTGCTTACAGGGTACCTAGGGCTTCGGATTCACCACTGAGCAGCAGCATCCAGCATCTCCTGTATGTGATGTCCAACCAACATTTCCTGGTTGTGATGAAGGCTCCAGCCATGGAATCTTGACTGTGCAAGAAGGGGAAGGTTGGACATCAGAAAGTCTTATTTCTGACTCACCATCTCACCTGCTCCAGGTGTGTTGAAGTGTCGAGAAGTGGCTCTGGAAATGGCTGCTCCAGTGCTGAGAGCCCTGGCCTTGCTCCCACTGTGCAGCATCCACAGGCAACATGCTTCCATTCCATCCACTTCATACTCTCTATAGCACACACAGTTTTTCCCCAAATAACTTCTGTGGACTTTTAACCAGTTTTCCAGCCCCTTTGTAAAGAATACAATCTACACAGTGGCAACAGTTTTTCCACTTACAGCTCTTCACTGACAGCAGCTCGCAGAGCTCTGCCATAGGCAGCACTCAGTAGGTGCTCTGCTTGGTTTCATGCATTAACTTTGTCACTCCTCTGTCTTGTAGATGTACACAAAAGGCATTACTGAAGCCTATATTAGAGCCACACATTTTCTGATTTCAATTAAATTTTAACTTTCTCAGAAGAGGAATTCAGCTTGTTTAGTAGCTCCATGATGACTAGCAAGGCTCATCTATTCCTAACACTTGATTTCCTCATTTATGAAATCTCATATAGTCTTTTCCCCACTGGGGCTGACGCCTTGCCCCAAGGCAGATGAAACACTTATCTGGATTCAGTGCTGATCCCCTGAAGTCTCTCAGTTCTGTGTGGCTTTTCTCTGCCCAGGAAAGGCTCACAGCATTCCCAAGCAATGGGACACCACACAAGCATTGACCCCATCTTGCAGCTCGACTCTCCTGCATCCAGAAGGTGCCAGACGTAAAAAGCAGCATCATATTATGCATGTGCTAATTGCTAACAGGCAACTGTTAATTGCTTGCAGCAAACCATGATTAAGAAGGTTGCCATAACATGCCAGGGGGAAGCCACAGGAAAAGCAAAGACCATTGCTTGCTGCAGAGTCTTCACACAGATCAGCTGGTGGATGCAGTTGTACCCGCCATTTACACAGCTCTTACCCTGCGAAAACTCTGCGTGCACCCATTGCCTTCAGATGATCAAAGAGCCTGAGGACACAGCATGAGTGGAAGCCATGCAGTGAGAGCGTCTGTGCGGGCTGAGCCTTGCTGCAGGAGTTTGTGATCTGGGCTGTTCCTGGTGCCAGGAACAACTGCCTCTGGAGGGAAAAATGAACGGAGGTGACACAGTGCTTAGACCTGGTTTCCTAATGGCATGGAGCTGTTAGGGAAGGGTCAGCCTGGGCGTGAGGATAAAGATCTGCCACTGAGGGCAGTGGGAACAGCTCTGAGCTGACAGAGCTCAGGGAGTGCAGAGACGTTGCTCTCAGCTGTAGGGTTAGGGTTTGGGTGGTGCTGTGTGGGGTCGGGTTGGGCTCCATGATCCCCATGGGTCCTTTCCAGCTCAGGATGTTTTGTGGTTCTGTGATTTCAGCTGGTGAGGAGGAGGAAATAAAGTCAAATGTATGCAGTCTATCAGTATGGATGCACCTCTAGTTATCCATACACTTCACCCCTCCAAGAGAGCCTGCAGGGTGAGCAAAGCCACATGTGAGCAATACAAGACCATCAGCTCCATGCATGGAGGAGAGAAAACAGTGCAGTGGCACTGAACAGGGTGACATGTGCATGGATGTCTGTGCGGAGAGCACAGCTGGATCACTGTGGAGCTGCATGCAGAGCACTGCAAGAGTTAAGGCGAGGTGGGGCCGTGATCCTTCTCTCATCCGGTGCATCATGACTGCAATGGGCTCCATTGCTCTCCCAGCAGTCGTAGGCTCTCTGCTGGGTCTCCTTGCTGGCACAGAGCTGTGAAACATGGCAGCCCCTCAAGACTGCAACACTGAGGCATTGCACAACGGCCATTTTGCTTCTGCAGCTTCATGCGAGCGCGTGTGGGCAACGTGGGACCCAGGCAAAATGGTTTCCATGGCAACTTGCACTTCAGAGATGCCAGTGAGAAAATTTGCGTTGGGGGAGAAAATTCTGCTTCCACTCACGTTGCAAAACAAGCACAGAGGTGGGCTGCGGCAATACCCTCAAAATGGCTGATATAAAAATATCTCTGGTGATTTTTCTTCTGCAGTGCTCAGCCTGCTTTCTTGGCTGGCATACAGCCGATGGCATTTGTCCCATGCAGCTACAAAGCAACACGCTGTGGCTACCCACAGCCCCTTCGTTTTTTGTTTCCAAAAGGGCCAAAGCAACAGCTCTGGTGTGCAATGTTCATGCAACTGGAGAGAGGTGGTGCAAGAGGGAAACCCAGCAGCTTTCACCATGGAGCTCCAGATGTTGGCCACCAGCTGCTATGATCCCATGCCCTCTGGAGAAGGCAAGTGGTAGCAGAGGGTCAGAAAGACTGAGAGAACCACAAGAAGAATCTCTAGGTCATAGCCCAGAATTAATGGACAGAACCGAATGGTGAAACCTGCCCCAGTTGCTCCATGAAGTACTCCTGCAAGAATGGTGGAGGGATGAAATAAAGACAGGAATCAGGTGTGTGCTGCTTAACCACTGTTCCCCAGAGATGTGCTGGCCAAGATCCCCCAGCTCTGGGGTGAAAATTCATGGTGACATTCATGTCATGGGCAGTTCACCCCAGTTGGGGCTGGGGATGTATGTCAGAGGTGTTGTGTAGTTAGGAATCTTCGCGGGGGAAAACAAACCCAGGAGACCTCGTTTTACCCCACATGGGGTGTGATCGTGCTTCTCAGAGTAATAGGAACGCTCACACCCCGAATGGACAGTGCAAGAGAAAAGACGAGAAAGGAGTCGGACCCCTGGAGACGCTTTCCTGGCAGCTGGATGCTCAGCCCCACCTGGACCGCCCCCTGCACCAGCGGTGCTCCCATGTGGTGCAGGAGCCAGACCCCAGCCCTGCGCTCCTCGGGGCTCCCGCAGCCTCCTCAGGGTCGGCTCAGTCCCTCCCTCCGTCCTTCCTCGGGCTCCCGGGCGGCCGGCACAGGAGGGAGCGGCACTCGGGGCTGCTCCTATTGAACCCATCCTGAGGGAGCGGGAGTCGAGGCGGGCCGGAGAGCAGCGGCCGGGGTCTCACACCGACTCCGCCCGGAGCGGCGCTGCCGCAGAGCCCGGGGCCGACCCGGGGTCCCTCCCGCTGCCGCGGGGGCCGGGGGCGGGCCGGGGGAGGGCGCTGCGGCAGCGCGGGGCCGCGGAGCGGGAGGAGCCGCCGGCGGGCGGTGAGGCGCGGAGCGGAGCGGAGCGGTTCAGCACCAAGGAGAGCTCCCCGCGCCGCGCCGGGCCGCATGGGGCCGAGCTGAGCGGTGGGCGGCGGGCGGCGGGCGCGGACCCGGCGGGCTCCGGGCCGCCCGTGGATGAGCGCCATGCGGCTGCTGCTGCTCGCCCTGCTCTTCTCCTCCTCTTTCGCCCGCGCCGGCTGTGACCCCAAGATCGTCAATATCGGCGCGGTGCTGAGCACCAAGAAGCACGAGCAGATCTTCCGCGAGGCGGTGAACCAGGCCAACAAGAGGCACGGCACCTGGAAGCTGCAGCTCAACGCCACCTCGGTCACGCACAAACCCAACGCCATTCAGATGGCTCTCTCCGTCTGCGAGGACCTCATCTCCAGCCAGGTACCCCGGGCCGGCGACCCCATCGTCGGAGCCCTGCGCCCCGTCCCCAGAGGGCTCCGAGCCTCCCCCACCTCGCTGTGCCCCCCCCACCCCCCCGGGGCTCGGGGAAGGCAGAGCCGCGGATTGGGGTCCTGCCCCGCCGCCTCGGGGCACCGCTGCCCGCATTGCAGCCTTTATGTAAGCGAGCGGCGGTGCGGGCACGCACCCACTGCACGCGGGCACACGCGCGGCGACACGCGTGCACACCGTGGCTGTGAGCAGAGGTGGGTGCACGCGTGGGCATGAACACGCTGCGTGTGGACACGGGAGCACCGCGCATGCACACCCACTGTGCTCTCGTGGAGCGCTGCAGGAGCGCCCACGGGATGTGCTGTGTGCACACATGTCATGTGCATGCGTGCATCATTCAAACACGGGCACACATTCAGAATGCTGCATATGAAGACAGCATGCAGCACTGCTTTGCACACGCTACGTATGCCACATCCGTGTGCGCACGCTGCACCAGTGCACAGATATGCACGCTGCCACACAAGCATGTCCTACTGTGCACTGCAGGCACGGGCACACATAAAACAATGCATGCACACACCCAGTGCAGGGCACACATCTGAACAGCTGCACCACAGCTCACACACCCCCATTATCCACACAGCATCTCTGCTCCCCCAGTGCCACAAATGCACAGGACACATGGGCACAAACCTGGAGCACACACACACAAGCATACATACACACACGTGCGCACACTGCCATGCATGTGCTTTGACCCCACTTAGGCTCTGAGTGTGCGGGCGGACGCATGGACACCTGATCCACCTTGCACACATGCAGAAGATGCCCGCAGAGCTGTGCATGGGTACACAGGGATGCACACAAAGCATGCAAACCTGCACCATGGGGACACATGCACACAGTCATGATGGGTGCATGCACGCCCAGCACGCAGCCAGCCAGTGAGGGGGCAGGGAGCTGGAGGTGGCAGCTGACTGGGACACGGTCTCCTTAGCCGGAGGTGGGGGTGGCTGGAGGCGTCCCCAGGGACACCATCGGCTGCTCGGGATCCTTGCAGCTCGGTTGGATCCCTTGCAGGGCTGAGATTCATTTTGTAACCCAGCTGATGGATGCCCATGTCCAGGCCACCTCTAAGCCTCGTCCCCAGAGCAAACCCCATGGGCTGAGTGGATGCTGGGGCTGCTGCTCCTTTGCAATGCAGAGAGGGCTTCAGTGCTGGGGATCAGGGTGCTGGGGTTGCTGTGCCATCACAATGGCCAAAATCCTGGCTCCTTGGAGCTGTGGGGCTCAGCTGTTCCTACCCCAGCTCACTGGCACTGTGCCGGCCCCGCAAAATGGCTCCTCTCGGTCAGCTGCTGTGCCGCCTGTGCAGCCCTCGCCTCCTGCCTCTCTCTCTGCCCATTGCTACCCAACGATCTGTCCCCAAGTCACGTCCCAGCCCTGCTGACACAGCCCCTCACACACTCCTTGTGTCAGCTGGGCACCAGGCACCCCTTCCTGCTTCCCCACACCCCCATGTGCTGCCCTCAGTAATGTCCCCCTTCTCCCACGGTAGGGGCTTCAGACCCTGCCCCTCATCCCACCCTGTCCTCAGCCATCCCTCCTCCTCCTCATCCATCCTGCCCTGCAACAGGGTGCACAGCACATCCCAGTGCTGGGGGAGATGCTTGGAGGAGGGAAGAAGTGCTGTCTCCTCCTAGACATTGAAGTCCTTGTACAGATTCACCCCTAGCAGGAGACCTGATGCCAGCAGAGGACATTCCTCAAACAAAGGGTCCTGCGGGGTTTACCCAGCTCCTTCCCACCCCATTTGACAGAAACCAGGATCCTGCTGGATCCCAGCCCTCTCATCACAGCAGGATCTCGCTGCCATCATCTTTCCCCAGTTTGGTACAGTCCAGCACCCAGCACCCAGCATGCTGTTCCTGCCTTAGCACCGCTCTCCCTGCCCCCCCCGGCTTTCCCATGTGCCCAGAGCCAGATGGCCAATGTGCACTGTGGCTTGGTGCTCTTCCTCCCACTCCGATTCCCAGCTGACCACTTTGTATGTAATCGTCCTCAGAGGGGAATTACAACCCAGTATTAAGTGCGTGGTTAAAGAAATCGCATTACACAGTGCAACTGTAAGGGAGATGCTTCCCTTCAATCTGTAATCCATGGAAGTTATTAGTTTAGCTGAGCAGCTCGGTGTGGCACCTCCGTGAAGGTCCAAACCTGTGCAGCCCCATCCCCTCCAAGCACTGGGCTCACACCACCCTCCCCCAATGCATTCATTGTTTTGCTGCTGATGATTTGATTGCTGTTATTGTGCTAACATGGGGCTCTTTAACGTTGCAGAAAAGGAAAATCACACTCGATGGCCGATGTGCTCCTGTGAAATAATGTTTGTGTCATGTATCCTGTCCTGCAGGTCTATGCAATATTAGTTAGTCACCCACCTGCTCCCAACGATCACCTAACACCAACACCTGTATCATACACAGCTGGCTTCTACAGGATCCCTGTCATTGGTCTGACAACACGCATGTCTATATATTCTGATAAGGTAACTGATGCATGTTTCTAGTCTAGTACCTCATACATGTGATGTAAAGCGAGAGTGCCCATCAGGAGGGTTGATGATAAACGCTCTCTATGTGTCTGTCTGTCCGCACACCCTTTCCAGTTCAAACTGCATCTCCCTCCCTCTCTCACATTCCCGGAACATCCTTTTTTCGCAGCTGCCAGTGTTGACCTACATAGTGCAGGATGATTTCTGCAGCATTTCCCTGCCAGGCTGTTGGGCTCGCTGCTCTCCTGCCAAGCCAAGAGCTCTCACTAACTCCTGCCCCCATGGCTGGGGGAGGTCCTGGGTGCTGCCCAGGTGTGGGGCACCTGTGGAGGGGAAGAGGTTCACATGATGTTACTAGGGGAGCAAATAGAATCAGCTAATCTGTTGCCCTATGGCTGATGCCCCATCCCTGGGGCTGCTAAAGTCTGGGTTGGGTGGGGCGTTAGGCACCCTGGGCTACTGCGTGTATCTCTGCCTGTGGCAGGGGTTGGAACTGGATGGGCTTTATGGTCACTTCCTACTCATCCATTCCATGAGCACTGAAGAAGGATTGAGATTCCAGTGTCTCTAACCATCCTCCTCAGCTGAGATGCTCTCTGGCTGCATGCCCTCAGCTCCCAGCCCCACATCACTGAGAGCAAGATCGCTGAGAGCAAAAGCAGCAGGGCCGGGTTGCCCAGTGTGCTGTCACAGCCCTGCTGAGCGGTTTTGTTCAGGTGCACGAGCTCAGTGCGTGACATCAGGCCTGCTGCAGAGCACGAGTCAGAGCACGAGTCATTGGCCTTTACTTGGGAAATGTGAATATTCACAAATGCAAATGTTCAGTGCAAAAATAGTCACTCCACCCACATGCTAAGTGAAGTCAAATTTCAGGAAGGGAGGAGCAGAGGCACACAGAAAGCCAAACCAGCAAGGCTGCTGTGCAGGAGCAGCTACAGGGCTTGGTGAAACCATGGCAGGACAGCCAGCAATCCCTTACCACGACAACGACAGGAGCTGGGGATGTGCACATCCCATCGGGTCACAGCACTGTGGGAGGGGGACAGACACTGTGGGAGGGCTGAGTGGCAGACCAGGGGAGCAGGGGGCCAGGGCAGCAGAGATGGGGTTGGTGCTGCTGCAGGATGGAGCTGGGTTTGATCAGCAATGCCAGCAGGAGAGATGTGCAGGGAGCTGGGACTCACATGCTGCTGGTCCCGTTTGTTCTCAGCAGAGCCCTGATTGCCCTTTCCAGATGATGACCTTGAGCTGAGCGGATGAGAGCCTCATCCACGTTTTCCTATTTAAAAGGTGTTTTCTGACTCAGAGCTGGAGGGGAACCCATGGCAGCGGTATGGAGATGCTCCCCACCAGGCAGTGGGGCAGCTGAAGGGCTGCAGAGGGAACATCTCACCCCTTGAGCCTCAGTGCACTTCCTGCAGAGAGCTGTGGTGCCAGTAGGAATGTGGGCACAGGGAAGGGCTGGCTGGAGAGAGGAGCGAGGAGGTTGAATAACGGACTGGAGGGAACACCAAAGTGGAAGAGGGAACAGGAGAGCAAAAGGGCGTGGGATGAAGTGGTGTGCAGCTCTGCAGGATGGGCTGATGCAGCGCTGGGACACTCAGCTGCTTCCCTTTTGGCTTTGCAGTCATCAGCATGCTGATATTTTATTTTTTTTTAATTCAGGAAATTATAGCTTTCGGCTTCGTTTCTATGGAAACACACTTGTACGATCACTTTGTGTGCATGCCCCTGATTGGTTTTGAAGGCATCAGCCAATTTTAGCTAAATTTCACAGGGGTTTGAAGACTCAGAGTTAATTATGGTCCTCCCAAGGTTAAACTGATTGAGAGGGGAGGCGTGGACCTCGCAAAACAGGTTTCCCAGAGCCTTCTGATGCTCTCCTAGCATCTGCAGTCAAGCATGGCACTCAGTCTTCCTGTGGAGATACCTGAGGGGAGCAAGTGTTCTTGCTCCCAATATTCAAAGAAGTGTTTGTTTCAGAAATGGGCTTGCAGCCAGCTCAGCAGCCTTTGTTTGGTCTCCTCAGTGCATCTTATGAAACCATTCCCTGTTCCTTCATCAATGCTCCATATGGGCTGAGAGCTGTGAATGGAGCCCAGCTGAACTCCTTGTGCATCAGCCCCCACTGAACCACCTCCCAGCACACGACTGAGCTACTGCAGCTCTTTCAGCTTCCTCCCATACCTGCAGTGCCTCTGAGGGGTGGGCAGGCAGCACAGCAACACAGGGTCCTTTCACAGAGTTTTTTTAGCACCCAGCTGATGGGTTTTGAGTAATTATTAGGAACTTCCTGTGTTGGGATTTCTATCAAGTCTCCTTGAGATTTCCCACACAGCTCAACTTTGGGGCATGTTTCTGAGAGGGGCACTGGTGATGATTCCCACTAGAGTATAATATCGTTGCATGAATCCTGTAGGAAGAATCACAGTACCAGCCATGGACAGGGAGCTGTGGTGAGCCCTTAGGCAGAAAGATATAGAGGACACCACTCCTACTCACGGACCTGCACACGGTCCCTTTGTGAGCACACTTGTAGTACCTAGTGGTCCCACAGCCTCATCTACAGACAAATCCACATGTCTTCTCAACCTCAGCTCTCTTCGCACATTCTCACGCCAGCAAAGCCACCAGCATTAGCACTGCGCAGCTCCCAGCACATCCCCAGCTTTGTGACCATCATCGCTCCCAGTGCACTTGGGATTCAGCTGGATTGAACACACTTTGGAGGCTGGATCCAGGCCCAACCATCATATTTTACCCCAGAAGCAGAGCTCAGTGAAGAAGCACAGGGCTGTGCACCCAGGTTTTGATTGGAGACAGGAAGGTGCTGCAGGAAGCTGAAGAGCTGAAGTACGTAGTAATAGTCATTAAAAAAAAAAAAGGGCTAAATAAATGCAGTGATTAATGCATCCCATACCTTGCAGGACAGCCCCACATGCTCCATTCCAAGGGTCAGGAAAACTATGCTGAGTTTGAGAGGGCTTTGCAAGAGAACTGTGGAAAGCCAGGGTATCTGCTGTGATATTTGTTATCAAATCAAACAAAACCTGATCCTTAACATCTCCTGCACATCATCAGCTGGACTTATTAACCTTTAAGGGCCTTTACTGCCATTTCTCTGATGAGCTCTGGGCTCTGCAGGGAAGCTCAGAAGTCCTACATGCTTCCAAACACAGAATGGGATTGCTCATCCTGAAATCCCAACTCAGAGTTTACAATCTGTTTTTTTCAGTACCCCACAGAAAAGTTATAACTTTCTAACCCAAGAGCTGAGATACTGTCATAATGAGCCCAATACCCTTCTCACACCACCTCAGAACATTTGTGGAACTGTTACTGGTTTCTGGTTAAAATCTCAGTGGTAAAATTTGTTCATCCAAACCTTGATGTATGTATTTACAGCACTTAAGAAAGACAGGATCAGTTCAAACAGCATTTTTGCAGCTCCTGGGCTGCAAGATGGTTGAGGCACTAGAAAAGAGCCACGGATCTTCCCTGCTTCCCATAATCAGGGGATGTTTGCAGTGCTCTGGCATTTTGCTGCTTGCCACTGCATTTCTTTGCAGTGGGTCAGCTGCCCACTGTCCTTCACTGTCCCTGTGCATGGAGACATGGCCAGCATGAAAGCTGTGCCTGTTACCTGTGTGCTGCTTGGTTTGATTGGGCTTTGTCTCTGTGCTGCGCATGTGGAAGAGGCAGTGGCTGCTCTGGCTGCTCCTCCTATGGAGATCTATGGCAGTACAACACCTTTCTCCTTCCAGCCTGAGCTGGATACTTGTGACCCATGCTGGGTGAACAGCTCTGGACAAGATCTGGTTGGCCCTGGGGATTTTTCAGCCCTTAAAAGCAAACATTACTGTGCTATTCTTTCTGTCCTCTGCCTCCCTCCTGCGCAGGGCTGCTTTGTTGAGCAGCATCCATGCTGAGTATATGCACTGCCATTTTCTAATAGCTGACTGCAGGGCCTTTTGGAGAAGCTGCATTTTTTGAAACCTCTCTGCTAGCTACAGCTTTTGGTCCAATTGCTCCCCAAAGAGCTCTGAACTTAATTAAGCTGGAATCGCTATTGCTCAATCAGCCAACCATAATGATGTCTTTAACCAAATCAGATTGGCTCGCCGGGGCAGGAGTCCAGCACTGCCTCCTCCTGCATGCTGCTGCAGAACAAGCTGACCTAGAAACAGCCCAACTGCACATTATAAAACTGCTTCTCTGAGCTTTCCTCCTGACAAATGGCCGCTGTATACCTGCATGTACCTGCAGCTGCTCCTTACAATGCTCTGAAGGCAAAGTTTTCCCTTCAGTGCCCACAGCTCTGTAATATTTTTGGATAAGCAAAAGGAGAGGCTGTATTTGCACTGAATGTTTCTGACAGTTTGTTCATGGGTAGGTTGTTCTTCACCACGCATTTGTGGGCGACAAAGCAAAAAACCCTCTCTCTCATGCAATGAATTGACCACAGAAAAGCATGAAATCATAGCCAAGGTTTGCTTCTCAGCTGAAAGAAAGGAATGTAGGAACCACATCTTTTTTTTAGGAAACGATTCTTCTCTGAGAGCGTGGTTGGGCACTGGAACAGGCTGCACAGGAGTCAGGGCAGTCACTGTCCCTGGAAGTGTTCAAGAATTGTGGAGATGCAGTGCTAAGGGACATGGTTTACTGAGCAAAGCTGGTGATAGGTGGACGCTTGGGCCAGATGATCTTAGAGACTTTTCCAACCTTAATGATTCTGTGGTTCCATGATTCTATCTGAAGGTGTGCAACCCAGAGGATTACACAGAACTTCGTCTCCTTGCCCTTGTGTTCACAGCCCTGTCCGTGCAAACCCGGGTGCACACCGGCAGCTGACCCACACCAGTCTATGTTGAGCTCTTGTTCTTCCTTGCAGAGCATCCACCTGTCCTTTTTGCGCACGGTCCCACCATACTCTCACCAGGCCAACGTCTGGTTTGAGATGATGAGAGTCTTCAACTGGAATCACGTCATTCTGATAGTCAGCGACGACCACGAAGGTCGTGCTGCACAAAAGAAGCTGGAGACCCTCTTGGAGGAGAGAGAGTCCAAGGTCAGTTCCTGAACATTGTCTTGTAGCTTTGTTTAAGCAACAACAACAAAACTAGAAGTCTCGGGCTGTTGTATGTATGTAGATTTCTGTATGTAAAACACCTTTTCTTTCCATTGTAACATGGCTAACATGCTTAAAGCATCAACAGTGTCTGACTAGTACCTGACAGAACTTTGTACTTTATTCATTTCACTTGCTTTGCCATGGTCAAAATCTCCTACATGTAAATCGACTACAAAATGAAGGGAAGGATAACCTGGAGCTCTGCAAATGCCTCGCCCAAGAGTCCCACCTAAGGAGAGGACCAGTCGCTCAGCTTAGGGAAGCACCTGCCCCACTTACAGCCCATCCAGCAGTGCCAAACCAGCCCAGAAAGCAGCTTCTGAATTGGCAAACTGGTGCTCACCTTAGTGGTAGGAGGGGTGAGGGCGGCCGGCGCATTGACGCGCCGAGGTGTCACGCACCCTCTCTATAAATCTGTCGGCTCCCAGGCGTTAGGCTGGTGCCCGTTCCCATCTCCATTGAAGCACACGCTAAACGCTGCTTTCCTGACACCCCATACTGTCACCAGGGTGTGGTTGAGGCTCACGGGTGCAGCTTTATCGAGGAGGTGTGTGGCACCTGCACCCAAGACATGCAGGGAGCAGGGAGGAAGGCAGGGGAGACCCCAAGCCTGCTAGAAATCTGGCAGGGACGACCACCGACCTGAGTGATGGGACCAAGCAAGCATTCAAGACGAGCAGGAAAGGACAACGCAGAGAGCTGGTTGGCTGCAGTTGTTTAAAAGCAGCCACCTACCTGGAAAGCAAGGAGCAGCCTGCCCCGATGGGTGAATCTCAGCACGTCATCTGGCTTGAAGCAGTGCTAGGTCCTCTTTGGGCCACCTCCAGTATCCTCAGGGTTGGCACCATTCCTTCCATCTCCCTCCTGGCTCACAGGCAGGGACCCAGTCCGCTCTCTGCCAGTCCCACCAGTGACTGCTGGATGTTTGGCAGCCAGATGCTAAGGAGATGTGGTTGTACATGTACATCTTGTGCTTGGAGCTGGCATCTGAGTTGAGAGCAGTCACCTCTTGTCAAAACAATGAACGAACCACTGGTGCAGAGATCCATGCTGACCAACAGGCTTTTGGTTTTGGTGCTTGACTCCAAGAAGTTTCACCCTTGCTGCAGTCCGAGGAATCATGAGCCACTGGTGTGCCACTGAGCACGGCATCCTCCTGCCTCCAAAGGCACCTTTCTGTTGGGTCACAGCAGGACCATGTTCCTCCCCAACACCTCTTTCAGTGTCCAAGAGATATCTGTAGAAGCGCTGTACCTATTGTAAGTCTGCTCTGCCTTATCTTGCATCTTTTGCTTTCCACCTGCTATTTCCCTGCAGCTCCCATGTGTTGTTTTCTGTTCCCTCTGATGCCTGCACTCTTCTCACCAAGTTCCATGCTTCCAGGCACGAGGTGAATTTCTTCTTTGCTTGCCCATCAAACAGGAAAGCCTTCGAGATCTTGGTTTGAAAGGCAGGGCAGACCTGCCCTGCATCTGAATCTATGACGTGTTGGTGTCTCGTGGAAGCCATGGAGCTGCTCCAGATGTCCTGGCCATCCACCAGACTGGGACTTGTGCTCCGTGGTGGTAGGTCACCACACCTTCCCCTTGGGGTCTGCCACAAACTCTCATTTCTCTTTCCCTTAGAGAACTCGCTGTGACCAACTGGCTGGCCTGGCTGCTCTCAAAGGTGGTAGCTATTCCCATCAGAGCGTTCCCTTCTTCCTCAGTCTCTTCTGCTGCCCCATTTCTCTCCTAATCACTGGTGTGCTCAGTTTATGCTGTGAGGTGATGTCATAGATCCCTCTCTAACCTCTTCTGGAGCAGGCTGGACCCTGGGAGGAGCAGGCAGGAGAGCAGCTCTGACTTCTTCAAAGCATGAATCACAGCTCCCAAGGACCTGAGAGATCTGCTGTGCCTCACCTGGATCCTACCATGACTTGTATCCTGGAGTCAGCGTCAGGACGTGGTGTTCCTCAGACATGGATAAATGCTTCAAACAGGTGATTGGAGCCCAGCATTGGCCAGCCCTGGTACTCCACATATGCTAAACTTGTCTGAGATGTCTGCAGAAACTTCCCCAGGGTTTGCTGCTTCATCCTGAGTTGTACAGCTCAGAACTCACTGACCTCCACTGCTGCTTGGGTTCAGTTTGGGTACAAGATGCTGTGAACATCAGAGTCTGTCCAGGTCAGATATGGCAAGTCCCTGATGTGGCAGCTCTCTTCCTCTGAGACTGTGATGTTCGTGCAACAGTAATTTTTAAGTTAATGTTGGAGAATGTGGAGAGTGAATTTTGATATTGCAGGTCCCTGTGTGAAACATGGGCTGAGGAGTAGGGAAGTGCTGTGGAACAACATCAAAAATTGGAAAGAGAAGAGACATTGCCATTGCTGGTCACTACATTAGAGATGGGGACAGCGGGAGATAGAAGTGATCAGATGCCATTAGGTCCAATTGTGTTGGGCCCAAGACTCTGCTTCACTTTGCTGACCGGCTCCAGTTGAGATGCCAGTACACCCCAGACACATGAACTCAATCACATCTGGAGGCTGAAGAATGGATGACCAGGTTTCCAGTCAAATTGATGGCACCCGAAGGAAAACAGCCGATGTCTCTCCTCCGGAGAGTGTTCATGCTGTCCTGCTGCAGCCCTGCTCTCCCCAAAGGCAATGTTCCTCCAAGTCTCACTGCAATCTGAGAAGACTCAAAGAAGCACTTGCAGAAATTCCCACCATGAACGGCACCTAGAATGAAGGAGGAGCTGGACTTGGAACACAATTTTCCTTCTCAGATTCTTTTCCTTGCAAGATCCTGACTTCTTCGAATGGTGAAAAGTATCTGAGGAGAGGAACGGAAAACTCACACAACTGCACAGGCAGGAGAGCTGGCAAAGCTGAAGACTGGCCAGAGAGCTCAGGAAGAAGCAAGGTGTTTAGTGTGGAAAGCAAGATGCAGAAGCAGACGCTGACTGCCTCAGGATCGACCTGGGAAATGGAACCGTGGTGTTACAGGGGCGCAAAGGGTCAGGTTCCTGGCAGAAATCAATTGGCATAAGATGCTGCAAAGTGGAGATCGGAGTAGAACTGTGTCCCGTACATGCAGGTTAGGGATGCCCAGAAGGGTGGGAAGGGGCTGAGAAGAAGGGGTCAGACTGTCCCACCAAAAACTGCCAAGAGCTGTTCTGCAGGTGCTCTCAGGTTGTCACGGACAGGACCACAAGATGATGCATGGGACAGGTCCCCAGTCCCCAGCACCTCCTGAGGCCACTCATGTGCTGCAAAGCCACCCGGTGCCCCCAGAGCACCAAATAACAGCCACAGTGTCATCCCATGGTCACCATTGCTTCATACTGCCATGCTTTGAGCCAACACAGGACCTAGCGAGCTTTTTTTCCACTCTCTTTTGGATGGCAACTGAGCTCCAAAACGCTGCTCCCTCCTTGCAGGAGGTGAAGCTCAGCTCCTCACTTGCTGTGAACTCTCTTAGGGCGAACAGGATTGTAATGGTAATAGTAACGGTAGCAATGCTAATGCTATTGATTGTAACAGCTTGTGTTTATCCAGCACTTTCCGTACACAACATTTTGTCCTTTACTTCCACAGTAATTCCATGGAATTCCCACCACTTAGGCCCTTAGAGATGCATAGATTGTTTCTGAGCTTAAGATAAAAATCTCTTGCTGAAGAATTCCCCAGTCCCAAAGGGAAATGCAACTGCATCGCGACAGCTGTGACACTCAGGCTTGCTTTGCACCGTGACGCTCCCGCGAGAGCTGAGGCACTCTCTCCTGATAGTGGTTTTTGCGAGCTCCAGCGTTATAGAGACCCTTTAGCAAACAGTGGAGGAGGAGGTGGATGTTGGATTGCTTTACTACACGTCATTTTCAACTGTTTATAATATTCTTCTGTGTCTACATATTTTCTCTGTGCACATTATTCATCAGAGTAAAAAAAGGAACTATGAAAACCTCGACCAACTTTCCTATGACAACAAGCGAGGACCCAAGGTATATATGCATGGAAATGCACGCCGCCCACCAACCTAACTAGCAAATGAAAAATAGCCACAGCCACCAGAAAAAATAAAAAATAAAATAAAATAAAAAGAAAAAAGAGAAAGAGAAAAAAGAAAAGAGAAAGAAAGAAAAAGATCCATGACTATGTTTCTTGGTAGCACGTTTTTATGTTGAGATAGTTTGGTTTGGACTTGAGAATGGAAACCTAGCCAGCTGACCCTGGAAGGATTTCTTTTTGAGACATGCATGTGAACCAGTAATTAACTTGCAAGTTTTTTGTTTTTGTTTTTTTTTGGAAAGTTGAACCAACCCCCTTTCCTCCCTAAAGGAAACAGTTCCTTGGTGTAAGTCGTTCACTTTTACTCCCAAAGGTTAACCCTGTGCAATGTTTTTTTTTCATTTCCCATGTTTTTGAAAAACAACACTCGTTTGAGTTTTCAATTGCATTTCAAAGCCTTTTTCTCTTTCCTGTACAATGCACGCCTCTTCTTGGGTCTTGATTGACTTCAGTTTGCATGCACAGTGCAAAAAAAATAAATAAATAAAATAAAGACCAGAAAACAAAACGTTAAAAGAGAAAGGAAGGAAGGAAAGAAACAAAAGAAAGCAAAGAAAAGCAAAGAAAATAAGAAAAAAACCTAGCTGTAACCAATCTTATTTAGCAGACTTTCGTGCAGTTTAATGAATTTTCTTGACCCTTTTCTAGATAGCATGGCTCTCACAAGCAGTCCTCAGTCTCCCACGCTAACCAGCTTTGCTCACACTAATCACAGGCAGAGAAAGTGCTGCAGTTTGACCCCGGGACCAAAAACGTGACATCGCTGCTGCTGGAGGCTAAAGAGCTGGAGGCTCGTGTCATCATCCTCTCGGCCAGGTAAGGCCCGTGGGGCCCTCACTCCTCCAGTTTCCTCACTTCCCCCCTGCAACTCTGCCCAGCACTGGAGTCCATGCAGATTTGGGGCATGTTGTCACTTTTAGGGAGCATAGGAGAAAATCCACATAAAGTCCCATATCCCAGGGAGGTACTATACATTGCAGTCATGGTAGTGGTAGAGGCGCCTGGATGTCAGTGAGGTGTTAGCAGTGATGTATCCTGAGCTCCCTGCAAAGGAAGGTGTCTCATTGCCCCGTTCTTATAGATGGTGAGTGATAAGGAATGGGCCAGATTTGCTGGGTGCTGTGGGGTTAGACGAAGCTGAGAGAAAGCCTCCCAGTGCATCGTGGAGTTAGCCATTGCCCAGGAGAACCATCTGTCAGAGGGGATCAGAGCGAGCTGTCCAGGGGTAGAAGACAGGATGAAGGGGTCCATCTGGCACCCGGAGCCACATTGCCATTCCCTTCTTCTCATTGCAGTGAGGATGATGCGGCAACAGTGTACAGATCAGCAGCCATGCTCAATATGACGGGCTCCGGCTACGTGTGGCTGGTGGGGGAACGGGAGATTTCGGGCAATGCCCTGCGCTACGCCCCTGATGGTAGGCACCCACCAGAGGCATCCACCCTGCCGCTGGCCAGAAGATTGTCTGGGGCTGGGGCGAGTGGTCCAGGGGCACACCATGCCATGGTGGTCCCAAGCACGTGTTGAATCCCACTGTGCTCTTCTGGGTCTGAATAGGGTGGCAGCAGCCTGAGAGCCCTACCGTACTGCCGTGCCCCAAACCCAGCTGTCCAGTGCTTTGAGGCAGACTGTCACCTGAGGAAATGCTTGGGCAGTGGAATGGGGATGGAGCACTGATGTCAATGGCTCACAGTGCTGCCCCATCGCCCTTTGGCAGGCACAGCGATGCCAGCCTGGCACTGAAGCTCATGCAGCTCCCCCACTGCTTCTGAAGGGTCCCAAGTCCCACAGCTGTGTGCTTGCTTGCCTCAAACCCTACATGTGGGAGCAACACCACAGCCTAGTGGGGATGATCAGTTCCTCCACTCATTGCAGGAGTCATCGGCTTGCAGCTCATCAATGGGAAAAACGAGTCAGCCCACATAAGCGACGCAGTGGCAGTGGTGGCCCAGGCTGTGCACGACTTGTTTGAGAAGGAGAACATCACTGACCCACCACGGGGCTGTGTGGGCAACACCAACATCTGGAAGACGGGGCCCCTTTTCAAGAGGTAACTGGGGAAGGCTGAATGCCATTTTTTCAAGAGGAAGGAGCTTTAAAAGATGGGACCACAGGCTCACACACAGGCCTTTGGCTTCCCCAAGGGCGCCACCACATTGGTGCCTGGCACCAGTTCAGTCCATGCCATCCCATGGGTATCTTGTGGGCAGTGCTTGGACAACTGGGATAAGCAGGGGGTGATGCCCACGAAGAGACATAGGGCCCTTGAAGGATGCTTTCCTCATTTCTGGATCTTAATGAAGTGTTTGGGAAAGAGGAGAAACAGGTTTTCTGCCAAATCAGGACAGGGGGATTGTCTGTCAGATCAGATCTCAGTGCTGCAAGCACTGGCTAATTCAACAGTACTGGCAGAGTGTGGGGGCACAAGACCAGGAGGCAGGCTGGTCTCTGCTGTAGCAAATCCTGGAGCCATGTTTTTTGGCAGCAGGTCAGCTCATGTAGCGCAAGATTGGAGCACACGTTGGATCTCACTGCCATGGGCAATGAGATGGGCTGTATGTGGTGCCCAGAACCTGATCTTTATGTTGCATGGTATTTTCTACTGCACCTCTGCAGATGATGGAGACAAGGGCCTTTTCTGCAGGCTGAATCTGAACAAAACAGCAATTCCCTCTGCATGTGGTTCCCTGTGTTCCCTGTGCAGGACTGCTCTCTGCAGCATGCAGCCTGGCACCTTGTGCCAGCAGTGGGGTCCCATGCTGAGGGTTACTCTCTGCAGTCATGGTGTTATGTAGCATGCTCTTTCTGTATCTCTCGGTTCTGTTAAGCTTGGGACCTGCAGGGTCTGAAACTTATTTTGGAAAGGTTTCCAGCATCTCCCGCAGTGAAACAAACTTTGGCATGAGGCATTAGATGTTGTTCTCTATGGCACATTGCAAGTGGCCCCATCCATTCTGTGTTTTCTCTACCATCTTTCGAGTTTTGGGGGCTGGTTCTCCCCTTTGTAGTATATATGCATGCATGGGGCATTAGTAAAGTTGTGATGGGCTGGTGGCAGACAGAAGCTGTAGGAACTGTGGTATGGATGCAGCTCCCAGGGTGCCCCAAAGATCTCTTTGGGTGCTGCAGTATAAAAGACTGGGCTAAATCATTCCATAGGAAAATGGAAGTGATCTGGTAGAAAAGAGAGGACAGTGACAACAGATGTGGTAGTGCAGCATCTAGGAAACATGACTCAGACTAACCTTGTCCATCAGGAAACCACGACCTCCAAGCTATGAATGGATCGTAGGTATCAAAGCTAATGTAAGGCAACGAGCACATGAAAATGTCAGGCAATTGAGAGAAAGACTTCTGGTCCCTTCTTAGATCTCCCAATAGCCACAGCAGGTTTTCTAGGTCAGCCCACTGTGTTTCTCTTTGTAGGGTGTTGATGTCCTCCAAGTATTCGGAGGGTGTCACCGGACGGGTAGAATTCAATGAGGACGGGGACAGGAAGTTTGCCAATTACAGCATCATGAACCTGCAGAACCGCAAACTGGTCCAGGTTGGGATTTACAACGGTAGCAATGTACGTACAGGCCTGGACAGGAAGGTGGGTTGAGGTGTGCTGGTGTATCTACCCATGGCCTCATGTTTATCTCCTCCCTCTGGCACTGATCACAGGTCTTGACCAACGATAGGAAGATAATCTGGCCAGGGGGAGAAACTGAGAAACCTCAAGGCTATCAGATGTCGACCAAATTGAAGGTAACAACAAATGGCAGTAGGTGTTATGAGTTCATCCACATCCTGCTGCCCTGGGCAGCCTGGTCTGGTATTAAATGGGGAAGTTGGTGGCCCTGCATGTGGCAGGGGGGTTGGAGATTCGTGGTCCTTGAGGTCCCTTCCAACCCTGGCCATTCTGCGATTCTGTGATTCTGTACTGCTGCCCTGCAGCTGCCAGAACCTTCCATTCCAGAGAGGCCATAGCAGAGACACTTAGCAAAGGTGCTAGAGAGTGTTCAGAGCAGAGCACAGCTTCCTCCCAGAGCCCAACTGTAAGCGTGGTGCCCTTTGGTTGAGAAGGAGACAGTTGGAAATGGGAAATGAGAGAGAGCGACAGAGTGGAGGGAGAAGGTGTTTGCTGTTCCTTATGGCATGGGAGTCAGAGGGCACTTGGCACAGGTTTGCAGCATGTACAGCCTATGCAAGACTTCAATCTGGAGCCTTTTGCAGCTAAGGCCAGAAGATCAGAAGGAAATAGGTTCAGAAGGTGACTAAACAAGCTAACAAGGAGTAGGTGGGCTGATAGCTGCAGAGCTGGGCTCAGGAAATCTCTGAACAGCTGATAGCCAAAAGCTGGAGATGACAGTGGGGGAATGTCCCTCCATGCTTGCTCTGCTTGTCATGCCTTTCTCTGAAGCCTCTTTGGTAACTGGGCAAGCTCCTCTCCACTGGTCCTTCAGTCCAGGCGGTGTGAATCACACACTCCTACTGACTGTGAGCCTGTACTCCTGCAGAGGTGATGCAGAGGCATTGGGATGCTGCTTTACTAAGAAGATCCTGGGTAGGACTGGAAGACTCACATTTGCTCATGGCAATGTGGCAGCGACTAGAGCACAAGCCAGGGCATGAATCCCAGCAATGCAGTGACTCTCATCAACCTGCTCTTATGGCAATGGGTGAGAAGGACTTTGAGGACAGGGAAAAATTTCCACATGAGGAAGGCTGGCTCGTCTGATCCTCGTCTCGGAGAGGAGACAGGCGAATGTCTCCCTATGCCAAAGTCAGGTCCTGCTGCTGGACTGCGTGGTCCATGGGGACGGCACTGTGGCACTGTGGCCATGTTTGCCTGGAGAAGGTAGCCCCAATCCCCATCCAGGTGGGGACAGCTCTGGAAGGGGATGGCAGCAACTGAATACTTGTGCTTTCCCCACAGATTGTAACGATTCACCAAGAACCCTTTGTATATGTGAAGCCCACACAAGCAGATGGGACGTGCAGGGAGGAATTCACCATCAATGGTGACCCTGTCAAAAAGGTCTTTTGTACAGGGCCCAACGAGACCATCCCAGGTAAATCCATCTGGCAGTGAGCATAGCAGCATCCCCAGCCCACCTGGCACATTTGTGACCCTAGCAGATGACTTTCTTGCTGCCTCACTTCTGTGTGGTCTCCAAGGCTACTTTGAGGGATTGCACCCCATGTTGCTGTCTCCTGACATGCTCCCATTCCTTCTGCCTCAATATGGTTTGAAACTAAAGCCACACGGGTGGTTGCTTTCCCTGGGGAGAGCCATGGGTCTGGCATGGGATCCCTGGCAGAAGGCTGCATCCACCTGTCCCCTCCCATTTTCTCTTGCCCACAGGCCGGCCCACAGTGGCACTGTGTTGCTATGGCTTCTGCATCGACCTGCTGATCCGCCTGGCTGGTGTGATGAACTTCACCTATGAGGTTCATCTGGTGGCTGATGGTAAATTTGGTACCCAAGAGCGGGTGAGTTTAGGCAGCTTGGGGTATCACTTCTTTCACATCATGTGTCAAAACACGGCCAAGCCGTTCTCCGGAGCAGAGCTGGCCAGTGATGGGGCAGGGTCTGATCCTGCACGGGATCTCTGGCAGGTGAACAACAGCAACAAGAAGGAGTGGAATGGGATGATGGGGGAGTTGCTGAGTGGCCAGGCGGATATGATTGTAGCTCCCCTCACCATCAACAATGAGCGGGCACAGTACATCGAGTTCTCCAAGCCCTTCAAATACCAGGGTCTCACCATCCTTGTGAAGAAGGTATGGACTGGGCTGCTTGTAGGAGGGGTGGGGTGGGCAGGGTGCAGCCTCGCTGGGTGTCAAGCACTGCCTGCCTCTCTCGTTTGTGCTAGGAAATCCCCCGCAGCACCCTGGATTCGTTCATGCAGCCCTTCCAGAGTACACTGTGGTTGCTGGTGGGACTGTCTGTGCATGTGGTGGCAGTGATGCTGTACCTTCTAGATCGATTCAGGTGAGTGCTCCATGGGTCACTCAGGGGCTGCAGGTGAAGGGGAGGTGTCACACAGATGGTCTCTGTATCCTGGAGACAAATGTAATGGGAGCAGCACCAGCGTGAGGTAGACATGGTTGCAGGCCAGCATAGGGGATGTGAAAGGCTATGTGAAAGGCATAGGGCTTTGGAGCCAGGGCTGTGGAGCCAGCCAGGAGTGAAGAGCAGCATGGGGTACAAGTGTACAAGATCCACACTGCAAGGATCAGTGCTGTAAGGCTGCATCAGAGTTCTTAAGGCATGAAAGAAAGCCTGGAGAAAAGGGATAAGGGACATCAGAAGAGATCTTGCTCTTGTTTTCCAGCCCATTTGGACGGTTCAAAGTGAACAGCGAGGAGGAGGAGGAAGATGCCCTGACACTCTCCTCAGCCATGTGGTTCTCCTGGGGAGTCCTGCTGAACTCCGGCATCGGAGAAGGTGCGTTGCACGGGCAGTGGTGCTGCTCTGCCCTGAACACTGTCATGGACCCACAGGGACCCAAGAGGCACCTGTCTTCCTTTCCACATGCTCTTATCGGTGCCCTGGGAGACCAGTGAAAAATTGTACAGTTCTTGTCCCCCGAGACTTCCTTGGAGGGGTACTTGGGGTGCTGGGGGGTGGCACACTCATGGCGCAGCTGCTGCAGACTCTCCTGCCAGCCTTCACCATCAGTGATGGGAAAAGTCTTTCCTGGGCTCCCTTTCCTGGTGTTACTCATCCAGTAGGGTTCAATGCATGTTTTTCTTTGGGTAACACAAAAGCTCTTCACACATCTGTTGGATAGGGCACATTTGTAGATGCCATTCATCTTGTGTGAGGTGGTTACAGCTTTGGTGATCAAGTCAAGCTCTTGTTGTGCCAGTCTGAGCTCTCCTCTCTCTTTCCAGGTGCTCCTCGGAGTTTTTCTGCTCGTATTCTGGGCATGGTGTGGGCTGGCTTTGCTATGATCATTGTGGCTTCCTATACTGCCAACCTGGCTGCCTTCCTGGTGTTGGACCGTCCTGAGGAGAGAATTACAGGCATCAATGACCCCCGGGTAATGATCTCTTGCCTCAATTCCCTTTCTCTGCCCATCTCTAGGCAGAGATGCAGATGTCTTCAGTGCGTACCTCCTGGTTTGGTGGCTGGTAGTACTTAGAGCCCTATGTAATGTGGGTCTGTGCCTGGGTGGGGATGGGAATACACAGGCAGGGAACAGCAGAGAAAAAGCCTGTCCAGAAACAGCACGAGGCCGGCCAAACTCCTGCCAGTTCCTGGAGAGCCTGCACTAACCAACGAGGAAACAATTCATTATGGATGAGTTATAGCTAATGAAATTGTCCCTGCGGTGCAGTCAATACTCTCAGCAGATACTATCATGACTCAAACCCATTTCCTGCTCTGGCAAGGACACAGCCACAGCCTATCAATCCAAGCAGCCAGGAATGCACTCCACAGCAGTCCCAGCTGACTGCATCCCACATCTCACAGCACCCTCCGCCCTCAGCACCATCAGCCCCATCTCACTGGGGGGGTTCCTGCATCCTCAGTGCTGTTACAGAGCATCCACTGTCCACCACTGTGGCCCCAGAGCATCCCCTGTCCCATCCTGAGCACTGCAGCATGCACTCCCCCATGGCATCTGCAGCTCCACTGAGGTGATCGAGATCTTCCCTGGGAAGCAGTTCGCTGAATGGGATGGGAAATCAGGAAACACAATTTTGGGGCGAGCCAGTTTGGTTGATGTAGAACAGAAGAAATAAGAGCTCTGCCGTTGCCTTTCAGCTGCGCAACCCCTCCGATAAGTTCATTTACGCCACGGTGAAGCAGAGCTCGGTGGACATCTACTTCCGACGGCAGGTGGAGCTGAGCACCATGTACCGGCACATGGAGAAACACAACTATGAGAGCGCAGCCGAAGCCATCCAGGCTGTGCGAGACAAGTGAGTGGCACCTGCACCTTGCTGGGCAGGGGCTGGGGGGAGCTAGCGGGATTCTGTTCCTCGTGCATAGCGGATCTAAGATTAACTTAGAGCTGGTAGCCCCCTCGCTGCTCCTGCAGTGGCTGCAGACAAGCCAGGCTGCCCACCCTAATGAGTGTCCTCTTTGGTGTTCAGCAAGCTCCACGCCTTCATCTGGGACTCGGCAGTGCTGGAGTTTGAAGCCTCGCAGAAGTGTGACCTGGTGACAACAGGGGAACTTTTCTTCCGCTCCGGCTTTGGGATTGGGATGCGCAAGGACAGCCCGTGGAAGCAGAATGTCTCACTGGCCATCCTCAAGTCCGTACACAGCTCTCAGCCCTTATGCTGCATGTGTGCTAGCACACAAGTAGCCCTGTGTCAGGCACTGAAACCCTCCCATGGGGCATACTTCTCCCCACATCCCCTGGCTTCAACTCCCCAGGGCTGTCCTTTCTGCCCTGGTCCTGCTAGGCAGAGATGCTTCAGGTCCCCTCCAGAGCTCAACTTAGGCTCTACTATCAGCATCAGTCTGCAGCATGCTGTGCCACAAGGCACCTGGTCTCACGGATAAAAAGGGATTTCCACGTGTTAGTTTAGAAACGCTGCATTCATTGAAGAGAAGGGAGTGTGGTGATGGGGATGGGAACCAGAGAGTGGAAGAAGGGGAAGATGTAGTGTGTTGTTCAGGATCTGTTGGTGAAACTACCTGCAGGATTGGGGTGACATAAGGAGACTTGAGGCTCCACCTATGGGGGAATAATACTGAAGGATGGAACAGGATGGGTGGGATGGGGCTGTGAAGCCTGGAAAGACACCAGGAGCCCTTTGGTCCCCTCTGGTACAGGAAGGGAAAGCCTAGAGCTTTAGGCATCCTGGGACAGTGGTGGGGCATGGAGATGTGTCAGGAACAGGAGGCAGGAGCATCATGGTAGGATGTGCGATCCATCCTGCCTTCATCCCAGTGCTGTGCCATGGGCTGTTCTAGACCTCACAGTGGGGATCTTGCTGGGATGCAGCCTCACAGAAGGGACCTGTCTCCTTGCACAAAAGCCATATGGGCAAACACACACACAACCTGTGCACACATATCATCCATAGGCTTACCAGCAGGCTGCAGTTATGCACAGGGTCCTAGGGCAGAGGCATCCTGGCCTGCATCCCAGCCACCTGCACCAGGTCTCCTGTGACTGTCCCATCTCCTTGTGCTTTCAGGTCCCACGAGAACGGCTTCATGGAGGATTTGGACAAGACTTGGGTGAGGTATCAGGAGTGTGATTCCCGTAGCAATGCCCCAGCAACACTCACCTTTGAAAATATGGCAGGTTTGTTCTGCAAACCTCTTTCTTCCTCTTCGCTTGATAGCCTGCTTTCACTCAAGACATTCTCCTCTCCTGAGCCCTCCTCCCAGGCCAAAGCTCTGCTTCTTCTGGGTTTGTGCTTTCCTAGTGCTGGGAGGCTGCTGTGGTGGGCTCCCATCCCACCTCATCCAAAACAGCTCTGCGAAGCTTTCTCCACCTTCCCTGGGCAGCCTCCTCAACCCAGTGGCCTCTGTGACTGTCTTTCCCCTCCCCTCCCCGCAGTCTGGCTGAGCTGCAGCTGCTGGGGTGCAATGGGTGCAGAGGGAGAGGAGCAGCACTTGGGATGGGGAGAGAAGGGAGCCGGCTGCAGTGGGGCTGCCCCAAGGAGTGTGCTGGGGCTGAGGGCTGGTGTGATAGCTGATGCCATGTTTTCCTCTCCTTGGGCCTGCTTGTTTACCCCATGTGGGCTCTCTTCCCCCGGCCAGCACAGTGCAAGGTTGGGAGTGTCCACCTGCTGAGGGCACCACTGAGCATGGGATGGAGCGCTTTATTCTATTCCTTGGGACTCATAGTGCTGTGCCACCTTGCCATCCCCAACTATCCCTGCCTCTGAGGGTCACAGCAAGCTGAGTGCAGCTCAGAGCATGCTATGCTTCCCAACACACCAAGCAGCAGCACCAAAGCTGGGATTTTCTGCTGCAGACAGCCCTGGGAACAAGATCTGCCCCAGTGCACAGTACAGCCCCCAGCAACACATGCTCACCCATGGCATCACTGCAGCAGCTCCGGTGCCTGACTGCAAGGAGCCCATGCAGACACCCCACACCCACCACCCCATGCCCATCCCCGTGGGTGCCCCTCTGGGAGTGGGGAGGTGGGGAGGCTGGGGCTGGCAGATGCCACTCGTGCTGAGCGCGATGCAGAGGAAATGAAGTGTCGTGATGCGATTCCCACTGCCCCCTGTAACTTTCCTACTTATTTCAGGTGTGTTTATGCTGGTGGCTGGAGGTATTGTTGCCGGGATATTTTTAATATTCATAGAAATAGCTTACAAAAGGCATAAGGACGCGCGGAGGAAGCAGATGCAGCTGGCGTTTGCGGCCGTTAATGTGTGGAGGAAAAACCTGCAGGTAGGACAAACCGTTTTTAGAGCAAATCTCCAACAGGTGCGTTTTCCATTCCTTCACCAAATCAGTGAATGCAGAGCTGTGGATTAACATGGGGTCCCATGTCCCATCCCCAGTAACTCCCCTGGGCGTTACTGGGCTGCTGGTGAGCTGTGGGGCCCTGCTTGTCCCCAGGGCCACGCACGGCCAATGCCACCTCCCTGGGAGGTATCGTACCCATCTCTGTCCAGGACAGAGACCTGGTCCAAATGCCATGGTTTGCCCTTGGCAGTGCTGGGGACAGTGACCTTGCTCTGCTGGGGACCATGCGTCAGAGCTGCGTTTCTGGCAGCTCCTCATGCAGGATCTCTGATATGCTCCACCACGCTCACCAGCAGAGGAAGGGAGGGTTCACCTGCAGCTACCAAGCATCCCTTCCCTGCAGTCCTGAGCATCCCTTCCCCATGGCCCCAAACATCCCTGCCCCGAAGCCTTCTAGCATCCCTGCCCTGGGTCCCTGAGCATCTCATCCCCGTGGTCCCATGCTGCCCATCCCTGCAGTCCCATGCTGCCCATCCCTGCAGTCTCATGCTGCCCATGTGCAGAAATGCTCCAGGAATGGAGAGTTCCATCACCTCCTCCTCCCTCCCCACCCTTGGGGCTGTGGTGCCCCTGCCGCATCCGAAGCGGTTCCAAAAGAGAGGCGGTGCATTCTCTTATCACTTGGGGACAAGGACATCTGCCCCCAGAATCTCCCATCCCTGTAGCACCCCAGGTGAGAGGAGCCCAGGGGCAGCCACGTGCCTGCTGCTGGCACCGAGCTCTGCGCACGTCCCCGAGCCTCCCCTGCCCTCACCACCAGGACCACCTGGCTGCTCTCCGTGGACCCTCCAGGCTGTGTCCCGCTTTGGGGAAACAAGTCTGCATTCAGAGTGCCAGGCATCCTTTGGGTGGTGAAAGGCACACAGCCCCCAACGATGGGTGCCCCACGGAGCAGAGGGGGATGCTCAGGAACGTCATCTTCCCAAAGGCAGCGAGGGGAGCACGAGGCCGGGCTGCTACATCCTGAGAGCTCGCCGGGTTCAGTTCACAGATACGAGTTTCGGAAGAGCCGTTTCTTTTTTTATTATTATTTATTCTTCTTCCTTTTTTTTTTTTTCCTTTGCTTCCAAAAAGCAGCAGCAGCGACGGGGTTAAGGCTGCTGGGACAGAGCACACTAGTTGCACTGCCATTTTTCACTTGCCAACCTTCTAGAAAATACTGCACTGGGTCCTTGGGCAGAGTCTGTGGGACTGTGAGCAAAGCATGCTGCCCTGTGGGGATAAACAGCCTCATGGTAAAGAGCCGTTTGACATTGTAAGACTTTTCCACAGGAGGAAACGTCAGAGCACTAGTATCTGGTACATTGCTAGAAGGTAGGCAAGTGGAAAGATTTATTTGTTAAAACAAACAAACAAAAATAATGGTTTTTGGGATCACAGTTTTGCCATGGCTATTTCCTGAGATGCCATGGAAGAAAAAGACATTTCATTCCATTCATCTTGCTTTCCTTTCCGTTTGTGCATGTCCGCAAAAGAGAGAACTGAGAAGGAGGAGCAAATGTATCCCCGAGCATGCTCTACGCACCAGCGGGATACATTTTGGTTACCCCCGTGCGGTAGCAGAGCCAGACCTGGTCACTCCGTCCCCCGTCGGCAAGGTCACACTCATTGGCACGAAAGCAATTGGGGAGGAATCGTTGTCAGCGCCCGCCGCCGAGCGCGGCCGGTCCCCACGGCTCGCTGCCCCCGCACCGTGGCGGCTGGTGCTCCCAGCCTGCGCCAACCAGGTCCGACTCGCTAACTCCAATGGCTACATTTTTCAGTTCTGTTTCTCTTTGAGTTCATCCCGACCCTGACGACATCATAGCGCTAATATGCTTTGCTTCCTCCCTTTCTTTTCCTTTTCTTTTTTTGGTTTGGTTTTTTTTTTTTTTTTTTTCTTTTTTTTTTTTTCCAGTTTTCTTTTATTTATTTCTACTTTTTTTTTAGCCGATTTTACTTTGGAAAACAACCAAACAAACGAACAAAACCACCACAACCACAAACACCACCACCAACCACGTTCGGCTTTGCACAAACGCACCATTTAAATTTTGGAATACCTTTTTTTGCAGAATGCCCATACAATGACTTCTCTTTCGATGCAGTCCTCTCTCTCTCTTGTGGCGCTAGGATTCAGAGCAGGCGCTGGTAGTGCAGGAGCAGCATCCCACCTCCCGCTGTAGGCAGGCTGGCGGTGGAGGCCAGGGGAAGGGCCAGGCAGCACATCCCCAGGTTCTCTCCCAAGGAAGCGAGGTCAGCGCCGCAGGCTGCCAGCAGACGCCCAGGAGACACAGGGCTGCTCCCAGAGGGGTTTCCAGCGCTGTGGACGCGAGGCCGGCCCCATAGCTGTAGCAGCGAGGCGCCACGCTGTGCCTGCGGGTCACAGAGGCCCTTGGAGGACTGGGAGTGACATCTCTGGTAGCGTGCTCACCCAAATGAAGGACATGACACGGGGCAGTATTCAAGTAGATTTAGCGTTTCCAACAGCACACTAGAGATCTAATCGCTTATACATATTCATTTTAGGATAGAAAAAGTGGTAGAGCAGAACCTGACCCTAAAAAGAAAGCCACTTTTAGGTCCATCACCTCCACCCTGGCCTCCAGCTTCAAGAGACGTAGGTCCTCCAAGGATACGGTAAGAGGAAGAAGAACAATTCTGCCCTCTCTCTTTCTCTCTCTTTCTCTCTTCTGCCATCCCATCGACTGCCACACACCCATCCCGAAGCTGCCAGTGTACATGCATAGCTCATGTTCGTCACCAGTCAGTCAGTCAGTCAGTCAGTCATCCCGTGTTCCTTGAGGATGCTGGGATCCTGGAGGGCAGGCAGGAGGTGCTTTGGAGTCCTGTGATGAGTTGGGAGATGCAACCGAGTTTTCGTTTCGTTTCCGTTTTCTTTTTGCCTGGATGATTTCTGATGTTCCTCTCTGTGCTTTGCTCACCGTACCGGTGCTGACCTCTTGAAACCAATGACATTTTATTTATTTATTTATTTTTCCGTTCCTGAGTGTTCCTGTACCTGTTTGTCATTGTATGCCTAAAACAATCACCCCGATTTAATTTGGGCACCGTGTCACCTCACCGAGAGCCATGCGTGTCACATTCTCTACATGTGATTTTTGTTTGTGACTATTAGCATTCGGGACGTAGCACTTGGCGCAGTGACAGCTCTCTGGTTATCAGCAGCAGCATCCGAGCTGCTCTAGCAAAGAGGAGGCACAGGAGGTCATTACTGACCCAGCCTGCTTCAAACTTGGGCTTTCCACCTCGCAGTGCCGCTGCTCGCACGTAACCAGAGAACGTTTCCAAATAGCTGCCTCTAAAGCCAGCCGTTCCCCACTGTGCAAACGTGTCTGCTCGTGCTGGAGCTTCAGGCACGCCAGCGTCAGGTTGGGCTGTTGGTCTGTCGGACTGAGCCGGTGTCCCTCTGCATGTTGCCGTCTGTCGTACAACACTCTGCACTGTGGCTACTCTGTTGTCTTGTGTGGACGCGGGCGCTGCCCCAGATCTGCTCTCCGGGCCGCTCGGCTGCTGCCAGCGGGGTCCCTGCGGTGCACGGTGGGGATGGGGGGACGGCAGCAGGCTGGCGGGGGGGGAGCGGCATGCGATGTCGCAGGGGTCTCCAGCCACGGCGCTGCATGGAAGCGGCTGCGTTTGGCACCAGGCAGGCTTCTTCCCCAGCACCCTGGGAAATGGCCTCAGGGACAGCTGAGCCCCCTGCCAGGCTCGGCTGCCACCGTCTCGCACAAAGCACTCCTTGGGGAACTCATGCTCTCTTTGCTCTCCTTGCTTGTACCCATACCCAACGGGGAAGATGAGCATCCCTGTCATCTCCTTCACTCACCACGCTCCTGGTGTGGATCCTTGTCTTGGTGGTGCCCCAACATCTCAGTGTCCCAGAACCAGACCCATGCATATCCTCAGGCAGAGGATGGTTGGAGGAGGCTCTGGGTGGCTGGACCTTTGACCAGGGGCAGGAGGCAGAGATGGGGTGGGAGATGCAGTTAGGAGAAGGTGGGGAGTGAGAAGAGCCAGGAGAAGAAGGAACAGGTGTGGAAAAAAACCTGCAGGGAAGCCCTCAGGGTGCCTGGAGCAAACCCCATGTTGTCTCCCAGGTTTAGAAAGCCAAGAGGTCCTTGCCCGGGACAGGCCAGGCCAGCAAACATCACAGCAAAGTGGGGAGCTGGGGAGACCCGTGTCCACTGCAGGTATGTGGCCAGTGCCAGGAGAGGTGATCCCTTGTCCTGGCTGTGGTTGAGCCCTTCCCCAAGTGAAAGGGGCTGGTGCCTGCCTGTTCCACCAGGATCAGTGGTGCACCTCAGTACCTCCTCCATCGCCCCACTTCCTTTCCAGTGATCCTGGGCCTGATCCTGCTCATGGTGCAGCATTCACAACCCCATTGTCACCCCAATACCCTGTGGTAGGAGCATTCTGAGCTGCACAGGGCCTGGGGTCTTTACACCAGAAGCTTCAGATGATGGCTGCCACTCTGGTGACAGCTGCAGCTATAGGCAAAGAGGCCCTGCTGTCTGCAAGCCTATTAAAGCCATCTGCATACCATGATGTGCCATGGCAAGGGCCCCAAGACATCTTCCCAAGGAGGTCAGTTAGCTAGTTGGGCTACCAAGAGGTCAACAGGACCAAGATCTGAACAAGAAGTTTCAAGGCTGAGGCTAGCAGCCCCAAGGCAGGAAGCAGCAGAGCAAGCTTTGTGGCGATGTCGGGCAGGCCTGCTGGTGCACTCCACTGGGAGAGCGACCAGCGGGAGGGTGCTGTCATCAGCTTTTGTCACAGCCTGCCATCTGGTGCCCCCAGCTTCCACTCAGCAGTCCTGGCTCAGAGACCCCAAAGCCCTCCTGCTGTGGAAGGCCCCATGAGGTCATAGCATGCGGGGTCACATTGCCTGGGGTCCTTGTAAAGATGAGAAAACAGTGAGGTGCTCTACGATGATGCTTGGCAGAGCCACGGGTCCACACCAGGTCTCAGCTGGGCAAAGCTGGAGAGCCCATGGGGCTGGAAGGCCAGGCTGACCCCAGCCCCATGGGCTCTCCTTGCTAGCAAACCTGGTGGCCTTGTTTCTTCCCTTTTCGTTGCCGGGAGTTTTAAAAATGGATTCTGCTCTGCAGCCCTGCAGAATGGTCCCTCAGGAGTGCCAGAGAGACAGGCTGGCACCATGGAGCCAAGACAGCCCCGGGAAGCTGCCACCCCACTCTGAACGTCCTAGCGCCCACCATCACCCGAGCTGCACAGCCTCTCCGCGGCACATCATCCCCACCGCCCCAGGAGGAGATGCATGTGTTCCCCATAGGCAGCTCCTGCAACTCGAATAGCACTCGCAGAGCTGATGTACTGCCATCCATCGCAGCCACCCACGCTACCGCAACCCCACAGAAGCCATGTGAGACGCATAAACCACACAGACACCTTCCGAGCCGGCACATTTCGTACAGACACGTTCCGAGACGCACAGATCCCTTAGCCCACACTGCAGACGTCATCAGCCCCCACAGCCCCACTGCCAGCCCGCGGGCCCCGCAGGCACAGCACAGCACACGTCCCACGCCACCGCCAAGCGAGGGCCCCTCGAGCGTGGGGACGATGCCAGAACTGGTCGAGAATGGAGGGGGTACATGGAAAAGGTCACCTTTTCAGTGAGAGATCAGCCATCCCAAAACCAAGTGCTTTTTGGCTGAAAAAGAACCTAGTTTTTGGCCCCGAACAACCATCTGTAGGCCAAATACAACTATTTTTTTTTTTTTAAAGGAAAGTTGACATTTTCTACAGCAAGATTGTGTTTAGCTGGAATCCAAATTTTTAATCAAAAAAAAAAAAAAAAAGAGAAACCCCAAATTCTTCCAGAAAATCTCCCACCAGCCAGGGTCTGCCATGTGAACCCAGATTAGGTTGAAGTCATTTTTAAAGACATATTGATTTCTTGTCTATATTTTCTTCCTGATGTCATTTAAAGTTTTTGGTGCCTTCACTTCACTTCCATACCTTAACATGTTTGAGTCTCTTCTGCAGTTAATATTAATTAATTTCTTGGCTTTATAATGTTTGGTTTGGGGATAATTGCACCATCCCTGTAACATCATTTACCCTAAATTACTGATATGTGCTTCTAGAATTAGTTCTACTTTAACATAGTTTTGATATGACAATTTTCTTGCTTTTTTTTTTTTTTGCCTTTTACTTTTTCTTTTTTTTTTTTTTTTAAAAATAAAAAAAAACAGTAAACGCGAATGTTACCCTGTGATAACTCTGTGATTGGAGGAGATATGCTTTCAACCCAAAGCCCCACTCTGTATCGCAGTTCTCCTGCCAGGCTCCCCAGGTCGTTTGGTGACATCAGGGTCCCCCAGAGCTGTGCAGAGAGGGCAGAGCACTCTGTCCCATCCCGCCCCGCCGGGCCCCCCCTTCCTGCCCCACGTCCACGTGCACAGAGGCACACGCATTCGCACCCACACTGCTTTTTTCCTGGTTGCGTCAGGGTATTTAACAAAGGATCCTTTCTTCTGCCCCTATAGTTTTTTTGTCTGGAGCTCTTCCTCCGGCAGAGGCTGGCATCATCTCCTATGGGTGCCCGCCCTGCCTCTCCCCTCTCCAAGCCTTTTCCTCCTGGAGGGGCTCCAGCCCCATCCCTTCAGCTTTGCTACCGCAGCTGAGGTTGCACCCCTTTAGAAAAGGTGTGGTTTTGGTGGGCCAGTAGAATGCCACAGAAAGCTCCTCAGGGTGACAGAGCAGATTGGCAGAGCAGCACCTCCAGGGGATGGCCACGGTGTTGCCACTTGGGATTTCTTAGAGGCTCCATTTTGATAGCTGTTGGTGCCCCACATGGATGAGCCATCCCAAGAGATGTTCCTCACCACATGCGCCACATGGATGGGATCGTGCTAGCTCCGGTCCCCACCCCAGCAGCTTCCCACTGGGGTCCTTGTGAAGCCTCAAACCAAGCAGGCGAACCCCAAACAGCCCACGCCGTGCTCAAGGGGCCACCAGACCTCCCCACACAGGGTAGCCACAGTGCCAGAGCCACCAGCAGAGGCACAGGGGTCACAGTTGCTGCTGACAAACACAGGATGCATTAAATCCTGTGAAATCCTTCTAAAGACCAAGGAGCCCATGGAAGCCCACCACACATGTAGCCCACCAGCCCTCCTAGGTAGTGTGGTAAATGTCCATAGAGAGGGCTCACACAGCAGCACACCAAGATCTTTTCCTGGCACCACGTTAGGTCCCCAGAGCAGCATGACAGAGGGGTCAGTGTCACTGTTTGGCACTGGTGCCACCCAACCACTCAGGGCTTGGAGCTAGGAAAATGAGAGGAAGGAGGCAGGGAGGCAGGGAGGAATCAGCTGCCCATTTGCTAGCCCCTAGCTGGGGAGAAAGGCTTTTTTTCTTTTTTCTTTTTTTTTTTTTTGGCTGTTACAGAGGTGTTTCTGCTCTCCCTGCTGGTGGGGATGCAGCTGGGGAGGTTTTTCCCAGGGGTGTTGGCTGAGCACCCCACTGCAAGGAGTGCAGAACCCCAAATCCAGGCCACATCTGCACAGGCTGCACTTTCACATTAGCAAGTGACACTACAGCTTGTCGCCAATCAGCCACACAGCACAGCTCCTCACCTGCGCACAAGGGTAGGAAGAGCAGAGGCACTCAGGCAAGGAGATGCACTGCCATGGCCTCAGAGCACAGCTGGAGCTGCCACTGGCCATGCCCTGCAGCCACATGCTCAGCCGTGGGCTGGGCTGGCAAGTCACAGCTTCTTGTTGTGGCATTCCCTAAGCAGGCGAGGGCTGGCTCCACAGGTGCCAGGCACCATGCCATGCCCCAGTGTCCTCCCCATCCGGCCATAGAGTGCATGGAGAGCGTCTGCAAGGACCTCTGCACGAGGCTGGAGCACAGGGGACCTTGGCCACGAGCAGGTATGGGGCCTTTGCATCACCCCCAGAGATATCCCATAGGGACACAGGAGGTGTGAGGAGATGCGGGGGAGAGTGCCAGGACTGCCTAACGCTCCTCTCTCTCTGTCTGTGTATTTGTGTGTTGCAGCAATACCATCCCACTGACATCACCGGCCAGCTCAACCTCTCCGACCCCTCCGTCAGCACTGTGGTTTGACCTTCTCCCCAAGGGCCATCAGTCCTTGCCCGGCACAGTAGGAAGGCACAGCCAGGACTGCCTCTCAAGGGACACTGATGGGTTCTTCAGGGTGAGATGGGAGTAAAGCATCCTTCATCCATACACGGTGACTTCATTGTATATCTCCCTCCCTCCCTAGGCCTACTGCCATATTCACGCCCCAAAATGCACGGCAGAACCAGGACAGGGTTTGGACTTCACTGTACAGAGAAAACCGCTCCCAACCAGTGCTGTTGTTGATCAGTATTGCCACTGACTGGCTGCGTGTGAGGGGAAAGGTCTTGGAAGGCACGTGGTGCCTGCTGTCCTGCAGTGGTAGGGAAGAGCCGGTGTCAGGCTGCAGCCACGTGTTTGGCTTTGCAGGCTCTGGGTTCCCACAGATCCCAGAGATGTTCTCGTGGAGCGGCCAGGGACTGCTGCCATGCAGAGATCTGCCACCAGCACAGCAGGGCTGGGAGATGTGCACGCTTCTCGTGGCCAGGGGATGAGCGCCCGTTCCCCTCCATCAGCCCCTGCTCAGTGCCCATGACCAAATGTGGTGCTCTGGAGCTCCCAGCCAAGATCCTGGCTTCCCATATCTGCACACAAGGCATCCCCAAGGCCTGGCCATGGCCAGCACGTAACTTTCACGCTGTAGCTGACATGACCAGGAGACAAACAAGGCAAACTGAGTGCCAGCTCAGCAGAAGGCGACTAAGCAAGACCGCTCAGAGCTACTCCTCCCCATGCACCGAGCTTCTACAAGCAGGTGTTTCAAGCAGCCATGAGCACTCCAACACCCAGGAAACACCATCCAGGTTGGGGATGAGTGCCTGCAGAGTGTGTATGAGCAACAAGGGCAGAAAACCCACCTGCAATGTGGTACCAAGCCCCTGTGGAGAGCACCACCTCCTCCTTGCCCCAGCCAAGCAGGTGTGGCAGACAGGGCCGGCAAGATTTTCGGGTGGCAGCTGGGGTCTGTGAGCATTGTCCCACTGACTGCAGTGGCTCCATCAAGTTCATCTCACTCCAGCTGAGAAATCAGGCCCATTCGACTTTATACGTCAGTGTAACATTGATACCAAGTTTTTGCAAGAGCTCAGTAAAGTCTAGACTGGATTGTGGAGTGGTTTATTGCTGCGCCGTGTGCCTCCATCTGTTTCTCCCTCTCAGCAGAGCTGGCAGGAAGCCCTGTGCTAAATCAGAGCCTCACCCAGCACTTCTGTAGGGCTCATGGCAAAAAGGTGGGGGGACAGGGAGGGATGGAGCAGGGAGAGGGCCAGGAGCTGCAGGGAGGGTGGGGAGGAGTGAGGCATTCCTATTCTAGGATGGCAGGATGGATGGAGATTGTGTGGACAGACCCAGGCTGAAGCCAAACACCAGCACCATGCAAGCTGGCTTTGCCCACCTCCATCCTGATGCAATCTGGGTTGAGGCTGCTGGGACATATTTTTCTTTCCCCCCTTGGGCTGGTGACAGCAGCCATCTCACCAGCCACTGCAGGACCTTATGCTCATGCCCAACATGGAGACAAGAGGAGAGAAGGGCCCAGCAGCAACCCCACGCACCCTTTGCCTCCTAGTGTTTTTCTTTGCTATGCCATACAACCCCCAATAAGCTTGTGACATCATCCATGACATCATTCCCTTCCAGCTTTGCCTCCCTTTCTTCTTCATGGCTTGACGTTTGTCCCCATGTTCCCAGCCAGTGGCCACAATGGTTTGAGTCCCCAGGGAGGATGGCTGTGCGCCTGGGAGGAGCAGGCAGCCAGGTGGCTGTGGGGGATGTCAGACAAGGTCCTAGCTCCTCATGGGAAGCCCAGACCTTCCCAGAGAGCCACATATGCACACAGGGCTGGTCTGTGTCTTGCCAGTAAAAATGAGAGCAGGCCACAGCTGAGGTTACATTTAGTTTATTCTCTGTATGACTTATTTAACTTCTGCCAAAAGCTTGCCAAAGGATGCATTGGCCACATCCCTGGCTTGTCCTACAGCTCTTGCACAGGCAGGAAATCATTTCTATGCCATTGGAGCTAGTGGAGAAAGGTTGATGTTCACAGGCATCTCATTGTGGCTCCCATTGCCTTGCAGTGCACAGGGACTGTTTCTCCTCTGTGAGAGTTACCCCCTTCACCCCAGCTGTACTTTTGCATATAAGAAAAAGGTTTTTTTTTTTACAAAAAGAAGCACCACCAAAGGTGGTGGATGCCCCATTCCTACAGACATTCAGGGTCAGGCTGGATGGGGCTCGGAGCACCTGATGGAGCTATAGCTGTCCCTGTTTATTGCAGGGGATTTGGACCAAATGCTCTTAAAGAACCCTTCTAACTCAAATGGTTCCATGATTCTACGATTCTACTTCCATCTGCCACATGGATGGAGGCTCTGGGTTGCCCCAAAAGGTCCTCAAATGCACTGGTAGGCCCACAGATATCTGGGGCACACATAAAGCCAAACAGATGGCATGTGGATGCACCAAAAACCAAACCATGGGACAGGAGGGATGTGTGAAGGATTGCTGAGAGTCACTGAATGCAGGGTGGAGGGTGATGAGAGCACTGAAAGACACAAGGAGGTAAATGGGACACACTCAAATGCATGGAATGAGGCAAGAGGGGGTGAGCCAGAGGAAAAGGATCAGCAAAAGGTCCCCTCTGCCCTTGGTGGCCCTGACTCAGTGACACCCAGTGCTGAGGGTTCTCCTCCAGCTTTGGGGCTCCTTGCGTAGATGATGGTAAATGACCACGATGGAGCCTATCAAGGTACAGCAGAAGATGCTGGCCAGGAAGGAGAAAGGACCGATGAGCAGAAAGGCAGCGTAGTTCTGGGCTGACAGCGGGATCTTCTGACACTGCTGGAAGGAATCATTCCCAAAGGCCATGATCGGGTATGTGTTCAGTGACTTTGGGAACATGCACCGGAGAGAACTCCTCTCTGGAAGAGAGAAGTGGTGGTGGTGGGCACATGAGGGGACAAGGCAGGTGGGACAGTAGGGCTGTGTGGGACACAGGGGACCAGGGCAGGAGGATGGACTGCAGGGCCAGGCTGGTCAAAGTGGCACAGAGTAGGGCTCAAAGAAAGGAAGCAGGGAGGGTCCCACACTCATCCATGTCCTATACCCTGGGGAGTGGGATGGATGGGGAGGTGGGCACAGACCGGGGCAGGATGGGTCAGGCAGAGTGGGGAATGGCTCCCTGGGGGCAGCAGTGAGCAGGCAGTCTGGAAATGGCACAGAAAGCCCCACCAGTGGAAATGGATGGGAAGGAGTGGAAGGAAAGACCTCACCAGTGGATCAGACCCACACTCATAGGGTCTTCCCCATAGGGAAGAGGCTGAAGGCATCGGGCCTTGATCAAGTCAAGTGTGACACCCACCCCACAGGTGCACATTGCCCATCCTTGCCCTCCCTGTGGCAGGGAGACAGTGGGACAGTACAGGGTGCCAACCCCACCACTCTGGGCAGTCCCTGCTGGTGACCAAGGAGCGGCCACGAGGAACCAGATCTGAGGACAAATCCACCCAAATGGGGCTGGCTTTTGGGAACCTTGCAGGAACCCCAGCCCCTGCACCCAAAGCCTGGCAGCTGATGGGGGAGCCCAGAGAAGGTGGAGCAGGTGGGGGTGTGGGGACACATTCCCTTGGGCACTCACCTGGCACTTTCTCCCTGTTGTGTTCCAGCCAGCGCCAGAGGGGCAGGATGCTGCAGGAGCACATCCAGGGGTTCCCATTCAGGAAGATCGCTTGGAGCTGAGGCAGGGCAGGTAGCACACCTGCCTCCAGCTGCTCCAGCCTGTTGTAGCCTAAATTGAGGATAGACAGGCTGGTGAGGGGCAGGAAGGTCTCGGGGCTCAGCACAGACAGGTAGTTGTCACTGAGGTCCAGCTCCTGCAGCGTCCCGAGTCCCAGCAGCGCCTGCCTGTGGATCTTCTCCAAGCGGTTATGGGTCAGGCTGAGCCGCAGCAGCACCGGCAGGGAGGGGAAAGCATGGGCCCTGAGCACGGCGATGAGGTTGTAGTCGAGCCAGAGGGTGCTGGCATTGGTGGGCAGGAGCCGCGGCACCTCGTGCAGGTCACGCTGGTGGCAGTCCACGTCCCCTGCCTGGCAGTGGCAGGTGTGGGGACACGCTGGAGCAGGCAGTGGGCACAGGAGGAGCAGTAGGGCCAGCAGGACGCTGGGACCCCTCCATCCACCCGTGGCTGCCCACCCGCGCAGTGGGGGCTCCCCAGTCCCCGGCATTGGTGTTGCCCCCATGGCGGGATGCCTGAAGGCCTTGCCTAGCCCCGCGTCCCTGACTGGCACCATTGGGTGCAGTGAGCAGCTGGATGTGCCTGGCTCCCGGTAGCTGCACGCATTCCCCACTGCATGCTGTGTTGTGCTCGGGGTGGAGCCGCACTTTTCTTAGCAAATATTTTTGCAGTGATGCTTGCCCTGGCAAGGTGCGGCCGTGCCCTCACCCCTCCCCTTGCCAGGCACTGCTCCAGCCAGGTAAGCAGCCAGATCTGTGCTGTCCATATTTAACTGCTTGTGTGCACTGCAGGCTGGGGAGGGGGAAAAAATGATCTTCTGGCCTGTGTCCTGCACACAGGATGCACAGAGGACCCAGAGCGAAGTACCCAGCAAGGATGGGACAAAGCATCAATCATGTCATCAGCAGAGGTCCTGCCAGGTATCCCCTGTGGGCAGCCCTTGGCTGGGATCTGTTTCCCTTGGCTGGGGACCGGCAGCCAGGGCAGGGTGAGGGGAGCTGGGATGTGACCTCCACTTGACACAAGGAAGGTGGCTGTGCCAGGCTGCTGCCACTTGGAACGTGTTCATCCTGGCCTTGGCATGGCAGTGCCAGCACCAGCAGGCTCAAAGTCTGCCCCCACCCTGTTTACATGTACTCTGGTTTCAAAGCCCCACAGCGGGTGCTGAAGGAGGGAGGTTCTAGCTCCCCATGCCTCAGTTCCCTGAGAAGACCTTGGGAACCAGGGGACCTCATACCACCCATCTCAGCAATGGATTGGAGGTGTCCTCATGGCTCCTTTGCCATTTGGGACCCAGGAGACCTCCTGCCACCCCTGCAGAACCTGCCACCCCTGCAGAACCTGCACCCCCAGCCAGATCTGGGATGTTCTCAGATCCGGGGCAGGAGCGGCAGGCAGACCGGTTTATTAATAGCCTCTAGAGGAGCTTTGATTTGTTTATCTACCCTGCAGCAAACTCAGTATGCTGCATTAATCCCCATCTGGAAATAATTCAGAGGAATCTTCCTACCCAGCCCAGCCCAGCCCTGGTAGGGCACAGCCACGCTCCACAGGGCCCTGCAGCACCCACTAATGTGCAGCACCCTGGGATGGATGCGGATTTGAGTTTTCAGGGACCCAGTGCACTCAGAGGTTCATTGCCCAATGCACCAAGGTGCAAAAATAATCAAGAAAAAGATTACAAGGTCATTTCCAGCAAAAGCTCAGGGAGCCCATTGAAGATGTGAAGCATCTCAGAGCTCTCACTCACTGCCACTCTGCAGCACACCTCAGTGACAAGTGGCAAGATGCATCTCCACCAGTGGGCCTGGCACCCCAGCAGTGTCACCACCATCCCCTCACTATCCCTGGAAGTCCTCTGCTGGGCACCCTGTTCCCAACACCAACAACAGTATGGCCCTTTGGGTCCCTTTCACTCATCCCTTCTCTGGACAGGGAGCACAGCATCTGCAAGTCCCCATCCTCAGCTAGGGCTGCACACCACAGCAATGCCACCTTTGGAGATTTTGGGCTCCTAAGCCCAGCCCCATGGCCAGCTCTGAGCATCCCTGCTCTACAGCAGTAGCACTAGGGCTGTGCTGGTTGGCAGTGGTCCTGAAGGCACTGCACAAGGGGATTGAAATGGGGTGCCCAGACAACAGGCCAAAACCATTCCCAAAATGAAGCGATGGAGATGCAGGTGCCTGGACTCTGCTATACACAGCTCGGGGCTCCGACTCTTCTATGATAGGTGACACCAAGTGGCAGAACTGTGAATGTGCTGCGCACACCGTGGCTGCCGCGCCAAGTGAGGGCACTGGGATCTTGCAGCTGCAGTCCTGGCACCTGGCGCAGGGCAGAGCTGAGGTGGCACCGTGGTGCCCAGCAATGGGATGCTGCAAGAACTCATCAGCCACATGGAAATGGACTCAGAGTCCACCCAGCCCTCCCCAGGAGCTGCATTAACATCACCCTGGTGCACCCCAGACCTCCACATTTGGCACCTGCTAAGCCCACATTGTGCTAGAGCACAGCAGCTGGAGGCAAGATCAATCCAAAGAGCCCCAGTGACAATGTCATCCTCAATTTGCACTGTCCAGCTGCCCCAGTGCCCCATATTTCTCACGCAAATGACAAACAAAGCAAGCAAAGAAAAGCAATTGGGCAAAGCAGGTCCCTGCTTCCTGCTCTGGGTGCAAGACTTGCCCCGAGTTAGCATGAGGATGAACAACAAATGCAACATGTGCAGCTTATGAGATGTTTAATGGATGTGGGACCTCCAGGCTGTGGCACACTCCCTGAAGCATCTGAGTCAGTGTGCTGTGCCAGGCTCCCATGCCACCTGTCCTGGTGAAGGTGCCCCCACTGCAGAGCTGCATTCATGGAGAAGCTGTGCTGTTAGGTCCTGAGAGCATCTGTGATGGCTGGAGCAGGTTTGGAGCTGCCGGAGGGGTCAGTCGGCAGGGTGAAGGATGGGAGCACTCTCATCCCCCTTGTTGCAGCCCAAATCCCAGCAGAATGGGAAAAAGCCCATGGACAAGCTGGAGCCCTTCCTAGACTACCAGAACAACCCCACCACTGCTATCCACAATGACTCTGGGGTGTGGCGTGGAGATTCCCAAAATGTGACCCAGGCAGCACCCCAAGAGCTCAGCTTGGAGGCACAGAATGCTTCAGTCCACCAAACCCTGCTGTCCTCATGTCCCCACATTCAGATCTCAAAAGCTGCCGTCACCCCACAGCAGATGCACGGCCGGCAGCAGCCACGGTTCGGGAACGGTGCCCGGGGCACGGCGTCCTGGCACAGCCCCAGCGGCTGCTGCGTGACTGGCGGCTCCTTGCACAAGTCCTTGGTGGCCACATCCTGCAGGGAGCGTGGGGCCACCCGGGGATGCTCCTTGTCAGCCTTGACGAGGAGAAAAGTGGCCAGGTCGAGGTCGAGCATGGTGACACCGCCGCGCGGTGTGGGCGTATTTTGGCGGCACTGTGGGCAGGGGATCCAGCGCTGCTCGTTGGCAACGGCGTCCAGGCGCTTGAGGCAGGTCTGGCAGAAGGTATGGCCGCAGTAGAGCCGGCGAGGCAGTCGGCCACACAGGTCATATGAGGAGTAGCAGATGATGCACTCAAGCTTCTGGCTGCCCCGGCTTGGGGTGCGCGTGTGTGCCTCGGCACGTGGCCCCGTGTCCTCTGCACAGGGGCTGCTACCAGCCTGGGACATGCTGGAGAGGAGGGTGGGAGGGAGGAGGGAAGAAAATGTGTCAGTGCTAAAGCTGGGGAAAGGACATCAGCTTGTAGCCGAAGTGCAGGAAGCAGCTCCATGCAGCTGGAGTGGCTGTGGGTTCCTGGGGCTACTGGGGACCCTGCCCTATGGTGGGCTCTGGGGTGCCCTCATCCATGGGGCTGTGCTATCCATGTGTCACCTTGTGTCCCCACCGTGAGCTGTGCTGAATGCCCCTTTCCTCCCAAAAGATTTGGGGGTGGCCAGATCCCAGTTGCCTTCCTGGGGCTATGGGTCAGTGGGCACCATCGGGTGGGGAGGAGCTGGGAGCTGTGCACAGAGGGCCAGGCCATGCCACAGCCCTGCTCCATGCCAGCCCTGGAGCACTGTGCTGTGGATGCCAGCAGCAGGGAACATGCAGGTTGGTGGGGGGGAACTGGGGTGGGTTCAGCATCATCTCAACACATTTGCAACCCTCTCCCAGAGACCACCAGGACCCCACTTCCTCTCCAAAAGGCATTTTGGTCCACGTGGGTACCCCTTCTTCCCCCTTTCCTGTCCCCCATCCCTACCTGAATGCTCTCCTCCCCAAGTCCTCAGGGGAAGCGGCAGAGGGGCTGCACCACCCTGGGGGGCTGTGTCAGTCCTGGGAGCAGCATTGGGTCTGGCGACTGCCCGGCTGCGTAATGTGAAGGGGCTCGCCTTTCAGGAGCAGATGAGTATCAGATCTGCTGCTGGAAGCCAAGCCTGGGAGATTGGATTACGAGCACCCAGATAACAAAGCCCTCTGAAATCGAAGCCCTCTCTCTGCTCCTGGGAGCATTCGTTAGCCACCTGTTCTGTCTCCTTGGCAGGAGAAACTGTCCCTGTGAGACCAGGCTGAAACACTGGAGGACACAGGCTGTACCTGGGCAGCAGCAAAGTCTTCTCCATCTTCATCCAGGCACCTCTGGGCAGATGTCGGCCAGCAGAAGTCCCATCGTTCTGTGGATGCTCTGGGACATGCATGGGACAGATGTCACCAAAAGGTGAGGACAACAAGGGCTGGGCTTGGGGAGCTTGGGCTGCTACAGAGACACCACAGCTTCTGCCTGGCACGTGGGTTCCATGTGCAGGGAAATACAGGGAGACAGAGTCCCTGCACAGTGCTCTTCTGGAATCGATGCTCATTGCCAGACTTGGGGGGCAGAGCCTGGACCCTCGGGAGCCCCTGTCAGGTCCGTGCTGGTGCCTGGCCCGGGGGGTAGTGGCAGCCTGGGGCGAGTAGCAGCGTCACAGCCGTGCAGGGAGAGCAGAGGACTTGGAAAGACAAATCCAGGATCCCGGAAGAGCACAGCCAGGAGCCCTCAGCACTTCTACCTGCGGGCAGGAGAGGGCAGCAGGCAGCAATACAGGCAGGAGCGGGTTCCCAATCTGTTCCCACGAAGCCAGAACTGGAAGAGCCGGAGGGGGTGAGGGGGGAGTGAGCTGGAGTCCGAGACCCCCGTGCTCGGGAGCAGAACAGCACCGCAGCTTTGGGGTCGAAGCAGCTGTATCCTGACATGTCCTCGGCAACACAGACCGGGTGGGATCCCACTGCCGGGACCGCGTTGGGGGTAGCATCCCCATGCTGGCAGCCAGGGCAGCGCTGGGAATACCGATGGGCACTGGGTGCTCCATTCAATAACCATCTGCTCGGGGATGGCTGGGCACCCGGCAGCCTGGGGATGTCCTGCATGTCCCAAAGCTGGCAAGGAGAGCAGGCTTAGGGGGATCCCATCAATAAGTGCCTGCACAGAGGGGCTGTGGGGTCTCTGAAGCCACTCGGTCCTGGTCACCCTGTGCTGGAGCAGGGATAGGACCAGGTGGACACTGAGCTGCCTCCAGCCTCAGCCCTGCTGTGATTCCTGCAGGCTGGGACACATGGGACCTGTGGTCAGGGCTGGGATGGGGCAGGGAGACCCCTGGGTGGCATGGGTACACTGAGGGACACGCTGCCTGAAACCAGCTCAGCTCTGCGTGCCCTGCAGAGACACCCAAACCTGGGCGCGGGGCAATCAGCAGCAGCCAGTGGGTGGGAAAGGTGTTAATCTGTTCCCAGCACTCAGCTGCAAACGGTCCCAGGAGCCGTGGGGACCTTTGGCACTGCAGAACAGGGAGAGGCCCCAACTGCAGAGTACAAAGGTCTGCTACAGATGAGCCGGGGCTGCGCATCACCACCCACACCGCACCCACATGGGACAGCAGCACCCTCCCCACACCCAGCACTCTGCCAACACCCCACCTCTATAGAGAATTGCCCCTATACCAACACCCCACCTCTATAGAGAATTGCCCCTATACCAACACACACAGCACAAGAAAGAAGTAGGAGGAGTTGGGAACCGTGGTACAGTTGGAAAACTGTGACCTTATTGCTGTCGTGGAAACATGGTGGGATGGTTCACGTAACTGGAATGCCACCGTTGAGAGCTATAAGCTTTTGTAAAGGGATAGGCGAGGTAGGAGAGGTGGGGGAGTTACCCTCTGTGTTAAAAAATGGGTAGACCATGAGGAGCTGCCTCTGAGAAACAGTTGGGAACAGGTGGAGAGCCTGTGGGTTAAGATTTGAGATCAGATGAGTAGAGGACAGCTGGTGGTCAGGGCCTGCTGCAGGCTGCCTGATCACAGGGAACTGATTGCCTAAACCTTCTTGCTTCAGCTGCAAGAAGCGTCATGCTCACAGGCTCTCATCCTGGTGGGGGATTTCAACCACATGGATCTCTGATGGGAAAACAACACAGCAAGCTGTAAGCAATCCAGGAGACTCCTGAAATCCATTGATGATAACTTGGACAGATAGATCAGGGGCTGAACCTGGGGCTCACCAACATGGAGGAGAACATTAAAGATATGAAGATGGGAGGCAGCCTGGGCTGCAGTGAGCATGCCCTGGTTGAATTCATAGTCTTGAGGAATGTGGGCCTGGCAAAAAGTGGCGTCAGGACCCTGAAATTCAAGAGGGCCAACTTCAGGCTGTGTAAGGAGTTGTTGGATGAGATCTCCTGGGGAGACAAAGGAGTGGAGCAAAGCTGGATACTTTTCAAGGACGCCTGTCTGAGAGCACGATAGCTCTCCATCCCTCAGAATAAGAAAGCAGGCAGAGGAGGCATGGCATGGCCTGGCCAGGATGTGCTGGTCAGGCTGAGGGATAAGGGCACATACAGGCAGTGGAAGCAAGGATGTGTCACCAGGGCAGAATACAGGGATGCTGTCCAGACATGCAAAGATGGGATCAGGAATGCCAAGGTGCAGATGGACTTGCAACAAGAAGGGATTCTTCAGGTACAGAGGTCACAAGGGACAGACCAAAGAGCTCCTCTGCTAGATGGGAAAGTAGACTGGCTACAACAGACACGGAGGAGGCTGAGGCATCCAATGGGTTCTTTGCCTCAGTCTTCACTAGCAGCCAGGATTCTTGTATTTCTCTCATCCCTGAACATCACATCCCAGAACCTCTAGGTGGGATCTGGAGGAGCAAATTCCCCTGCACTGTAAGGGCAGAGCAAGTCCGAGGCTGACTCATGAGAATGAATGCATACAAGTCTATGGGGCTGCATGACATGCATCCCAGGGCTGATGTGGTTGCTGAGCCGCTCTCCATCATGTTAGAAAAGTCATGGCTGTCAGGTGAAGGGATTGTCCCCCCTCTGCTCTGCCCTCATGAGGGGGCATCTGAACGACTGCATCCAGTTCTGGGGCCCAGCACAGAAAAGACGTGGAGATTTTGGACTGGGTTGGACCCACAACCGAGGGGTTGTGGGTGTCCATTCTTGGATGGGGAAGGGGCCCCGAGCAGCCTGAGCTGGGCTTTATCTAGCAGTTAGAAACCCTTCCTGCCAAACTGTACCTGATGATCCTTGTGGTCCCTTCCAACCCAAGCCATTCCATGGTTCTATGATTCTTACAGAATTAATGATCCCATGAACACAGGCAGCACCCATCGCCCCCCCCCCCCCCGCCAGCATCACCCAAAGCCCCACGTGGCCATCCCAGTGCCCATCCCCAAGCCCTCCTCTGCCCACCTCTGCCTTCAGCTTAATCATTGCCCAGGGGCTGGCAGGCGGCGCCCTGCAGCCGTGTTTGTCATCTGCCCAAGGTTACACAGAGCGAAGGGCAGAGCTGACACACAGTGCTGCTGCAGGGAGATGGGCTCTGCCCCACGGCACATCCCCACACGTGTGTCACCATCATGCCACCACCTCCACGCTGCGGGTGGGCTCTGGGGTGGGGAAGGGCTGACAGCCAGGACAGGGAGCCCACAAAGCAAACACGGGTGGGTGGGTCAGTTTGTTTCTCTGTCAGCACTGCTTGTCTCCATGTCAGCACTGCCAGTGTCCAGACAAGAGCTCCTTGTGCAGGACGTGCGTGGAGCCACATCCCTGCCAGCATCGTCCTGTGAGAGGCAACACCCTCTGGCACCCATCAGCGTGGGATGTGGGCCAGGTGGAAGAGCCAAGCTGGCAGGGCCCCATCCCAAGCCTCAGCCTCTCTGGCCCCAGAGGTCTTGGGGTGATGGGAACAGAGGAGTAGTGGGAAACGAGGGGTGGTGGGAACCTGAGGGGTGTTGGGCTGCCAGTGCTGGTGGGCTTCTATAGGGGTGGTCGCCCACAGCGGTAGGCTTCCAGCACTGGTGGCCTCCCAGGAGTCGCAGCCAGCCCAGGCAGTGCCATGAAGGCCCTCATGCCCCAGCTGCCCCAGCCAGGACCCCAGCTCCTCCCCAACCCACCCAAAGCTGAGTTCTCTCTTTCTAAGGGCTGGGACGACACAAAGGGCTAGGTCAAGCACTTGGGCAGCATCCCCAGGCTGGCCACAGTGGGTTGTGCTGGAAGCACCCAGGTAGGGGGAGGCAGGAGGGGAGCTGGCAGCAGTGAGGTGAGGAGCTCAGCTAGCGGTGAAGGAGTTAAGCTTTGGGGAAGGGCGAGGACTGTGTGCCCCCCACACTGCACTACAGAGCCCAGCTGGAGAAGCAAGAAGTAACTTGAGGATCCCGGAAAAGCAAGGGCAGAGGGAAGAGGCGTACCTTGGCAGGGCAGGAGGTGGCTGTCATTTATTTGTGGCGCACTGAAGTCATCCGCTCACACCCGCGCTCTTTCCAGGCCCCTGCCCCATCCCCGCAGCCGCCACAAGTGCTTACGCAGCTGCCCCAGGACAAGGGCTGGTTTGTTCCCCAGTCCAGACCTGAATGCTGAGCTGCCCTGGCGTGCTGTAAGGAGGGCAGTGGGCCCCGCTCCCACTGCTCACAGTGCTCAGCAGTGGCAGAGGGCTGGGGATGGTGCACTGGCAGCTTCGTATGGCACAGCAAAGGGTCCTGGCACCCCAATACCTGCACTGTGCCAACACTGCTCCAGAGTGCTGCCAGCACTCGGCTCTGCTTTGTTTGTCTGTCTCTCCTGCCTCTTTTCCTCTGTCAGGCAAGTGGTGTGGCAAGGAGTGGTGGTACCTCCTGAGCTCATCACTGCAGCACTGCGGGACATTGCATGGGGACACTGCTGGGAGAGGGCAGGGCGTCCCCAGCCCAGGCAGGGATGCGTTCCTGACCACTCTGCACTGGTTCCCCAGACAGTGCACAGTGGGAAGCTCAGCTCAGCACCATCCCCAGTGTGAGCACTTTCTCAGTGGCATCTACATTGGCACACATTGTCCCCAGGGTTCCTTAGCCTCCGTTGGGTTAGCAGATCCATCCTTCTCCCCCATGCTCCATTCTGAGCTCTCAGGATGCTGCAGGTGTCCATCACTGGTGCATCTGGCTGCACAGCTCACGGGTGAAATCACCTCCCAGCAGCCAGAGCAGGCGATGGGGCAGCGAACCGGGGTGTCCAGACCAGGTGGCCACATCCCTGCACATCCCACCTGTCCTCTTAGGAGATGACGCAGCAGCACTTTCTGCAGCAGGGGAAGCACCTGCGGCAGCCGCTCCTCCTGCCATCTTCATGCCCTTGGCCCTTGGGTGGCTTGTCCAGGGTGACAGTGTAGAAGGAGTTGGGTGATTCCCCGTTGGGCATCTTCATGCTGGCATAGGGATTGAGAGGCCGGGACCAGGACTTCTCTGTGGAAACGGGCTGCTTGTCCCAGCTGCCTGCCTGCTCCTCTGTGCTGTGCACAGGCACGACGGTGGGGTTGGCAATGATGGTGGATGATGCAGGTTCATCCTCCAGGTAGCGAGCAATGAAGCTCTGCTGGAACTGGGACCGTGGGATGTTCACGCTGGCGTAGGGGTTCTCCAGGGTAACACCGCGATCCATGTCCCCGTCTGTGCCTGATGGCAGCGCTCAGTCCCCACCTCCTGCAAGACAGGGACCTCATGAAGCCAGGGCACGGGGCGGGTAGCTACCTGTGGGGACAGGGGGAGCAGAGCGCTCCCATGTCCCTGGCAACCCCACAGGAGCTCAACAACTGACCCGTTCGTGTGGCCCTCAGAGTGGGGCGACAGTGAAGGTGACACCTGAGCAGCCATGGGGGCAGGCAGAGTGCTGGGGCCAGGAAGGAGCAGGTGAGGCGGGAGCTTCGGGAGGGCGAGCCTGGGAGAAAGGGGGGAGTTAGGAGGGAGAGAGGACAGACGGAGGAAGAGAGGAGACAGGACGGGTGGGAAGAAAGGGAACAGGGCAGGGGGCCGGGGCGGGGAAGGCGGGGCTCGGGGCAGGGGGCTGCCGGTACTCACCGAGCCGCGCGGCTCCGGCCGGCTGCACGGCGGCTCTGCCCCGGGCTGCGCTTCCTCCTGCGGCGGCACAGCTCGGCCCGCCCCGGCCCGCCCCGCCCGGCCCCGGCAGCCGCGCTGGGCACTGGCACGGGCAGCGGGCGGCGGCACCGCGCACCGCACCCTCCGCACCTCGCAACCCTCCCTGCCACGCTCCTCCTGCCCCCAGTCCCCTGCGCACCGTTTCCCGCAGCCCGGAGGTCTCGAGCTCCTCCTGGCTGCGTCCCTCCTCAGTGCTGGATCCCCACTGAGCTCCACAACACTGTGCCGGTGAAAGTGGCACAAACCAAAGGGGCTGGACCAGAGCTGCCCGCTGTGGAGATGGGCAGTGGGAAGGGTACAGGCAGTTCTGCTGTGGGACCTTGGCTTCATACGAGCTGGAACCCACTGAACAGAGCCTTTTCCACAATGGATTTGAGAGGCTTAACCCTGTGCCTGCCCTCAGGGCATCTTTAGGGAGTGAATCACACAGGGAGGGTGGATGAGGGGCGCAGCTGGCATGAAGCTTGGGTCACTGGCTCTGGACCAGCAGTGCTGCAAAAGGAGATGCTGATTTCCAGCACCCTGTACCTGAGAGCAGGCAGGGATGTCACACAGGGACACTCCATGTGAGACCCAACTCCCAGTCCTGCACCAAGGTGAGGCTTCTCAGAAGATACCAACTGAAAACTCAGCCCCCAGGCCAAGGCCCATTGCCGTGGATCCTGCCACATTCCCAGAGCCACAAAGCCAGCGTCTCCTCTATCATCAGCTGCCAGGCCTTCCCCACCTTCCAGCCTCTGCCCCTGTGGAGCTGTGGGCTGCCGGCAGGGGCAGCCTTCCCATTTGGAAGCAAGGATGGAAGCACCCTAGATGGATCTGGGCCAGCACCTGCATGAGGACAAGTCGCATGGAAGTGGCACCACCACAGCCTCACTGCTACTCTCTGACCTCACAGGACACCCGTGTGTCCCCTGTGTGTCACCCGTGGGTCCAAAGTGGGCATTTTGCTTCAGGCTGTAGGACTTCGGGCTGTGTTCCTGTGCACCACATCCACATGTCAGGTGCTTGGGGACAGATCCCCGGGCATGGGCACAGCTCCTGTCCCACGCTGCCTGCAGCCACATGGTCTCTCCTGTGTCAGTGGCCAAACGCTGCCGGGCAGCACAGGGCTGCTGCGGATCCCCAGCTCCAGCCATGTCTCTGCCGTAGGATGATGCTGTGGTCAGCACAGACACCTCCAAAGTGCAGAGCCCCAGCGCCTTCCCACAAGCGGCTGAGTGCAGGATCCCATCCCACGGGGGAGCTGTCGGGATGCGGGAATGGGGCCGTGCACGTGGAGCTGGGGAGCAGCGTGGCTCCGAATCGCTGCTGACCCCTCCGGGACTCGAACTACGTTTCCCACAGCACTTTGCAAAACGAACTGCCCCCTCCTCCGGGTTCTGAGGGACAGGACTGCGTTTCCCAGCCGGCCACGCCGGGAGCGCCGTGCGTAGTGCGCGGAGATTCGCAGCGCCGGGTAAGTGGGGTTGGGGAGAGCCGGGAGAGATGGGACCGGATGCAGAGCTCGGGGTGGGCTTTGGGATAACTGCGAGGTCGGACCTCCCCAGGGCCGCCCGGCTCCGTGCCTCAGTTTCCCCCCAGCGCGGGGACCGGGAGGAGCGCTGCGGCACCACGGCACCCAGCGTTGGGTGGGAAGAACCCGCAGCTCCTGATGGCAACGCGGAGCTGTCTCCCCAAGGAAAGACTCCTGCATTTATTGAGATGTAGGCTTAAAAATCCACGACGCAGCGTCCTGCCTGCCGTCTCTCTGCCCCGCCGTGTCGCTGCTCGCACGGGCGGTGTCGCTGCGGGACCCGGCAGCAGCTGCCCTGCGCTCTGCCCCCGCGCCTCACGCACGGCCCCGCTCACGAGTGGGCTCCGCTTACCGACACCT